GCGGCCCCCCCCCCCCAGCCTCTCCTTTCCCACCCGCGTCGCCGCCCCCCCTCTCGTCCGCCGACTCGCTCCACACCCTCTCGCACGACTGTGAACGATGGCAGCAGAAGGACAGGACATTGATTTGGACTCGGTGATCGACCGGTTGCTCGAGGGTGAGCTGGCCATCCGTACTCTCGCTTGGGGCGGTGATTCGGCGTTCAGGAGCACACGCCCGACTCTCGTATACGGGCGCGGCACGCAGCAGAGACGATTCGAAGACTTCGGTGGATGGCAGGGCTGGAACTGCGCGACTCGCACGTTGCGTGCGCCTCACGCAGCTGGCGGGATGAGTGTCGGTGCGATTGCCAGCAGCGCCTCGGGATCAGAGCGGGCAGTCGAGGGCGTGCTGGGAGGCAGGCTGAGCGTGCAGCATCGTGGGTTGTGCATGGAACGGGGCGCGCCCATCAGTTTCCCGCCAGCTCTGAATCGACTTGCTGACCGTCGTCAACTCGGCTTCGCCTCTTTCTATCCAATACAGTGCGAGGCAACCGACCTGGCAAGCAGGTCCAGCTGCAGGAGTACGAGATCAAGTTCCTGTGCACGAAGGCGCGCGAGATCTTCATCAACCAGCCCATCCTCCTCGAACTCGAAGCGCCCATCAAGATCTGCGGTTCGTTGGCCCCCGTCCTCCTCTTTCTTGGCGCCTCATCACTCACTCGTTCTCTCTCGCAGGTGACATCCACGGCCAATACTACGACCTCCTCCGCCTGTTCGAATACGGCGGCTTCCCTCCCGAGGCCAACTACCTCTTCCTCGGCGACTACGTCGACCGAGGCAAGCAGTCGCTCGAAACCATCTGCCTCCTCCTCGCCTACAAGATCAAGTACCCCGAGAACTTCTTCATCCTCCGCGGAAACCACGAGTGCGCGTCCATCAACAGGATCTACGGCTTCTACGACGAGTGTGCGTCCTGATTTGCGCAACATTCCTTCGCATGACGTCTGAAGGAGGCGTGCGAGCGTGTCGGTTGTGTGAATCGGCTCGTGACAGACAGCTGATCTCGAGGTCCATTCTCGCCTCACAGGCAAGCGGCGATACAACATCAAGTTGTGGAAGACATTCACCGACTGCTTCAACTGCCTTCCCATCGCGGCCATCATCGACGAGAAGATCTTCACGATGCACGGAGGGTTGAGTCCGGACTTGCAGAGCATGGAGCAGATCAGGAGGGTTATGCGGCCGACAGACGTCCCCGACACTGGCACGTCTCCACTCCTCTCGTCTGCTCGTCTCATGTCGCTCACGCTCTCCTCCACAGGTCTCCTCTGCGACTTGCTCTGGTCTGACCCGGACAAGGACATCACGGGCTGGTCTGAGAACGACCGCGGCGTCTCGTTCACGTTCGGTCCCGACGTCGTCTCGCGCTTCCTGCAAAAACACGACATGGACCTCATCTGCCGTGCGCACCAGGTCGTCGAGGACGGGTACGAGTTCTTCGCCAAGAGGCAGCTCGTCACGCTCTTTTCGGCACCGTGCGTCGCTATCTACCCTGCGGTCTCCTCCCTCGGCGCCCGTACTGACTTCAATTCGTCGTCGCCTACAGCAATTACTGCGGTAAGTTGTCGCGCTTACTCTACCGACCATCGTTCGCGCTGCGACGGTTCAGCTTCACAAGCCTCGCCGGCGACTCCACGTCTCAGAAACTGACAAAACCCTGTTCTTTTCTTCGCAGGCGAGTTTGACAACAGCGGCGCAATGATGTCGGTGGACGAGACGCTTCTCTGCTCGTTCCAGGTTCGTCCTCTTCTCGAATCCTGTACCTGGCAAACAGACGCTGACCACCTCGTCGCCGCAGATCCTCAAGCCTGCGGAGAAGAAGAAGACGTTCGCGTACGGCGGAGCGGGACAAGGGCGTCCAGTCACGCCTCCTCGCAAGGCCAAGGGCGGCAAGAAGTAGATCGGTCGTCTCGCCTCGTCTTCGTCGTCGTCGCCTCTCGCTGTACCTCTCCTCCCTCTCCCTCGATCTTTCGCAACCTCCTCCTCACGACTTTTGGACGTCGCTCGGTCGGCTGTACATCCCCTCTCTTCCCGCTTCGCCATCCTCCGCCTTTTTTCCCCACTCTCCCTCTCGACCGGCTACGCGACTCCACCAAGGCGTGACGAGCAAGTGTCGAAGCAGCGGTCGGTTCCGGCGGGCGAAGGCGCACTCCATCGTCCCCGCTCGGTGCCGGTTCCCTCTCTCCTCGTTCGCAACGTATACCTCAGTATTTCAGTCTGTGTCTTCCACAATCCGCACCCACCCGAGTCACCACCCCTCGCCTCTCCCTTTATGCGCTTCTCGCCGCCCTTCACGCCCCTCGCAAACCGGTCGTCCCCTCCTCTCGCTACTTTAAGCTGTCCCTCCCGTTTCCTTTCATACTGTGCCTTCTCTCATCTATACTCCATCCTTCCGTCGCGTCTCCCTCCCTCGCTCCCTCTCGTTCGCGCTCCAAAAGTCACATCTCCCTCCTCTTTTCCTCCCTTCTCTCTCTTCTCTCTCGCGCTGCCTCTGCTGTACTGCTACTTCCCCTTTTCATCTGCCACTACACTTTCGATCGACCACAGAACGTTGAGAGACCAAAGCGCAAACGACGGGCGGAGTTTGCGAAGTGAGATGCGATTACAACAACATGAGCGGCGAAGGAGAGATGCAGCGTGTCTAGCCGTTAACCGCTTGGTAGACTTCCCAATACGCCTGGAGACGGGAGCTTGTCAGTCCGAGGAGCCCGAAAGGCGAGCAGGTGAGCGAAACTCACGCTGTACTCGTCCGCGGTCTACGGCAGCAACCAAACATCAGTACATGACACGGAAGGACAGTGGAATGGGACGCACCATATCACCAGTCATCTCGTCCGTCACTTGCGAGAACGGCAGCATCTTGCCGCCCACGGAGACGAACTGGTTCGGGTCCGTGTTCACACCCTCGGCCGGCTCGAACTCGTCGAACTCGTCCTCGTCCTCTTCGTCTGCGTCGGCCTCGCCGGTGGCTGCTGGCGCTTCGGGCGTGGCAGTGGCGGAAGGAGGTGCTGGCGAGGCGGTCGCAGGCGTGTCGTCCTGCTTGGCCCGCTTCGCACTCGCGCCGGAATCGTAGTCCTCGCTTTCGTCTTCTCGCTCGCGCTTGAGTGGCGCAGGCGGATCGACGGTGTCGAGTGATTCAGAGGCTTCTCGTCCCGAGAAGGAGATGGGCGGCGAGAGCGCAGGCGTGTCGACCGGTTGGCCCAGAGCGGGCGTAGAGGAGTTCGTCGAATCCTCCGACGGCTGCGCCAGCTCAAGGTTTGCGTAGTACGCGTCGAGGTCGATCTCCTCCTCTTCCTCCTGATCTTCGTCCGCTGCATTCGCGTCAACCGCAGGCTTCGCCTCCTCGCCGAGCATCCGCAAAGGCTGGCTGATCGCCGGCTTAACCGGAGCTTCGGGCGCAGGTGATTCCGCGGGAGACGCCGCCGCACTCCCAGTCGAGCCGAACGTCTGTTCCGAATCCGCCGAGATGGTCGACTGCGCGATCCAGCTTGGCAGAGCATTCTGCGCGCGCTTCTCCTCGACTTCGCGCTCGCGACGAGCCTTCTCCTTTGCTTCGTCGTCGTCGCCAGCCATGTGGATCTTGACGATTGCTGCGGCCGGAGCAGCGGTACCGTTTGCTTCGGCTGCTGCGGCTGCGGTGACGCCGAGAGCTGGACCGTGGATGGCGAGGTAGGCCTCGACGTTGAACCTGCTAGACGTCACTGTCAGCTGCGTCGCAGTGCGCGACGAGAGACGCGCGCACCTAGGCAACTCTGCCTGCTCGAGCTTCTTCAGCAAGTCGACAATACTCTTCGACTGCTTGTTGAGCCTCTGCATCCGCTCCTTCTTGCCCTGCACGTCCTCTTCGTTCTCCTTGTCCACAAGCTCGGTCTGGCAGACGCTGCAGGCGAGGATGTTGCGGAAGGGGTCGATCAGGTTGGCGGCGTCGAGAGGTGTGTACGTGGCTTTGCAGAGCGGGCAGACGTAGCCTTGCGCGTCGAGCTCCTGCGATCGTCACCGGGCGTGAGTACGAGCACGAGAAGAATAAGGAGGGGGAGCGAACGCACATTCCGCAGCTCGACGTCGACCGTCTGCTGGATCTTGTACATCCGCCACTTGATCACGTCCGTCGCTCGCGAGTAGTCGAGATAGTAGTAGCCCCTCTGCAACGCCTTCATCGCACCGTTCTCTCGCATCTCGGACCGGCGGTGGCTGTTTTGTCGAGTCTCGGGTCGGTCAGTCCCGAGGAAGGACCGCTGCGAGTGCGGAAGAGCTCACATCTGGACGAGCTGGTCCTCGATGAGCCGGTGTGCGATCTTGGTCACGTCTTTAACCTGCATCCCGAGTCGCTTGGAGAGCTCGTCGGCCGGAAAGCTGGAAGAGGCGGAGGGAGAGAATGATGACGGCCCGACGAAAGATGGGAGAGCGGGACGTTCAGCACTGCAGTACAACCAACTTCGCCGTCCGCTACACCCCTCACACCACCCTCGAAGCGCAAGTCAGGCCGCAATAGATGAGGGCTGACTTACACCTCCTTCTTGACGAGCTGGTCCACCAAGATCGCCTGCCTCGGCCCGTAGAACCCCCTGACCACCTTCTGCAGCAAGAGCTTGGCCGTGTCCAGCCCCGCCGTCGTCGACCCGCTCGAAGTCGAGGCTGTCGCGGTTGACATGGTTGGAGAGCAGCGGCGAGACCGTGGGACGAGCGGCAAGCGTGTGCGGCTGGCTGTAGCGGTGTGTCTGCGCACTCTCGGCCAAGTTCAGCTAAGAACTGGCGGTGAGCGGGCGAGTGGACGAGGGCGACCCTCCACTCGGTCGAGGAAGAGGTTGGCAAGTCTCCTTACGCTTCACCTCGCTCTTGCTGGACTCTGCTCGCTTTCCTAGACTGCTATAGACCATATCGTGAGTCTCAGTCCCATTCGCGGTGCTCCCATGCCTTCCACGCTCTCCTCGACGTCGGTCTCCTGCCGCTTCACCCGACACACCTTCGACAGGCGATGGCGCTTCAAGACGGCGCTTTCTGAGGTCGCATTGGCATGGCACACACTCCTCAAGACTTTCGGCAGGCATTCGGGCGGAAAGGAGCCGGGTGTGACACGACCTGAGCGGGTTCGGCCAGGGTATCGATCGAGGAGAACGAGGTGCTGTGCAGCGAGGCATTACGAAGTACACCACAGACGGTCCAGGATGGAGCCTGGTTGCGCAGGAAGGCCCCGGAACTTCGACGAGCAGCGTTGACGCCCCTTCTCTCGGCTGAACGTGCAGATGTCTCCATCGCTCCCTCACTCCGACGCGCGCTTCCTCCTCTTCTCCGATTTTGACGGCACGATCACGCTGCGGGTACGTACACGACGGGTGAGACGGAAGAAGGGCAATGAGCTGACCTTTTGAAGAGCTTCGCAGGACAGCAATGACTGCGCGACTGACGAGGTATATTTCTGCTCTCGCCTCTGCTCGAAGAGCGAGAACTAACTCTGAGCGATGGCAGCTCGGCTTCGGTGTCGAGCGCCGGCGTGAACTGAATGTTGAGATCCTGAACGGGCAGAAGACGTTCCGGTACGCTCCTCCCTCCCTGGCTCCTCTCAAGCGCCGCGCTGACCCGCTTCCCCTTCCACAGCGATGCGTTTGCCGAGATGCTCGAGAGTGTCTGGAAGAACGGCCATCAGTTCGAGGACGTCAAGCAGTACCTCGTCAAGCGTGCGTTCCGACACTCGTCAGGACCGTGCGCAACTGACGCGTCCTCTCCCCACAGACATCTCACTCGACCCGGGCTTCAAGTCATGCTTCCAGTGGTGCGAGGGACACGACGTCCCCGTCATCATCGTCTCGTCCGGCATGAAGCCCATCATCGAGGCGGTCCTGACCAACCTCGTCGGCGAGAAGGACGCTGCCAACATCGACATCATCTCGAACGATGTCGAGGTCGCTGCTGATGGCGCATGGAAGATCAAGGTGCGCAGTGAGAGCGAGTTCGCCTGATCATGCGCTGACCCTGTTCACTCGACAGTACCGCCACCCCGAATCCGGTTTCGGTCACGACAAGTCCAAGGCGACTGCGCCCTACCGGGATCTCCCTCACCGCCCAACCATCCTCTTCTGCGGTGACGGCGTCTCGGACCTGTCAGCCGCCAAAGCTGCCGACCTCCTCTTCGTCAAGGTCGTCCCGGGCCACACGAACGACCTCGCCGTCCACTGCGACCGCGAGAAGATCCCCTACGTCGCCATTGAACACTTTGAGCAGGTCAAGGAGGTTGTTGCGCGGCTGGTCGAGGGAAAGTCGACGATCCAGGAGGAGCTTGCGAGGGAGTAGGCCGGATAGTCTATTGAATGAAAGTGTACTGCGAGTGCCGTGTATCTGTGTCGGCACGAAGTGATGCGCATGAGTTGACTTTCGTGAGCCGTCGCCGTGCGAGCGTCCGAACGCTCACCTCACACGCGCACGAGGCTTTGCTAAGGCTTGAGTAGACTCGTCACTGCTGCTGGGATGAGCCGGCGTCCCGAACACCCGCTCGCGTCGTTGTCTGGCGGTCCGACATCATCTTACGCTCTCCCGCCCGTGGTTCCGTTCAACGCCGCGACATCGACCGCGTACACGCACAGCCCCGACTCCGTATCCTCGCCAACGTACAATGCTGGGTTGACTGGACGCCCCGGCACGGCGAGCGATGGAGGAGCTGGACAGGGCCCTGCGAAGCGGAGGAAGGTCGAGGGCAGCGGTGGGAACTCGCCTGGCGGGCCAGCGTCCGACGCAGGACAACTCGTGACGGGTTCAAAGAAGCAGAAGGCGGTCAGCTGTACGGAGTGCAAGGTGCGCGACCATTTCCTCCTCCTCTCCTCGCGATGCGTCTCATTCCGACCGGCTGACCGGGTCCTTCCGGCTCTTACAGCGCCGCAAGATCAAGGTCAGTCCCAGCGCTCCACATCGCCCCTGATCAACAGCTAACGATCCTTCACCGGCTCCGTATCCTTCGGTCTCAGTGCGACCGCAAGGTGAGGCTTCTCTCTCGCTCTTAGCCTACGAGTTGTCGCTGATCGATTGTCATCATCAGCTCCCATGTCTCGCATGCTGCAAACGCGGCGAGCCAGAAGTCTGCAAGTGGCCAGACGAGACCGCCAAGCCGCAAGTCGATGTCCAACCCTTCGCCCTCACCTCCGACCTTGTCCTCCTCGCTCGCCGCCTCCAATCACTTGAAGAATGGGCGAATCAGCTACCGCCAGAATTACGCGCTCGAGCACCTGCGCCTCAGCCTTTCACGCCTGAAGTCTACGGCTCGAAAGTCAAGCAGAGCACGAAGGAGAAGCTCGGCTATCTTGATCCCCATCGGCAGCCGAGCGTCCACCGCCGCAACAGCAACGCCGGCGAGCACGATAGCGAGCACTCGGTGGAGCCGCCTAGTCGCGACATGAGCGACACCGAAGACGCAGCCGTCAAACTCGAGTCGATGGCTTTCACCGCTCGTGCACCTAATTCGCAGTATCGCCCGCAAGACAGCCTTCCCTTCTTCGACAACATCCCTTCGCCGAATGCAAGCGCGCAGGCGGCTCATGGTGCGGGAAGGATGATCCACGCCTACCCTGCCGAGCTCACCTCGTACCGCACGAGCATCGTTGCCGCCCCGCTCGTCTTCGAAGGTCCTTGGACTGCATCCGCGATCGGACTCGACATGTGCTTCAGCCTCGAGGAGCTCAAGGCGGCGCGGAGCCGGTGTCTCGCCACGATCTTCTCGCAGTTGCCGGACAAGGCGCTCTCGTACAAGCTCGTTGAGAAGTACTTTCAGGAGGTGCGCTCGGTCCTTCTTCTGTCCGTGCAAGCCATGCTGATGACGCTCGGCCAGGTTCAATGGCTGCATATGATCTTCCACCGCGGGACGTTCGAGGCGGAGCACGACCGGGCGTGGCAGATGATCGAGGCTGGACGGTGGGAGGAGATCGACCCGATGTGGCTCGCTTGCTATTGCATGGTGCGTCAAGTCTCACCCCTTCTCGAAGCGTTTCGCCAACTAAATCCGAACTTCGCGCTCGTTCAGATGCTCGCGCTCGCCATCGACGGACTGCGATGCGAGAAGCGCCAGATCCGCTTGACGGACGATGACATGAAGCGCTGCAAGCCGCCGATCTGGTACGTCTGCGCGCAGCGGCTCATGCAGCTCGCGGACGGCTCAGGAAAGCCTCAAGTTCGGTTCATCCAGTGCGTTCCGCTTTTGATGCGCATCGACGTCGACACTGACGGTCTCCATCGTACAGATCGGTCATCTTGATCGGCCAGTGGCTGCAATGCTCGAGCATCCCTGGACAGGCGACGCGGTTCCTCAGCCTGCTCGCCCAGGCGATCAGGACGGCCCAGGTTCGTCCTTCCATTGTACACTCCTGCGAGCGTCGCGCTGACGCTCTCGCCTGGCAGATCCTCGGCCTCCACCAGATGACGAGCGACCCGGAGCAGATGCCGCCACCGGATCCCGCCTGGCCGCCGAACGCCTGCTCGATGCGAAGGGAAACGGCGTTGCGCCTTTTCAGCCTTCTTAGCTTCCTTGATTGTGCGTTTTGCCCCTCTCAAAGCTCAGTGCGAAGAAATTGGCTGACAAGCCCGCCTCCACAGACATGAGCGCGACTACCCGTTTCCGCTCCTACTTGCTCGACCCGGTCCAGTGTAGATCGCTCCTTGGCCTGCGCTCTCGAACACAGCTAACCTAACACATGCACATAGGCTCGTCGCCGCCGCTGTCGAACCTCAATCAGGAGGACCTGTCAATCACCGACTGGCGGATCGATCCTAAGCCTCGCCACGTCTACACCGACTCATCCTTCGAGTACGCCAAGTACCGCATCTGCCAAGCGTGTGTTCCACTCCACCTTATCTTTGGACGTTCCTGCGCTAACTCGGGTCTGGCTCAGATCTCGCGCGGTCTTCGAGAAGCTCGTCTGCAGCCCGTCGACCTTCTCCTACGACACGGTGCTCGAGCTCGACCGCAACTACCGCTCCGTCTTGCAAGAATGCGCCGAGGCGCTTTCGACTGTCGACCCAGCTCGCATGATGCGCGGGGACGTCTATTGGGTCCGCAGCATCTGCGACGAAGGCTTGCACTCGCGGCTCGTGCGCCTGCACCGCCCGTTCATGGCCAAGCACGACTACTCGCGCAAGTGCTGCCTCGAGAGCGCCGAGAAGGCGATTCGAGCGCACTCCCACATCAGCAAGGTCACCAAGAACGTGCGTCCGATTTGTCCCTCCGCGTCCGAACGATGGCTGATATCCCTTCCTGCAGACCTGGTTCATTTACGTGCATTGCTTGGCCGCTGCGATCTGCCTCTTTGTCGACCTCTTCCAGTGCGTGCGCCCGCCTCCGCCCCTCTATATGTGCTGACTCGTCTCGCGCCGCAGAGCGATCGACCAAGGGCTACCGGAGAAGGAGATTGAGCAGAAGAAGGAGGTCCTCGTCCTCGCCTTCGAAGTCTTCGGCCAGCACGACGAGATCAGCTCGCCTGCCCTGCGCCACGTCGTCCGTACCGGCTCGAAGATTCTCAGCGGTCTCTTCATGGCGGAGGAGAAGCGGCGGGTGACGCGCGCGGCGAACGCGCTCGTCGGCGGCAATCGCAAGGATGACTCGCCTCCCGAGTCGCTCGCTGCGGTTCTCCAGCGTCTGACGAAGGAGCTCGACCTCGCCGGCACCGCTTCGCCTCTTCCCTCCAGCACCTCGATCCCGCTTCCAAGCGCAACCCTCCCGCAAGCGACCTCGAATGCCGGCCTCGCTCCTCCCGCCGCACCCGCTCCTTCGGGCATGTTCGCCATTGAGCAGCCCTTCCTCGGCTGGAATCCAGACCCGACTTACGCACCGAACGTCGGCACAGATGCCTTCATGTCGTCCGAGTTCTTCCGTGATGTCGGCCTGTCGGCGGGACTCGAGACGGGCGCTTTCCTCCCCTCCGATCCGAACCTTTACGGCGGTGGCGGCGCTTCGACATCGGCAGGCACCGCGAACGGCGCGATTCCGTTCTCGTGGCCGTTTGCGACGGAGACGGGCACGCCTGGAGTTGGCGGCGCGGATCAGGGCAAGATGGCGGCGTCGGCGCTGATGGACCAGCTCCAGATGAGCGGCGGGATGTGGTAGACCTATAGACTGTACAACCGTAGCTGCGATAGACTTTGCATGACCTAATTTCGCCTGCTCGAGGACAGCTTGTCGAGGATTAGCTCGCTTTGTATTCTCATTACAAAGTCGATTACGCGTCCGTCATCAGTTGCTCGACCTCCGACTCCTCGAACACGCAAGCCAGGATGGTTCGTTGACGTGCCAGACGACTGCAGGCTGAGCTTGAATGCTCACAGTGTGCGCCCGCAGGGTCAAGCCGCGTCGAACCAGGGTGGAGCGCCGAACGACCAGAACAAGGACAAGGTGCGCTCTCCTCGCCGCTCGCTTGCGTTGATGGGACTGCCGAGCTGACAGATGCCGTTTACCGCCTACAGAAGTCCGAGAAGGTCTGTCCTCAGCCGCCTAGTCGCGACGAGTCTCCCTTCACAGCCACTGACGCAGCCTCGCCCCTCCTTGACCTCTCCTTGCGCTCCGCCTGCCTTCGTGCTGCTCGCGATCTGCTCCTTTGACGCTTGCAGAAGAAGTGGGAGCCGCCCCTTCCCACCCGCGTCGGCAAGAAGAAGAAGAGCGGGCCCAATCCCGCTCAGAAGCGTGCGTTCGCTTCCCTTGATGCTGCGGTTGTTACTTGACCTTTCTCACGCTGGTGTATGACTACAGTGCCCGCGGTCTACCCGACGACCCGATGCAAGCTGAAGCTGCTGAAGCTGGAGCGGATTAACGACCACCTCAAGATGGAGGAGGAATTTGTCGAGAACCAGGAGCGGCTGAAGCCGACGCTGACGGAGGACAAGTCGGTGGAGGAGCGAACACGAGTTGACGACCTGCGAGGGTCGCCCATGTCGGTGGGGACGCTCGAGGAGATCATCGACGACGACCATGCGCTCGTCTCGTCGGCGACCGGTCCCGAGTACTACGTCTCGATCATGTCCTTCGTCGACAAGGACCAGCTCGAACCCGGCTGCTCCGTCCTCCTGCATCACAAGACGCATGCAATTGTTGGTGTTCTGGCAGACGACACGGACCCGATGGTCAACATGATGAAGGTCGACAAGGCGCCGACGGAGAGTTACGCGGACATCGGAGGTGCGTGCGCATACCGTCGGATTCGGAGACTCGAGCTGACTCTGTCCCTCCCGCAGGTCTCGAGCAGCAGATTCAGGAGATCAAGGAGTCGGTCGAGCTGCCTCTCACGCATCCCGAGCTGTACGAGGAGATGGGTATCAAGCCGCCTAAAGGTGCGATGTCGTGGAGTCGCGAGCGGAGGACTTGGCTGACTTGAACCGCCCCTCCAGGTGTCATCCTCTACGGTGTGCCGGGAACGGGCAAGACGCTTCTCGCCAAGGCCGTCGCAAACCAGACGTCTGCGACTTTCCTGCGCATCGTCGGTTCCGAGCTCATTCAGAAGTACCTTGGAGATGGACCGAAGTTGGTGCGCGAGCTGTTCAAAGTTGCGTCGGAGAACGCGCCTGCGATCGTCTTCATCGACGAGATCGACGCTGTCGGTACCAAGCGGTGCGTCCGCTCAATCTCCGGTCCCTGAGACCTTTCTGACGCTCGCGAACCGCAGGTACGACTCGACGTCAGGCGGCGAGCGCGAAATCCAGCGTACCATGCTCGAGCTTCTCAACCAGCTCGACGGCTTTGACGACCGAGGAGACATCAAGGTCATCATGGCGACGAACAAGATCGAGTCGCTCGACCCTGCCCTCATTCGACCAGGTCGCATCGACCGAAAGATCGAGTTCCCGTGCGTTCGCTCGATCGAGCCGTTCTTCCTTTGCTGACGATTCCTCCGTCTGGCAGTCTTCCCGACATCAAGACAAAGCGCTACATCTTCAAGATCCACACTTCGCGCATGAGTCTCGCCGACGACGTCGACCTCGAAGAGTTCGTCCACGCCAAGGACGAGCTGTCGGGAGCCGACATCAAGGCCGTGTGTACCGAGGCAGGCTTGTTGGCACTGCGCGAGAGGCGCATGCGTGTCACGATGGCGGATCTGAGGCAGGCGCGCGAGAAGACGATGTTTGCGAAGAAGGACAACGGGCCGGAGGGATTGTGTGCGTCCGCCTTTTTCGCTTTCGAGACGCGTCCCCTCGCTGACCTCGTGCTACCCTTTGCCCACAGACTTGTGATCTCCCTCTGTACCGTCCGACACGCTTGCACTGCAGTCATTCTCGCAAAAGTGGCTCCTTGAGACAAACGGCGGAGCCTTGCGAAGCGAATCCGATAATACAGACAAGACGCTGGTGAAGGTGATGCGCGGCCCTGCCGCGTTTAACCGCTCGCAACCTCGAAACCGCCTCGCGAGATATTTCCAAACGACTAATTCACCGCACACTCTCGCCGAAAGCGCCCGAGGGTTGGACGTAGCTGTGTGTGATGCTGAGTTAGCCAGCTGCACGGAAAGTGGAGGGTGGTGCAACGTACGAGAAGCCGGCAAACTGCTGCTGGACGGTGCTGCTGAGGTGCGAGTCTTCGACAACCGAGTCGACCGGCAGCTCTTGCGTGAACTCCGTGTCGAACTGCGGGCAGAAGGAAGGTCAGGAGAGAGTTCTCAGGGAGAGCGAGAAGGGACTCACGTTGCTCGTGTCGGCGGCGCTCTCGACGCTCGGCTTGAACGGCGGCTGTATCTGCTTCTTCATGAGCTTCTTGAAGTCGATGTGCTTGGCAAAAAACGGGTGCGTCTTGATCGTCTCGGCACCGGCGACGCCCAGTCGCTGTTGAGGGTCGCGGGTGAGGAGGCCAGTCAGGAGCGAGCGAGCGTCGGGGGAGATCTCGTCGCCGAATCGCAGCGGGTCGGTCAAGATCTGCGCAGAATCGATGTCAGCACGAAGTAGGGCTCTTGTGGCTTTGCTTGCGAACCTTCTGATACATCTCGTTCGTGTTCTCGGAGTAGAAGGGCGGGAGTCCGGAAAGCATCTCGTAGAGCAGCACGCCGAGCGTCCACCAGTCGACCTGTGAGGCGTCTTGTTAGCTCAAAGGGCGCGCGACGCTCTGAGCGTGCGAACGCACCGTCTTCTGGTAGCCGTGGCCAAGGAGAAGCTCGGGTGCGAGGTATTCAGGTGTGCCGCAGAACGCTGCACAGTCGAGGCAAGTCAGCGACAACTCGATCGAGCGATAACGAGGTCGCACGCACTATTGGTCGTCTCCGACTCGGACATGTTGAGCTTGCAAAGTCCGAAGTCGCAGAGGGCGATGTGGCCGACGTAGTCGATGAGGATGTTCTCGGGTTTCAGGTCGCTGCAAGTGGACTGGCTGTTAGCGAGGGAGCCGCGTATGGCTGAAGGGCGAAGCGCACCGGTAAATAACGTTGAACTGGTGCAAATGCTCGAGCGCACACAGCAGCTCGGCCGCATAGAACCGACTCCGCTCTTCGCTGAACCTGCCCTCGCGCTGTAGGTGGTGGAACAGCTCGCCGCCGTTGACGAACGCAAGGACGAGGTAGAGCTTCTCGGCGTTCTGGAACGAGAACTTGAGCGGGACGATGAAGGGGTTGTTGACCTGTGCGAGGACTGTTCGTTCGGCGAGCGTGTGCGTGACTTCCGAGCGAGAGACAATGTGCGCCTTGCGGATCGTCTTGAGAGCGTAGATCCGACCGGTGTCCTTCTTGCGGACTTGCATAACCTGGCGAAAGCGAGGTTGCGAAGGTCAGCCGTATGCTTGCCATCCGCGCATGCTGCTGCAAACGCACCTTGCCAAACGAGCCCTTGCCGATGACCTTGAGCAGGTCAAAGTCGTTGATCGTAAGGTGTTGAGTCTGAAGGACGGAGTGAGGTGAGCGAATAAGCGGAAATAGCGGCGTACGAAGCGCCACGCACCGTTGCAGGCTTGAAGGTGACCTGAATGTGGAACTCTCCAGCGCCGCTCGTCGCCCGGAACCACTGGTCGGTTGGCTTGTTCGCATCGAAAGCGGGCAGGAACCTGGAGGCGAGAGAATCGATCAGCTTCGCTCATCCAGGTGCATCAGTAGAATAACGCACTTGACGCCGCCGAGGAACAAGTCGTTGCCCATGTCGTTGCGGTTCTGGCCCGGGACGATGGGCGACGTCCGCAAGTAGGCGGAGATCGAGACGTCCGAGACACGCGAGACGTCGCTGTGAGGAAGGTTCATGAGCCGAAAACTATAGGGGCTTGCAAGGTCGGATGTACGTACAAGTGGGCGCGGAACATCCAGGTGGGCGAGCTGAGCTCTCCGCCGAGCGCATCAATCAAGACTTCGTTCTTGTCGAACTCGAGAACGACGTAGCTGTAGACGACAACTGGTCAGTCAACTGGTCCGGCGTACCCAGGCGCGCCTCCGCATCAGAGCAGCGAGGCCGACTTACGGAAGCCACCACATCTGCTTGCGCTGCAGACTCTCCCGCCCACCTCGCGCATACGCTCCCTGCGCCTGCTCGACCGCATCCCTGATCCCAGCAGGCAGGTTGACGCCCTGCGGAAGCGTCAACTTGCGTGCTTCAACGACGCGGATCGTCAAGAGACCGGAGCGAGGGACGGGAGGGCCGGAAGAGTCGGAGGTTGAGGGATTAGGGCTTGCGGGAGGCTGAGGGGTGTTGGCAGAGGTGGGTGTGACGGTCGAAGAGGCACTTCGGCCCGTCGTAGCCTCCTTGAGCTCTGCGGAACGAAAGGTTAGGTCAGCGAAGAGGAACTCGAGCTGCTGGCATGTCGTGTCGTCGCGCCGTCGGAGTAGACGGATTGTCCGGGCGCTTGTCTGCGCCATGCAAACGCTGTGTCCGTCATACGGGCAGCAGCATCGTCGCTCCAAGGGATCGCCCCGCCTTCCCTTCGAGGCAGTGCAGGACGAGGTGGAGTCTCCCTCGCCCGCTGAGCGACTTCCAGACAGTGTCCACCGTTCCCAGCTTCGTGCGCATCGACGCTGTGTCCTCCATCGACTCGGCGCGCCCGCGAGAGCCATCGCCTCATGACGCCCTCCGACACTGCGACCCTCGGAGCGCCGGTCAAGCCAGACAGCAGATCGCAAATGAGCTCACTTTTGCCAAACTTCCACGACGACATCCTTGCGAGTCCCTCGATGGCGTGAGCGTCGGGTTGTGCGAGGGTTGGCGAGGAGGCGGGGGAGGGTGCGCGATGAAAGGGTTGCGAGCCGTAGAGCCGGCTGGGACTGGTCTAGCGCTGGTCGAGAGTCACTTGTGCGCTCAGCAAGACAGTCAACGAGCTCGACCGTGCGGGTGGGCGACGGTGGTGAGCGCTCAACCCACTCGGACCCTCTTCTCTTCCTCCGCAACCAGCGACTGGGCTTACGGCATCAACTCATGAGCTACCAGCGCACCCGCCTGCTCGAGGCTCGCACAGTGATGTTGCACCACTCACTGGTTCGACCCTCGTTCTTCGCGTCGCCCTCCAGCCGTTGGTCGTCCTTCTCGACCTCGGTCATCCTTCTTGCGCCCCAGCACACGCGTTGCTGGGCATTCGCGCGCACAGACTTGTCGGCGAGGGCTGCCTAGAGGACTCCCTGTTTCTCAGGGGCCATTTGCTGGCTTACGACTCGACCCAGGCCCGGTACTTCATATGCTGGAGAGACTGTGATGCGATGCGATTGACTGCGAAGTACGGACACATACATAGCCGACGGCACAGACGACGAGAGACCGAGAGAAAGATGCTGTGACGAAGTCTAGAGACGCTCGAGGAAGCCAATGTCGAGTTCGCCAAACTTGCGCTTCGCGAATGGGTAGACGAGGGTGCTGGCCTGCAGCAGGCTCGTGAGGCGCTGGATGACGGAGAGGGGGTATGGGATGCGTTCGTGCTTGGCCGAGACGAATGTCGCGCTGAGAGAGGGAGAGGAAGCAGGTTAGCCTCGTTCGGGAGCGAAGAAGGGCGCGAGGCGCACCAGACTGCAGCGTTGTCATTTTCGACGACCGCGTAGAAGACCTTGACTGAGTTCATCGAGCGGAAAGTCAGTGAGGGGGCGGCAGGTGTGTCGGAGGGCGAGAGGAGCGAGTTGGCGTCGGCTGTCGAGCTTGAGAAGGAGAGTCGGATCGAAGGGTTGAAGAACCAGAGCTGCCAACGACGAACACGATCAGCAACAATACAGGCAAGCAAGGAGTTAGAACGCACTAGCAACTTTGCCTGCTCAGTCTGCGCATCCTCGAGGATGAAGCGATGACATGCGTGCGCTTGACCCGTCTCGAGCATGTCGGCCGTGAGATACGTCGAGAGTGTGTGACGAGGGGGAGCGGGTCGTGCCGGATCTGAAGAAGCGGGGTAGGTCGCGTATTTGAGGAGGCGGACGGTGGTGGATTCGGAGGTGTTGCCGTCGGCGGGAAGAACGTGAGAGCCGACGAGGGCGTCGCACGAGGCGCAGTGAGCGGCATGCAGGTAGTCGCCGTTGTTGGCCTTCGCAGGCTGTTCAAAGGAGAAGGCGTCAATGTCTCGTCCGATGTAGCCCTCGCAGCGAGATCTCGAGCAGGAGAGTTGTTTGGGAGGAGCGTCGGTAGACTCTATCTTGGACTCTTGTATCAGTCTAGCATCCCTAGGAGGCGCCCCTTCGACCATCGCGGTTCCGCTCGAGGAGCAGCACCAGCGACAGCCTTGGCGAGGCAGGGAGCTAGACTTTCTTTGTAGTCCGGGTAGGAAAGGGACAGAGGAGAGCAGGGACTTACCTCGGCTTGCTCGGGCGCAGTCCACTTGCTCGTCAACTCCCGCGGCAGCAGGACGTACGAAGTCGCGACGAGGACCTCGTCGGGTCGCGGCTTGATGCCCTTGCCCTTGGCGATGAGGTCGTCGGACAAGTTCTGGTCCTGATGACACATCCAAGCGTCGAGTAACTCGGCCCAGTACTCGCTCGGAAGGGCGTTCCAGCGCGAGACCGTCGAGGTGTCGGCGAGTTCGGCGTCGCAGTTCGCGCAGCGGAATGAGGTGGGCGATGTCGCTCGCAGCTCGTCCGTCGCCAGAGGCGAGTGAACCTCAAGGTCGGAGCGAGACTTGGTAGGCGACGTCGAGCCGAGCGTGACGAGCTTGACTTCGCAAACGGAGCCGCCGACGAGCTGAACTGTCGCCTGCTGAGGCACGACTCGGCATGGTAGCGCAACGCGTGAAGCCGTCTTCTGGCCCTTCACGGCGACCAGAACTGCCGACGACTCGACCGCGACAACCTCGAAGGCGGCGGGACTGGACTTGTGCGAGGAGCGCGGCCAGAAGGTGACCACAAGGGTGCCGAGGTTGCGCGACTCTTCGGCAATCCAGTCGACTTGCGGGACGTCCAGGACTGTATAGCAGAAGCGTCAGTGGGAGAGCGTGAAATTACGACGGGGCCTGAGCTGACCCTCGTAGTCCGCCGCGGTCGAGGGCGTCACGCTCGTATCGAGCATGCCCAAGCCGATCCCGCCTTGACCCTTCTTGAGCAGCCCGACTCGGAGAGATCCCTTTTCGCCGGCAGCTTCAGGCTTTTCGCGCTCCAGTGCGTTGTTCGGCAGCGAATGACTCCGAGGCCGGTTGAAGCCGTACTCCTCCTCGAGAAACTCGCCAAACGTGACGCTCTCCTCAAGCTCCGGTGCTGGTCGAGGGAAAGGTGCGACAACGCCAGAGGGTCGGAGGATGGCATCTTGAGAGGCGAGGCGGCCTTTGCCCGTGTGGGAGAGGATGTACTCCCGCCGTCGCGCCTCGTACTTGTCCGACAGCGGTTCGAACTGCGCAAAGCGGGTCAGTCGTTACGCGGAGCAGGCAAAAGCGCCACTCACGTCGTTCTTGGCGGTGTCGAGGTTGAGGACCTCCCTTCGCTTCCCGCTGCGAAGGACGGCCCAGTCAGTCAGTGATATCTTCGGCGCGCTCCAGCAAGTCGACGCACCTCAGCTCCACCCGCTGATCCGCCAGTGTCCGCGACGCCGCCTTGTCGATCTGGTCGAGCAGGCGATCGAAAGCCTGTTGCTCCCTCGCTCGCCGACTTGTCGCTCGACTCTGCGGCGTCGATTCCTGCTCGTCCTCATCCATCGCGGGACTCGGCACCGCCCGCTGATTCTCTAGCCTCCCCTGACTCAGCCGCTCGATCGCATTTCCGAGCTTGGCGAGCTGGCGTTCGCGCAGGGCACGGCGGTCCGGCTCGACTCGCTGGTTCGCCAGCTGCGGCGAGATGAGGTACAGCCGCTCGATGGCGGACGTGACGTTCTCAAAGTCCCGCTGCATTTTCTCGGTGTGCGCCCCCGATACTTTGCGCTGGCGAGTTCGAGGTGCGGAGGTTGACGAGCGCTGCAAGTCTGTTGCTTCGTCGCCGTTGGAAGCGAGAGCTTCCTTCTTGTCGTCGGCGATAAAGTCGTGGTAGTAAGCTGGCGGGAGGTGCGGGTTCTGATGAGCCGAGTCGAGGTCGTGCGAGTACCGAGGCAAGTCGCTCAACGACCCCTCGTACAGCGAGTCGGTGCGGAACTTCGTGTCCTGCGATGCGTCCTGCGGAGTTCGCATCCAGTCCTCCTTGCCATCTCGCTCGAGCGCCTCGACTCGCTGGCGGGACAAGAGCTTGACCCGCTCAGACAAGTCGAATACCCTGCCCCAAAGCAAATCTCGCTCCGCTTGCTCGACCTCGCGTGCTGCGCCAACGACACCGCGCGGAAGTTGCTGCTCCCGGCTCGACTCGGACAGCGCGGCGGCTTCCTGTCCGAGCGCTTCGTAGAAGGCCGAAGGTGTCGATCCGTCGACGAAAGCCGTACTTGGCGGTCGGGAAGGGGAGGCGGAAAACGTGGGACGTGTGTACGTATCGCTAGACTGAGTGATGCTCGAGAGTCGCTCGATGCAGGAGAGGAGGGAGGCGAGAGTACGAGCGAGTTCTGCTTCGGTCGGAGGGAGCAAGTCGTTTGCTGCGACTTCGACTCGAGTCTGCAGCTCCTGTATGAGCGCAGAGTTCGGCGTAGCGGCCTGCCGCCGGCTGCCGAGGAGAGGCGAAGCGCGTTCGACGGAGAGCATGACGGGAGAAGCGGAGAAAGGCGTGGTGTCGTGGGAGCGGAGCGTGTCGAGAACGGCTGTGAGGAGGATGTCGGGCTGCTGTGAAGCGACCTGCGAGGGTGTAGGTACGGCAAGCGAGTGTCGTCGCAGAGTGGAGTCGAAACCTGGCGGAGCGCCGTCAGACGAAGTCGCCTGATCTGGTCGCGGCGATTGCTGGGCAGACATGGCTCCTCCCAAACATCTCTGTACGAGCCCGTTCAGCGCAAACAGGAAAGCGTGTCGTGCGGCGCCGAGCGAACCAAGGAGTTCCTAGCGAGGACGATGCATCAACTTCTGTCGGCGTTTTCGGCAGCAGGCGCGGCGATAGGGCGTACCTGTGATCCCTCTATCCGCTCAGACGAGCTTCCCGTCCCTCCCTGAGCCTGTCGTGTCCCATTCGCCTCATCGCTCGCCCCCTCCTCGACCTTCTGCGTTCGCGTCCTCGACCCCGTGAACAGCCTTTCCTGTCCCAAATCAATCAAATCCCCTTCCTGCTCCCTCTCGCCACCCAGCGCATGACGATCGGCCGTAGAGGCGAGCCCAGCAGGTCCTCGAGGAACGGCGGACGGATCAAAGGCTTGAGCGGGCGCGGTCGAATCCGGTGCGGGTGCGAGGGGTGTAGCAGCGAGTGGACGCTGCAGAGTGGCCATGCGAGCGGGCAAGAGGGTGCCGGGCGCAGCGAGTGTGAGCGAGTGAGCGGACAGAAGGTCGGAACCATTGTTCGCAAGGGGTCGTCGAGAACAAGGCTTCCTCTCTTTCTTCTGCTCGCATGTGAGAGAGAGCTATTGCTACTTTTCTATTTGTCGCAAATGAGGCGGATCTACCCAAAAGAGAGGAGGAGGGAGGGCACAAAAGTCAAGAAACGAGTGTAAAGATGCGAGAGGACAAGCGACGACGGCGCGGGTATCGTTGTAAGCGAGTGGAATAGTCTGCGTGTGTCGCAAGAGCGAGGAACAGCGGCGAGGGTATAGGTTAAGCTGCGCGAGAGTATGGATACAGCGCGGGATGAAAGGCGAAGAGATGTAGGCGGGCGTCTAGATGAAGGCGTAAGCTCGCGGCTGTTGCGCCACAGCCTCGGTGTCGACCTTGACCGTTGCGATTCCTGACGCGAACGTCGGCCGACTTCGCAGCGTCGGACTCTGAACGGGACTTGGAGGAAACGACCCGGTCGTGTCGATGGTCGATGCGCTCTCGGCGAACGAGGGGAGGGAGTCGTTTGTCCTTGGTCGGGAGGAGCAATCGGACGCGGAGAGCGAGAGCGAGACGACGCTGTTCGACCTCGGGCGGCCGTCCTCGTCGGATTCGAGCAGGTCGCGCGAGGGGACGCGTGCGTGGGGTTGCGAAGGACGGCGAGGGTACTGCTGGATGTTCAGTCGCTCGACGGCGCTCGAGAGACCCGCGACGCCCGACGTGTCGATGTGCGCGAGTGAGGAGGAGCGAGTACCGTGCGACTGTGCCGAGATGTAGTCGAGGCAGGCGGCCGCTGCGAGTTCCTCTTCTCTACGTCGCTCGAGTTGTCGTTGTTCTTCGGGCGTGAGAGGCGCGGACAGAGGGAAGCGGTAGGGAGCAGGTCGAGGAGGGGGAGGGTTGGTCGTCGAAGGCTGTTGGCGCGACACTCGACGCGGTTAGCCTCGCTCGCAGCGTGTGACAGTGACACTGTACTCACTCCACGCAACGTCACCTTTGACGACTCTCCCATCCCCGCTTCGTCCCCTTCCTCAAAGTCCATCTCGCCGGCGCATCCGAAGAAATCGAGATCCCTGCCCGCTGCGGACGCGCCACGGTGGAAGCGCTTGAGCAGCTTGTCCTTTGCGAATCGCAGGTCGGCGAACGAGGTGGCCTTGCTCAGTGCGCGTTGTCGTGAAGGAGCGCCCGGCGCTGTTGAATGAGATGGAGGTGCGAACGGTGCGGTCGAAGTCGACGCCGTGAACGAGATTGAGTTCGCGCGGGGCATTGTGGTCGTGCTGCTAGTCGAGTGGATCTGGCAGAAGAAGAGAAAGAGGGTGGTCGCCGAAGAGGAGGTTGGCGCAGGACAAAGGAGGTTCGGACGCTCAGCTCCCTTTCTTCCTGAGCGCGAGACGGGGTTCGTCGCCGTGTCGTGTGTGAGCAGTCGAGCACAGCAAGCAAGTTCAGCAGCGACGAACGGGACGAAGAAACTCGCGTTCCAACGGACTCGCACCCGACCGTCACCCGGAGGAATTCTCAAAGAACGCGGGTCAAAGGCGGTGCGCATACAGCCTCGTTGCACTCGAGACAGCTTCCTCTACTCCTCCTTCTTGACCGACGCGCCGAGCTTGTCCATCGAGGCGGGTTCCCAGGCGTTCCCGCTCGACCCGCCGCCCTCGCCGAGCATCTCGAGGTACTCGCGGTGCAAATCGGCACAGAAACGTGCGACGGGGAGGTCGTTGGCTGTTGTGTGAAGCGACGAAGACGGCGGCGAAGAAGGACGAAGCGAGATGCGCGAGGGAATACGTTGGTTGGGCGGGAAGCGAAAGAAGGCGAGAAGGTGTGATGGGTGTGAAGGAGGAGAAGACGGCGGGTAGAAGCAACAACGCCCTTCAGCTTCTGTCACAAGCTAGTCTTCCACTCCGAAGAAGCGAAGGAAGCGAACGCACGCTCTTCACCGAACGGATCACTCAGTTCCTCCGCCGCGCGGTCGACACCAAAGAAGCAAGCAGCTGTGACAGCCGTCGCTGCGACGCTCCAGACGCCCCACGAGCGGACGAGCTGTAGAGGGACGGCGGCGACGTAGACGAGGAGGAGGACTTGGAGCTGGATATTGAGGATGAGCGGGATGGGAGCTGCGAAGGTCGTGCATGCGAGTCAGCGAGACGGTCCGACAAGCTAAACCGCTGAAGTGACTTACTGTCCCGGATACGCTCGAGCGCAGTCAGCTCGTCCGTAAACTCCTTGAGCGCGTTCGTGGCCGCCGCGAAAGTCACGCCATCCAGTACGCTCGATCCCTCGCTCGGCGAGTCACGGCTCGGCAACTTGGTCTCGTGCCAGCCCGTGACGTACGCCTGGATGGCGCGGATGAGCGAGAGAGGGAGGTTGGTCGGTTCGCCTGTTGGAAGCGAGCGGGGAAGGAAGCGAGAAGCGGACGGAGGTGCGTTGAGGTTGGCGATCGCGCGGTCTGCTTCTGCAGCCTTCGAGTGCTGGACGAAGGAAGGGTCGGCAGAGATGGAAGGCCGGCTGCGTTGGCTGGCGGGAGTCGAGCGGTACGCGGCGAGGAGGTCGGAGGGAAGAAGCGACTGCAGTTCTTTCCGCTCGAGACCGGCTTGGTCACGCAGGCGGTACATGCACGCGTAGGGGAAAGCGAGCACGAGGCCGGCCATCTCTTTGATGGCTGAGGCGCGCTGCTCGTCGAATGCGGCAGAGTGCGAGTCCTGCAGGGAGGTTGCGGGCGGCGGGAGGGCGAAGATGAGGAGGCGGATGAAGGTGCGGGTCGTTGACTGAATGTTGGCCCATACTCGGCGTCCCTCAGACCATCTGCACGAGATGGCGGGGGCAAAGGCAAAGGACGAGAGTCAGCGAAAGGTCACCCCAAGTCGCCCAGACAGCATGCATCCGCCGCAACGCACCTCTCGTACGAACTCGACGCCCTGAACGAGACCAGCAAGCCCGTGACCATCGAGAGCGTGTTGACCAACGAGCCGACGCTGGAGACCATCGGCATCCAACCCTTGAGATTGAGCAGCCAGACCGCTGTTGCCCAGAGCGAGTATGCGAGTACGCGGCCGCGCACGGCGTGCCAGGCGGAGAAGTCTGTGGGTCGCGAGGAATCGGTCACTACCAGGTTCGAGGAGATGAGGATGGGAAGGGGGGCGACGCACGAAGCAGGCCGAGTTGCTGCACGCCGTGGGAGCGCCTGATTGACTTTGCCAGTCCGTAAGCCATGCTGAATCAGTCCTTGAGCTGTACGAAGAGCGGGAAGAGAGACAAGCTGGCCAATGACGAGGTTGGTGGAGGTGGTGCACCGCAGCATACAATCAAAATCACAAGGGTTGCCCAAGCCGCTCACTTTTCTTTTTTTATTCCCCGCACCCGCTTCTCGCAGACGCCTCCTAGGGCCGCGTTGATGGCGCCGTTGGCTTTCTGTCGCTTACTTTCCATAGTGCAGCCGCGAGCGCAGCCCAGCCCGAAGCGATGGGAATGCGGGAGAGGGAGCGGCCGCGTAGCTGATGAGGAGTAAGCGGAACTCAGCAGCGGCCCACAGCTCTCGCTGGGCCTCGTGCTCGCTCGTATGGGCTGAACAGCAGTAATGCCGTCTATTGTGCCCCTCGCTTGCCGCCCAGAGAGCGAGGCAGGAGCGCTGGAGCGAGGGCGACAGCGGGGAGAAAACAAAAAGAAAAGTGTAATCGGGGCAACCCTTGTGATTTTGATTGTACAAGCACTCAACAGCGACGAGGACTTCGAGAACAATGCAAACGAGATATGAGTATTGCGGGAGATGCGCGGTCTAGAGAGAGTTGATGTACGCCTCGACGGCCTGTCTTTTCCCCCGACGACTTCACACCACCGTCTCCCCTCGCTCCTTTGCCTGCCTGACCGCCCTCTCTGCCTTCTCCAGCGCCTCCTCGAACCACTGCCTCAACATCTCCGGCTCCTCCAACCCCGTCGAGATGCGCACCAAGCCCTTCTCGACGCCCCACTCCTTGGCCCACTCAAGCTCCGTGTAATGCGCGAGGATCGTGTAGGGACACGCGAGGGTGAAGTTTGTCCCGAGCGAGGGGCCCTTGTAGCACGGCAGGGCGTCGAAAAAGGTGCGGGAGGCGAGGATGGAGGAGAAGGTGAGGGAGAAGAGGGCGCCGAAGCCGGATGATTTGGGGCCGAGGGAGGGGTTGGGAGGCCGCAGCGAGGCGAGGTAGTGTTCCGGCGTCATGTACTTGGGGTAGTACACCTCCGTCACGACGAACTCGCTCGTCTCCGCGCCGTTCGCCAACTCCTCCTGCTTGGGCTCGTCGATAACGCCCGTCGCCGCCGGCCCGGGAACTCGCCGCGACCGCAGATAATTGCAAAGCATCTCGGCGTTCGAGTTCTCCTGCGCGACGCGAGCCTGGAAGTCACGCGAGTTGCGCTCCATGTAGATCGCGTCTTCGTCGAAGTAGGCGTCTTCGTAAGTCGCTTCTTGTGCGGCTTTGAGAGCGGCGTAATGAGGCGCCTTCGGGTTCAGGACGAGGCTGCGCGCGGTTTGACGGTCAGCAGCGCACTCCCCGGTGGAAGGAAAGGAAAGTCCCGGCGCACCTGCCACCCATGACGTTGCTGTCGCCGCTGAACACCTTCGTCAAGCTGCTCACGACAATATCCGCCAACGGCAACACCTCGACATTGACGAACCCGGCGATCGTCTCATCAACGACGATGAGGAACCCAAACTCGTCTGCGAGTTTGCGTAGTTCGTGGAGCGGCGGCGAGCGCAAGAGTGGGTTCGAGGGGAACTCGCAGAAGAGGGCGAGGATGGGCGGGGAGGATTGTTGAAGGGTTTGACGGAGAGAGGGGAGGTCGGAGGTCAGGCCGCGTCCGAAGAAGTGGCAGCCTGGTCCCCACTTTTCGAGGATCTTGAGCGTGTCGGTGTACGGGAAGCTGCGATCACCGTCGCGTCAGTCGAGCAACATAGGGACAGACTGAGCCGCGCGCACCCGAAGCAGACACTCTTGCCGACCTCCCTCCCCTCCCTCTTCCACGCCTCCATGGCGACCTGGTGCGCATGGAAGATCGCATTCATACCACACGAATACAACCACACATCGTCCTCCGTCAGACCCGTAACACCACGGGTACTCTCCTCTCTCTTTGCGCCGGTCATGTCCTGCACCGGAATCGCCTCGCCCGGTCCTTCGCGCAAGACTCCGGCAATCCGACGCCTCATCGCGAGTTTTGCGAGCGGCGCGAGTGAGAGGTCCAGGTTCCGCCCGTAGCGTTCTTCCACGTAGCGCGCGAGAACGTCTTCGTCTTGCTCGACGAGCGAGGTGCCGTTCGTTGTGGCGAGAAGGGGCGTCGCGGGAGTTGGGAGAGGAGAAGAGGCAGCGTCTTGTGAAGGCCGGCGCGAAGAAGAGGCGGAAGGCATCGAGAGCTGCTCGATCGAGTTGGCGAGCGAGTCGGCCTCGGACGAGGAGGGAGTCGCCTCGCCACTGTCTCCTCCATTCGTAGCGCGGGCCTTGCTAGTCGAGTACCGCAGCTTGGACGAGACAGTCGGTCGGGCGACTTCGATACCCGCTGCGACAGGCGGTGTCGTCGCGCTGCCTTTCGCAACCTGGTACCGACTCTTCGACGAGGCGTACCGTCCTCCATTGACTGGCCCGTTCCCACCTCCGTTGACGAAAAACCTAGTCGCGCCCTCCTGACCTGGTCCAGCCTGACTCGGCGTCGCCTGAGTAGGCGATGCTCCCGCTCCTCCAGTCGCTCCGTTGGCGTCGGCCTCGATCTCGCCAAGGAGGATCAAGCAACGCTCAGCGACGCGGGACGAGATCCCTTCGCCCGTGTGCTGCCAGTACTGTTTTGCGGCGGGAAAGTCGGACGAGGGGAGGAAGCAGGCCCAGACGGTAATCGTTCTTGTCGCGGCGGAAGCAGAGGGGGTCGAGTCGGTTGGTGAGAAGGAGGAGACGGCATGGATAGGCCAGGAGGTAATGCGGGAATGGACGGGAGGAGAGCGCGAGGAGAGGAAGGACGAGCAGCCGCGAGCGGTGGATTCGGTAGGGAGGAGGATGCACAGTTCGTCTGGCTGGCCGAACTTGGCGCACGCGAGGTCGGCGAGCTGTGCGAGAGTAAAGGTCGTCAGTCTCTTGCGCCCGATAACGCTGGCTGGCGATACGAAGCTCCCTCCACTCTCAACTCCGTGCGATAGCCGCGGCAAGAAGCGCCCACTCACGGCCTGGATCCTGTGGTGGATGAAGAAGCGCGGGTAGCCCGAAGTCATGGCATCCTTTACGCGCTGCTCGCCCTCCTCGTAGTCGACGTTGTCCTGCCAGGTCGGGAGTGCGACTGAGACGGCGTGAGGGGTGTCGGCTGGGACGAGGTCGCCGACGTGCGAGGGCGGCGGGGGCTGTACGCGGAAAGAGGTGGGCATGGCGTCGCTGTGTCGGCTCTAGCGAGTCGTTGGAGGAAGACGATGCCGATGAGGAGGAGGAGTTCCGGGACGAAGTGGAGGGGGAGGTCGAGTTGACTCGGGGGAAGCGGGAAACGCTGAGAGCACGGGTACAGCCTTCGATAGCTTCTGTAATAGCCTCAGCGAGTCCAGCAAGGAGAAAGAAGCGAGGTGTAAGTGTGAGAGAGAGAGTCAAGGACGGCGACGACGAGGGTTGGCTGTGGACGATGCAGAGCGTGTACGTCGAGTCGAGTGCGACGCGGTCAGAGCGACGGATCGACCCACTGTCGACCGTCCTCCAGCTCAAGGTGCGCTTCCATCTCACTCACCAGCTCACCGCCCCACCTCGAACGAGGAGGGAGGAGGACTGACACGGCACCACTCGCTCGCAGTCAAAGCTAGAACCCATCACTGGCATCCCGACTCATGCACAGCTGCTCTCGCTACGCCGCACACCGGCGGACGCGGGTCATGGATCGGGAGGAGGAGCAGGTGCGGGAGGAGAGGTCGTCGCGGTGCTCGACAACGACGACAGGACGCTCGCCAGCTACGGCATCGCAGAGTACATGACCATACGCGTGAGCAGTCAAGTGCAGCTGAAGTCTCTGTCGGTGGAGCTGACCTTGCCCTCGTTCACTTGTACAGGTCGACTCGTCAGATCCGCAGGCTGCTTCGTTCGCCAACCAGTTCGTCGACGACTCGCAGGTCGAAAAGTTTGAGCTGACGGAGGAGGAGTACGCCGCGCGAAGAGGTGCGCTCGATGGCCATCCTGGCGAGACCCGCTTGTGGATTTCTCCCGCACATTGAGCTGACTCGCTCGACATACGGTATCTGGATTCGCACAGACACCATTCTCGCCTACAAGAAGCGCAACCGGCTAGGCCGCTTCGCCCCCTCCTCCTCGCCCTCCCCTTCCTCCGCCCCTTCTCTTCCCTCCGACCTCGTCCCCGGCGCACGGTGCGAAGTCGCCCTCTCGCCCGAACTGCGACGACGAGGAACGGTGAGGTTTGTTGGACCCACGGAGTTTGGGACAAAGGATGGGAGTGTGTGGGTTGGGGTCGAGTGGGATGAACCGGTTGGGAAGAACGATGGAGCGTGAGTCCGCACGTTGTGCAGCTTCGGGTCTCTCGTCCATCTTGCACGAGTCGAGGCGCTGATAAGATCGGCCGAGCGGATGCGCAGCGTCGAGGGCAAACGCTACTTCCAGACCGGCCCGCTTCGAGCCAGCTTCGTCCGCCCCGATAAAGTCACAGTCGGCGACTTTCCGGAGCTCGACCCGTTCGCCGACGACGACGAGGAGGCCGAGGAGATGGAGATGTAGCGCTAGCAGGAGCAGGGAGTGTAGCATGACTTCGTTTCGCAAGGATACCCTCGCATTTGCATCGTTCTTTCGGGTGCTCGCTCCATTTTCGCTTCAGCGTATCTCTCGTCGGCTTTCGAAAGCCATGAGTAGCACGTACAAGGTACATCAAGCCAAAGGAACGAGTCGCCGCGATGCTTGACGTCCCTCTCCTTCGCGATCCGCCTCTCTCGCTCCGTCTTTTCACTCTGCTTGCACGATGCTCCGCTCGAGCGCTTCCGGGCGGCTTGCCCGGGCTTTCAGACATGCTCAATCTGCGCCAAGCCTGTCCGCAAGCCTTCCAACGGTCTCCTCTCCTCTCCCAAACCTCATCACCTCCGCCTCCTCGACCACCTCCTCCCGTCGCACCCTCACCACCAGCCGTCCCTCCCAGCACCAGAAGTCCACCAACACCATCTCTGCATCCGAGATCTCGCACTTCTCGGCGCTCTCCGCGCATTGGTGGGATCCGACAGGCGAATTCGGCCTGTTGCACCGCATGAACCCGGCTAGGATCGAGGTGCTCAGGGATGAGATACTGAGGGTTGAGGAGGTCGATGTTGAGAGTGGGAGGTGGTTGGAGGGACGGAGTGGGTTGGATGTTGGATGCGGTGGGGGGATCTTTGCGGAGGTGCGTCTGCAGGTCTCGAGGAAGGAGGGTCGCATGCTGATGAGTTCATGCGCGTAGTCACTAGCAAGACTAGGAGCAGATACGTTGGCGATCGATGCATCCGCCTCGAACATCACGACCGCTCAAACGCACGCCTCGCTCGACCCCTCCCTAAACCTCCTCAACTCGCCCATTTCCATCCCCTCCTCTTCTTCCTCCTCTTCCTCATCACGACCTACCAACTCGCTCGAATACAGGCATTGCGCGGCGGAGGACTTGGTCAAGGAGGGGAAACAGTTCGATGTCGTGTGTGCGATGGAGGTGGTGGAACATGTCGAGGATCCGAGGGGCTTCCTCGAGTGCTTGATGCAGCTTACGAAGGTGCGTGGGCGCCGGTTCACGTCTGACTCGCTCTCCGCACGAGGCTGACATTCCTGACGTTGACATCGACGTACAGCCCGGCGGCCACCTCATCCTCTCGACGATCTCCCGCACCCCTCTCGCCGAACTCCTCACCATCACCCTCGCCGAAGACGTTCTCCGTCTCGTCACCCCCGGCACGCACACCTACCACAAATACCTCCGCCCCACCGAGCTGCGGGACTTTTTCCGCGAAAAGGGCTGGGAGGCGTTCGAGACGAGGGGCGTCCCGTATGATCCAGTCAACGGAAAGTGGAGATTGTTGGATCCTGGTGCGATGGGCGGGTGGGGGGAGATGGTCAACTATTTTGCGGCGGTGAGGAGGCCCAAGGTGTAACAGACGAGCGGGCTGGAGAGGTGGTTGCTTCGGTGCGAGGCGAGATGCGAGAGGCTTTTCACTCAGTCTCTCAGCTTGACTACTACTCCACCATTTCCTCTGGCCCGCTCAGCTCGCTCTCGACAAAAGTGACTTGACCTCGTCGCTCCTTTCCCTCGTCCCCTCACTCACGCTTGCAGCAATCGCCCATGCCGCCCTCGACACGCAGTTCGTCTGCTCCGAAGGCGCCACAGAAGGCGGATCCGGCGCCCGCCAAACCTGCAGGAGGCGCGAAGGGGAGGAAGGGCGGTGCGAAGGAGGACGAGGGCAAGGACGGTGAGGTCGCTTCAATTCTCCCGCGAGGCGTCGCGGAGGGCTTGGGCTGATCTATTACGATGCTTCAACAGCCACGAAGCCGAAGAAGCGCAAGACGGGCGGGAAGCAGGGGAAGGGCAAGGCGGAAGAGGTGCTTGAGATGGGGAGGGACGTCTTCTCGACTTTGCCGATGGATCTGGTCCTCCAGGTGCGCCTGGCGCCTCTTCTCTTGCTTTCGACGCCCAGCTGACCCTCCGGCCATAGATCTGCAGCGACGTCGACCCCGGCACCCTCCTCGCCATCGGCCAGACGAGCAAGTCGATCTGCTCCACGCTCTTCCGCAAGGCTGCCGAGCCCGTCTGGCTCGCTGCGAGCAGGAACGTCGGCATGCCCGACTTGCAGGCCGAGATGGACGAGCCAACGTACGCGTACTTGGTCCAGGGAAAGGCTTGCCAGGTTCGTCTCGGTTCACCTGGCTCTTCTCCTTTGCGCAACTGACACGGCTCGCGGCGTAGGTCTGCGGTACGACTCGACTCAAGACCGAAGCCGAGCACGAGCTCCGCGTTTGCGCCTGCAGCAAATGCATGACGGCCAAGTCCGTTCCTCCCGCCTCTCCTGCGAGCCCCGCCCGCTGACGGCCTCTTCAGTCTCCGCAACGCCTCTCGCATCCGCAATGAGATGGAAGACCTTCACCCGCTTGCGCTCGAATGCTGCCTCTCAACGCCTTGTGAGCGACCCTCCCCGTCCTTCGCAAGCGACTTTACGCCGACTCGACTATTCCGCCACAGACTCGGCTGCTGGCAACACCCGCGCCGACGAGGAACACTACTTCTGGGTTCCCGAAGTTGCCGCCGTGTCTGATCACCTTGACGCGATCGACTCGCCGCCGAAGCCGGAGAACGACGACGAGCAGGAGCCCGAGTACAGCCCGAACGATGACGCCCAGCTCTTCCGCGAAGAGTGTCGTCAGCGCAAGGTCAAGGTGTCTGCAGACGCCGCAACGATCTTCAAGTACGAATCACGCTCGCTCGACGAGAACTTGGCGGAAGAGAAGAGGAAGATTGAAGCCCGCATGGCGCAGTATGTCCTCCGCCTTGCCACTGATGACGCGCTGCTGACCAGCTCATGTGCAGAATTCGGGACCGGCTCATCGCGGCCGGCTTCGTCGCTCAAGAGTGGGTCGCAAGCGTTCTTACTCTCGACCGCTGTTGATGCCGCCAGCTTGTGCAGCGTTCTCGCCATCCCTCGGGGGTACGATTACGGTGGCGTGCGCTTGAGCGATGACGGTGCGTACCAGTCGCTCTGCCGGCGACAGCTTACTCACCGCGAGATTGCAGAATGGGCGAAGATTCAGCCGACGGTGACGGCTCTCGCCACGCATAATCGTCAGCGTCGTCTCTCGCTCGAACGCGCCCAGCGACAACAGGACCGTCGGAACGCCCTCCAGCCGCTCTTCGTTCAAGTCAAGGCCGCTTGTTCGGCGTCCGAGCAGGCCATCTTTCCTCGCAAGAAGGCCTTCGACCAGTTGCCGACCGTCAAGCGGCTTTGGTCCACGACTCAAACTCTGTCAATCCGGCAACCTGGCCCAGCCATGTGACAATCCTCTCGGACGTTCGTCGCCTGCTCCGCCTCGACAAGGTTTGGATGTTCGACCAGCTTGCTCGCGTCCTTCACGAGGCCAACATTCCCCTTCCTCCTCGCGTCGTCAAGGTCATCACATCGGAGCGCTCGGTCTTCGTCGACGAGAAGGACGAGAGCAAGGGTCTCGCTCCGCTTCACGAGCAGTTGCCGGATGCCGTGATCGACCAGCTCTTCAGTCGACCCGTCGCCCTCTTCGTCTGCAGCAACTCGACGTGCCTCAACAAATCCTACCCCGACATTCTCGCGCACGTCGCTAGCTCGCATCCCTGGTCAGAGCCCGACAACGTCTCCTGCGTGTCGGCCGGCGCCGAGTACCTCAAGCTCATCGACACGATGCTCGACGAGGCGAACCTGGACCGCTTGAACACCACGAGTCAGGACCTCAAGCGTCTCGGCGGCCGTTTCGCCGTGACGCTGCGCGATGGATCGGTGAAGAGGAACGTGTCCTGGACTGGAGTGGTGCGTGCAGCCTCCCGCGGCAGCATAGGCTTTGCTAATGCTTCTCATTACAGGCTGAAGGACGCGAGCCCGACTGGGGTATCACATGGTTCGGACGGCCAGCCCACATGGGTCCAAGCGACCTTTACCTCGTCGACCGCGCCATCCACATCTCGCTTCAGCCTCCGCCTCCGCCGCCTCGGCAGCTCGGCAATCAGACGCTTTCGGAGGGTACGAGTGGCGGGAGGGCGTCGTAGGACGGCGCCGGGAGGGAACGCTTGAGATCGCTTGATGAGGAGGTTCGCTTGATGAGGAGGATGAGAGTTGTGCTTTGTACGCTTTCCTGACAGAACGCTACCGCCGCGCATGCGTCGCCGACGAGGAGAGGACGAGGAAGCTGACCGACAAAAACGCGCTTCGCCTCTTGACCTTCTCCCTGCACTCGCTTGCACTTGACCCCTCATGGAGCCTGCGACATACACCTTGGCTGGATCAGTCAAGACGCCTCTCGCCTCTCAGCAGGCCACCAGCGCTTCCGACTTCGTAGGCGACGAGCAGGAGGGCTCGAAGGACGAGGGTGAGTCGCCTCTTCTCGGATGATCCGCGGAGTTGCGACTGGCTTCTCGCGGCATGAACTTACTTCTGTTCCTCTTGAGTAGCCTCGAAGAAGCGCAGGACCGGAGGAGGAGGCGAGGGAACGGCGAGCGCAGGCGAGGACAAGCTGAGGAGGTTGTCCTTTTCGACTTTGCCGCTCGACATGGTCGTCCAGGTGTGTCGCATCGGAAGCGTACTAAGAGATACGCTGACAACCTAGGTCGCGCGCGCAGATCTGCAGCTTCCTCGACCCGGAGACCGTCCTCGCGCTCGCCCAGACGAGCAAGACGATCCGCTCGACCTTGTTCCGCAAGGCCGCCGCGCCCGTCTGGACCGCAGCAAGGAGGAATGTCGGCGTCGACGACCTGACGGGAGAGCTTCCCGAGCCAAGGATCGCGTTCTTGCTGCAAGGCAAGGTCTGCCAGGTGCGTTTGGCGTAGCTTCGTCTCGCTGAGACGGCTGACTTTGGCTTCATCGCAGGTCTGCGGCTCCTCGGCCTCTTACTCCTTCCCTCGGTTTGACCTGCAAGTCCGCGCTTGCTACCCGTGCCTCGAGGCGAAGTGCGTCCTGACGCTCCTGCTCACCCGATACCTTGCTAATGTTCGGCTTCGCCAGCGTCTTTCCCGCTTCCGCCATCCCTGAAGAAGTCCAAGACCTGCACCCGCTCAGCCTTTGCTGCTCTCTTGCGGCGCGTCGTGCGTCCGGGCGGTTCACATCATCGCGAGTCTGCTACTCACCATGTCGCCAGCAGACTCCGCAAAGGGCAAGATGCACCGCCGTCGCGAGCTCTTCTACTGGAAGCCGGAAGTCGTCGCAACGTCCGCCTACCTTCACTCTATCGACCCCCCCCCCCCCCCCCGGCCGCGAGGACCGACCGCAGGAAGGCTCATCCCTCCGGAGCCGCCGTCGACTTCCAGAGGTCCTTTGAGCGGTACAAGGCGGCAGCCGCAGCTGATGCCGCCAAACTTGTCGTTCACGAGGAGCGCCTGTACCAGGAGAAGCTGGTGGAGGAAAGGGAGAGGCCGGCAAAGCGTTTCAAGCAGTGCGCAATCCGCTTTCACTGCCGTTAACTCGCGCCGACTTGACCTTTTGCGTGCTCACAGGATCCAGAAGAGGCTCATCGCAGCTGGCTTCGCCGAGCAGGAGTAGGACTGAGGCTCCTCATACCGCGCCAGGCAGCATGGAATCGCTGACCTCTCCCTCTTGCCAGCACGCTTGCGGTTCCGACGTCGGTCAGGAACAGCTCAGAACCTGTAACGGACGAGTGTATGTCGCTCTTCGATGCTCCCGCCGAGGTCCCGCTTACCATCTCGTTCGCTTGCGCGCAGACTGGGCGCAGGTCCACAGCCAGGTCTTGGGCGCGGTCCAAGCACAGCGCGACCGACGTTTACAGCACGCGAGAAGTCAGCGTAGAGATGGGCTGCGCGCGCTGTACAACCTGCTTTACAACGCAACCTCGCCTGCCGAGCAGGAATTCTTTCCGAACGTGCACGCGTTCCTCCGCCTTCCCTCCATCGAGGTGCTCTGGCAGCCTGAGGACGCCGTCATCGACACGTCAAGCTGGGCCGCCTTGACCCCAAAGATTCGCCTCGACATCCAGCGTCAAGCTCGCATCGACAAGATTCGTTACTTCGACCAACTCGCCCGCGCCCTCCTCTCGATCGGCATCCACCTCCCAGCGTACATCGTCAATCTCATCACTGCCGAACCCTCCGTCTTCGTCGACGACGCAGACGACTCGAAGGGCGTTGCGCCGCTGCACGACCAGCTCACCGACGGGCAGCTCCTCGGCTTGCTGCACGGTCCTCTCGCCGTCTTTACCTGCAGCTTTTGCGGTTGGAGCTTCCCAATCCGGGACCACAACGCGCACCTCGACATGCGTCACCGCCCGACGACCTGGTCCTCTCAAGCCGACGCCAAGTTTCAGCCCGTTTCGAGTTCCTACCTCGGACTCCTTCACCAAGTCATCACCAGCGTCGGACTCGATAGTCTTGCGGCATACGCGGGCGATCTTGAAAACCTCGGTCCTCACTTCGAGGTGCGAATGCATGGCGGCGAAGTCATCACGGGCGTTCACTGGGCCGACTTGGTGAGCGTCTCGTATTGTACAGCGTACAGCATCAACTGAACTGTTCATTTGCAGCGCAAGGCTTTCGTCAGGAGGCCAAAACAGCCGCGTCCCGCGCACGGAGGGAAGCGCAAACCCCCCTTCTTCAAGCTAACCTACTGCGCAGCCGCCATCACCTACCGTCCGCCCGTCCCGCCCAGCCCTGTGGCCAATCAGCTCGCTTCGCCCGCGGACGAGACGAAGAAGTGAGCGAGACGCAGCAGGAACGGATGTGGGAGGAGTCGCTTCTAGTCGCTTGATTGCTTGGGCTTCCCAGCCGCACGTTGTTTTACACTAGCGCAGACCGTGCATCGAAGGAACATTGCTTCGCACACTCTGCCGGTGCGGCGAGGAGAGCCGACGTCGACAGGGTCTCCCGATCATCAAGCAGCTTGTGCAGCCGTCGCTGGTTCACGGGAAACCTCCTTCGCGCGTGTAGACTCTGGGAATTTATGATACGGATGCTGTTGACGTATATAGGGAAGAGAAAGCACGTTCGGCTTCGCCTAGCGACTCGGCTAGGTTTGTGCGCTCGTCGCCATCCTTGCGTCCTCTCTGCTTACAAGGTGTCTGACCTGATTCAAACCGATTGCTCTGATGTCGCCTGCTCCGGATGGAAGTGACCGGCCAGAGCGGCGAGCATGTGGGTCTACATTGTGAAGGCGAGAGTCGAGAAGGTCCGGCTGCTTCGTCTCTTTCTCGCTTCCAATGTCGCGCTGCTCCCCGCCCAAGCTGTCGAGCGTCACACCAAGAGCTCTGCTACAGCGAACGCCCCGCGGCTTGACCAAGGGCGACGTTGCCGAGACGTGAGGAATGCGAGTTCCCTCGCTCCTCCTTCTCGACCTCTTCCTCGCCGTTCTTGACCTCCACATGTCCCGCCAAGGTCTGCACCATGTAAAAGACACCTTTGTGTTTCCCAGCAGGAACAAGGATGCGATCCCGCGACCAACAGCGGCCGGCAAGAGCCGATCGCCCGCAACTCGCCGGATTCTGACCAAATTGCTTTGTTCTTGAACGTGTTTGCACCCTTTTCTCGCATCATTGCACGGTACCTTCGTATAGTGGTTATTACGGGGGTTTACTATTTCCTCGCTGAGCCTGTTTCGGCTCAGGAGTCCTCGTTGTCTGCCCCTGCCGTTCCGGCTCAGGAGTTCGAATCTCCTAGGTACCTTTTTGGTTCACGGGCGCGCGCCAGGTGTCCCTTTTTGCATCTGGGCGCCGGCGGACGTCGAACGGCACCCGCTGGAGAGGCGTTGGAAGCCGTTTCGCGACCTCGCAGCGGAGACTCGGGCGCCATGCGCCAGTCGCCGCGTCGGGGCGGGCGAGGGAGCAAGAGAGGGGTACGCATCGATGTTCTCGAGCCTGCAGAGCAAAGGCGGACTAGCCAGCTGAAGAGCAACCGTCGGAAGATCGGTGAGAAGGTCGAGCAAAGGCCGGCGCCGTCTGCTCCGTATTTCGTCCGCAAGACCTCGTTTCGATAAACAACCAGCTCATTGTGCCTCTTGAGGGGCGGCACGGAGGCGAGTGGGCGTATGGGCGCGAAAAGAACTGCTTGAATCGGAGCGCCGGCTGCCACAAGCCACAGGTGGATGTTCCTGCACGCTGAGAAGGAGAGGGAAGCACAGCAGATATGGCAACAGTCTCAGCGAGCATGCTGGGAGCATCTGCACCGGTCGTGGCAGCCAGGCTGCGCGTAGTCCCGAGCAGTTCGTTCGCAAGCCCATCCGACCTTACGAGCTAGCTGGCCGTCGCATGTCGCATGCCGAGGCTGGTTAACGAGCTTTGCAGAGCTGCAGTAGAACGAGGTCGTAATCGTATGGAAGGCTCCGAGATGCGAAGACGGTTAGACGCGTACGGAAAAGCAGGGCGAGCATGTCCATGGCGCGGGCGGGCGCGGGCGTGCGAGGGCGTGCGAGGGCATGGCGAAAGGTTTCACAATACGCAAGTGAGCCAGCAGACTGCGTGATTACTGTCGGTGACCTACACCAGCTGCAGCGAGACAAGGCTGGACCAGCCGAACGAGCTGGCGGGCAGGCGTCGGGTAGCAGGGCATCTTTGTGAACAGACTTGGCCTGCGGTCCATGAAAGAGTAAGTCCTTGGACTGGCGAGGCTAGCGCAGTCGAGCTGCAAGCGGGAAGAAGCAAACGAAAGACCCTGGCTCGACTCACCCTGCGGCATTGCGCCTGCCCATACCTCGAGTTTCCGACATCCCGCAGGCAGCTCTTTGCTTGCTGATCCACCCTGTTTGCCTAGAAGCCTCCGCAAGATCTCAATCGGCTTCAGTTTGACCCGCGAGCGCTGGCTCGAGTTAGAGGCGTAGGATCCGGTATGAGGGGCTGGGTCATGTCGAACAGCGCCTAGACAACGTTTTCGAAGTTCAGAATCGCAGGAGAAAAGTGAGCATCGTGAGCCCGCTCGGGCGGGAACGGCGAAAGGCAGCGAGAGGGGAGGAAGAGTGAGCGGCCGACCGCATGCTCCGCCAGAGCGCAGCGACTCCGAAGAGCATTGAGGCATGCGACGTGGCATGCACCCTGCTTCACTACCCGCTCCGCCTGCGTTGTCCGCGGTGCCCTGCTTCATCAGCCCGAGCGAGAATGGCGAAGGTGAAGGGACAAGTGGCTGGGGACGGCGGATGATGCTGCTCAGCGTGGCTGTGAGTCTTGAGAGCGGTCCAGCAGGCCAGCACAATCCTTGTGCAGAGTAGCGAGAGTTCTGGCGGAGAGCAACCTCTCTTCGCCCGACGGCACGACTGGCGCATGGCGCCCGAATCTCCGCTGCGAGGTCGCGAAACGGCTTCCAACGCCTCTCCAGCGGGTGCCGTTCGACGTCCGCCGGCGCCCAGATGCAAAAAGGGACACCTGGCGCGCGCCCGTGAACCAAAAAGGTACCTAGGAGATTCGAACTCCTGAGCCGGAACGGCAGGGGCAGACAACGAGGACTCCTGAGCCGAAACAGGCTCAGCGAGGAAATAGTAAACCCCCGTAATAACCACTATACGAAGGTACCGTGCAATGATGCGAGAAAAGGGTGCGAACGCGTTCAAGAACGAAGCAATTTGGTCAGAATCCGGCGAGTTGCGGGCGATCGGCTCTTGCCGGCCGCTGTTGGTCGCGGGATCGCATCCTTGTTCCTGCTGGGAAACACAAAGGTGTCTTTTACATGGTGCAGACCTTGGCGGGACATGGGCAGGTCAATAACAGCGAGGGAGAGGTCGAAGAGGAGGAGCGAGGGAACTCGCATCTCTCGCGCCTCGGCAACGTCGCCCTAGGTCAACCCGCGGGTCCCGGCCTGTAGCACAGTTCTTGGTGTAGCGCTCGACAGCTTGGGCGAGGAGCAGAGCGACGTCGGAAGCGAGAATGAGAGGACGCAGCCGGACCTTCTCGACTCTCACATAGCCTCGACTCTTCCGTGATTCCACCTGTGAAGCCATCTATAATGCAGTTCCAGTCTATTCACAGCAAGAAGTACACGTCACAGCCTCTACCTCCCATTTACACTTGCACTCCCGCTCGCATTGAGACCGGGCTTGTGCAAGTTCGTCCCTGATGCCCCCATCGCAGCCGCGCCGACATTGTCCGAGGTCATCAGCGGCTCCTGAGCGCGCTGAGAGAGCGCAGGAGCGTGGCTGGAGGCGGCGGCGTCGGAGGATGTCGCCTGCTCGACGGCCGAGGTGTCGAGTGCGGACGGGTTCTCCTTGACCATCGCGATCTGGCACGACAGGGCGGTCAGTCAATGCTTACAGGTAGAGTAGAGCGTGGCGACGCACCATGTTCATCTCCTCCTGCAGCGTCGCCCGGCGATACTCCGCTCGCAAGTTTGGCACATTGGTCTTGTGAATCCAGTTGCCGTCCTTGCCGGGCAGGTACCAGTCCTGACCGAGCCAGTGACGCTTGACTTCCATCTCGAAGCCGGACTGGGCGCATGAGTTGCGCGCGAGCTCGCACATGTCTGGTTGCGGGTGAGTCGTTAAGCGAGAGCGGAGAAGAGGACGGCGAGGACTACGCACCGGCCGGGGACAGCTTGTAGATCTGCGCGGCGACGCTGTACTCCTCGAGGAGCGGTTCCTATCCGCAAGCGAAAGCGGGTTAGCCCAACAGGCTCGCGACTCAGAAAGGAGCAAAGGAAGCGCCCACCTTGGTAAAGTGAAACTGCAGCGGGTCGTCTGTACTGAGACTGACGTTGAGGCCGGTGCGGAAGAAGTTGGGGAAGGGGTTGCGCTCGTAGGTGAGGAAGAGGGCGTTGTTCGAGAGAGGCGACATGGCGATCTGCGCGAACCTTACGAGTCAGCGAGCACTCGCAGCGAAGGCGATCGCAACGCACGCCAATCTGCTTGAGGTAGAAGAGGTACTGGAGCGCCGGGACTTTGCGCAGCAGGATGCCGTGCGAGATCGAGTGCGAGGTGAGGAACGCAGAGGTGAGGTGGTCGGTGTCGCCTGCTTCTCCGGCGTGAGGGCGGAGCCAGAAGGTGCCTGCGAGCGAGGCGAGATCAGCGAGGCGCGACGAGGAGGCGAGAGGAAGGAGAACGAACTGAAGCCGCGCTCGTGCCGCCAGTTGTTGAGCGAGGTGATGTTCGCGTACAAGAAGTACAGCCAGTACGCATATGGGGCTATCAAATCCACTCATCAGCCTCATCACTTTCGCAATGCGATAGCGGGAACGCACGGTTCTGGGTCGTGTTCCAGTCCTTCGGGACGGGGAACTTGCGGTACAGCCTGCGCTCGGCTTTGGACTCGTCGTCGACCGAGTCGAAGCCTACGACGCGTTGGAGGAAGACGTGGAGTTCGGGGTGGGACGAGGGGTCGGCCGTGACTTCGTACAGCGGCTCGAAGATGTCTGCGCGGGCGAGCGAAGCGCTCAGCACGCCTCATCTGCGCACGGAGAGGTTTGACACGCACTTCGGACGACCTCCTGGAAGTCATTGACGCCGCCCGACTTTTTGAACACGTCGTACAAGCGGGGGATCTGGATGAGCCACCGAACGTTGTCGCTGAACAGCTCGTTCTCGATAACCCATTTCGCGAGCTTGTCCCACTCGGCGGTGCTCCTGCGCCCACGGCGAGTAAGCTAAGGAAGAGAAGGAGATGGAAGAGAGCAACGCACCGCCCGTAGATGCTGATCCGATACTCGGCCATCTGGTACTTGCTCTGCTGCAAGTCGCTAAAGATCTCCTTCGTGATCTCGGCGAGGTAGCGGCCTTCGATGTAGCTTCGCGGGCACTCCGTCAGCACGAGAACCTCGAAATGGGAAGAGCGGGACCGCGCACTTGTCGGTTTTGAGGAAGATCTCCCTCAGGCGCGACTCGCCGAGCGGGTTGTACTTCAAGTTGAACTTGTCGAACCTGTTTCCCCCAGCCCATCAGTACCACTCACACTCGAGGGAAGGGACATGCGCACCGATGGAACGAGTCTTGGTGCGCATGCATGTCGAGCGTGTCGATCGAGAGGTCGTAAGCCGTCAAGTTGAGACTCTCAAACACCTGTCTCAACGTCAAGTGTTTCCCATCGCGGTAAATCACGACTTCCTGCTCGTCCACCTCCAGTCAGCAACATTTCGAGGCGAAGGACAGGAAGGGGACGAACGTTCGGACTGCGCCGGATCTTGAACTTGATGAACCGCAAGAGGTGCTTCTGGTTCATCGAGGCAGAGTGGTGCACGTGCGTATCGACTTTTCGGACGTTGTAAAAGTCGCGGTGCGAGACGCGCTGCGGGAGGCGAGGGGGGGTTTAGCGTCCGGTTCGAGGAGACTCTCGCGTGCTCGTCTTGCGAACTGTAGGCCGTTGCTGTGGAACTGAGGTGACTGCTGCCTCGCGTCGACAAGACGACCGCATCCAGGAGAACCCAAGCCCACCCCCAAGAAAACGAGCGAGCGAAAACGCACCTTCATCTCGGCCAACTCCCTATACTCATTCAGCAGCACATACAGGTTCCACTTGCTCTCGAGATACCTGAGCCTCCTGAATGCGAAACTCTTGGTCGGCCCGTCGGAAATGACGTTGAGCACGACGTCGAGGTCTTGGAAGTATTCTTTGATCGTGGGGACGGTGTAGAGCGGGGTGGTGGGGGAGTCTGTAGGGAGACGGTTAGTGAGAGGGAGAAGAGGGAGGGGATGGGACGACGCACCCTCGTCGTAGACTTGATACACCCCTCCCTCGTCCAGCCTAAACGTCCTCTTCCTCCCCTCCTCTCGCGCGGGTACCTCGCACTTCGCAAACTCGAACCTGACCCTCTCTTCCTCGCTCCGCCCCTCGTCCGCGCCTTCAACAACAGGCGGCTCGGTCGCCTCCGGATCGCGTTCCTTCCAGTGCGGTTCAGGCGGGGGCGGGTAAATCCTCCACCTCTCGAATCCCTCTGGCAACTTGACCGGGCGGATGTAGGAAGTCGCTGCGTAAGAGGGGGACGAGGAGGGCGAGAAGTGCCCGTCGTAGTTGGCCGGGTTGTCTTCGAGTCGTTGGCGTGAGAGCGACATGTATTTGTCCCGGAGGTCGAGGCAGCGTTGGAAGGATTCGTAGAGCGCGCGAAGTTCGGCTGTGAGAGCTTCGTGCGGGTTGTCTGCGAGAGAGCGCAAGGTCAGCGAGGACGAGGTGAGGGAGGAGAACGTCCACCACGCACGCGCGGTGAAACCTTCGTCGATCTCGTCCGCCTCTTCCCGCTCAGCATTTAACACCGGCGCTCCGTGATCCACCTTGGCGCCATCCCACGCCTCCTCAAGCAGTCCCAGCCCATTCGCCTGACCGTCCTTCTGCTCCCGGTCCTCAACCGCAACCGATCCCAATCCACCCGGCGTACCAGGGATAGGCGACAGCCCCAAATTCGCAATTCGAGGAGAGGTCAGATCCCCCTTCACCCTCGCCGCACTCGCAAGCGAATCCGACCTCGAGCGAGTGCGGGTGTGCGAGGCCGAGGCGACGGAGCCGCTTGGCGAGGACGGGGCGGGGGAGAGGGAGAGGTTCGTGTGAGAGAGGTGTTCGAGCGAGGGTTGGCCGGTGAGGGTGTGTGAGGAGGGGACCGAGGTGGATGCGACGGGGGGAGGGATGGCGGTGGGCAACTCGGCGCGGAAGGCTCCTGCGTCCTGCGGGAGTCCGTTGGGTGTCAGCGCGAGCCTTTTTGAGTGTAGAGTGGGAACGGCACGCACGGTTAGGTGTGATCGCTCGTCGCGGTAGTCGAAGAACGGGTGTTTGGGCGAGCCAGGTGCGGACGAGGGGTTGCTGCCGCTGGGCGTCGGTGCGGTGGACGAGTCGTGCATCGTGAGTGGTGGTCTGAGCGAGTCTGGTGTGCCAGCCATGGCAGCAGAGTGTGGGCGTGAGAATTCGCTTCAGAAGTAAGCGATCGATGATGAAGGTGCGGGATGGAAACTGGCTGCAAGAGTGGTGCTCTCTTGCGGTGTGGTCGAGTGTCGCACAGTCACAGTTGCATCACTACACAGTGAGCTTGACCAGCAGTAAGCACTCGAGAGGAAGAGATAGGACGAGGTGAGCTTCCCCCTGCCCCTTGCGAGATTCTGTCGCGGACTGACTGCGAGTCCTCTCTCGCTCCTCCCGCTCACTCGCTGGATTGCGGATGTCGCTCGCCACGCTATTGCGCTGTGCTGTCACTGCTACCACGGACACGCTACCGTGACACTGGCCAGGGGAAGCCCTTCTCGCGGCGCTTCCCCCGCCTCCGAGGTCGATGCTTGGCATCTTTCACCCTCGCCCTCGCTCTCTCCCTCTCCCGCTCTCGCCACTCTAAGCGAACCCTTGCACCTCGCTAGACACTGCTGCAACGCTGCAAACCATGCTCGCATCCATCGTCGTCGCTTCGGCCCTCGCGGCAGGCGCACTCGCCCAGTCCACCCCGCTCGCCGCCAAACGGTTCCAGTGGGACAACCTCGTGCGTCCCAAGCGCCACTCTATCCCGCGTAACACTCGATACGGACACCCCCGCTGACCTGCGCACTCTACTCCCACTACATCCGCCATCCTCTCTCTCTCCTGGCTCGCACCTCCTCCTCGATCGCTCAACCCCCCTCCCCCGTTCCTCCTCTCGCAGCCCTACAAAGCCGACACAGACAACGGTGTCCGCGGTCCCCAACTCGGTTACAACAGGTTCGTCACCTCGCTCCCTCTCAGACGTCTCGCCACTCGCTCGGGTTCTCCGATCGCAGCAATGGAGAGGCTTGGCGAGAGACGACTTGGCTAAACGGACGTACTGATTGCTGCGAATGGCTGTGACGGAACAGGTGCAACGGGACGACCCAGAACCAGGACTCGCTTTGCCAGACTGGTACGTTCGCGACTTTGAAGATTCGGGCGGGTGGTCGCTCGGAAGTATCGAAGACTGACCTTCGCTCGCTTACGCCCCCTTCTCTCGCATCACACATCACACACAGCCGTCATCAACTCGGTGCGTACGACTGCACAAGCTCGCGAGCTGACCGTCTCGAAGAGCTCGAACTGACTCTCTTTCGTCCCCTCGTCTGTGCGCACAGATCGATGACTTCTGCCTCTGGGTGCGTCTCATGAAGAGAATCATTGAGCACAAGCGGGCTGTTGACCCTCAGCTCGCTCTCCAGGCCCCTCCCGAGCCGGGCAAGACCGTCGGCGATATCGAAGGTCCGTTCTCCCCTTTCCCCTCCCTTCTCTCCCCAAGCTGATGGCGTCGGTGTGGTGTGGACAGGCGAGATGGTCGCGTGGTGCACCAAGGAAGGGTACGGGACGAGGATCATCCCCGAGGGCGCGTTGCAGGGCGTGCAGTTCATCCGGGTGCGTTCAGCTCCTCCTTACTGTCTCCCCTGCTTCTCATCTCGTGTTCGAGACGAGCGAAGGACGCTGAGACTGATGCCTGAACGCTGCGTAGACCCCGCACTACGTCCAAGTCGTCGGCTACATCGACCAAGTCAAGATCGACATGCAAGCGGACGACTACGGAGGCGAGATGGCGCGTCTTCTCTCTTTCCCTCCTTCGTTCGTACGCACGCTGACACCGGGTGGAACGTAGGACCCGCACGGAGCGGACCAGCGCGGAAACCCTCTCGGTGGTGCGTCCCGCCTTTCATGGTTCGTGGGCGCGGAGTATGCTGATGGAGGATGATTGTGCAGGCCTGCTCTTCTCGAACGCCTTTGGAGGGAACAGCTCGCGCAACGGTACGCGCAACGGCACACAGTTTCAGCAAGTCATCCAGGTTCGTCCCTTTTCCTTCACCTCGAGCCCTTTTACCGCAGAGACTGATAGGAGTAACGACGCAGTGGCACAACTTTATGGGCGGCGCGCAGTTCTGCTTGAAGGCTTGCGACCCGTCTTACGAGAATGGCTGGGCGATGTGCGAGGTTCGTCCTCCCTTTTCTCCTCCCTCCCTTCCTCCCTCCCTATCTTGCTAACACTTTCACAACGGGCATAGCACATCTTTGACCGCATCGGCTGCACCTACAACGCCCCTTCGACCTGGTCCAAGATCAACGGCACGTTCGAGAGCTGCTTGGGCGACGACCAGCTTTACCCGGGCCAGTACATCGAGAATGGACGGACGATGACGTATACTCAGCCGCCCGAGTCGTTGGGTCCTATCACGACGTGCGTTCGCGGGCGTTCCTTCTCTCGAGTGCTTGAAGAGGAGAAGCTGATGAGAGGATGTGTGCGGCGCAGCGTCCCCTACACGCCCTTTACCCCCTCCTCATCCTCCTGCACGCCCTACACCTCCGCCTCGATCTACACCGCCGCCGCCCAACTCGCTCCCTCGTCCTCCTCCACCTCCACCTCCTCTTCTTCCGCTCCTACCTCCTCCGCCTCGGGCTCGGCATCCGCAACGGCTTCGTCCGGTTCTGGAGCGGGATCCGCAGCGGGTCCGGCGAGTACTGGGACGGCGGGCGGTCAGCAGAACTCGCAGCCTGGCTCTGGATCAGGCGCGGAGGACCTCAAGGTCGCAGGAATGATGGTTGCTGTCGTCGCAGGGTTGATCGGATTCGTCGCAGCGCTCTGATCGCACCTCACCCACTCACTTACCTAGCCCTCTCTTTCTCTCACTCCCTTCTTAGCCCCTCACTTCCCGTTCGTTTGTAGCACTCACAGCTCCGCTCTCTCGCACTAGTAGACACTACGGTCCTCGGTCTTGCTTATGCATGCGTCTTCGCTCCTTTCTCTTCTTTGTCGAGCGAGAGAGGGAGGGTGAGGAGCGGGAGATGAGGAGAGGGCCAAGCGGCGAGCGGGCGACGAGGGGAGCTCTCGTGCGACGGCACGAACACCAGTGCTTGTTCTTGCATCCCGAAAGCTCAGAGAGTCGTTGAGACGAAGCGCGGCGAGGCTCTACGCAACTCGTGCGCGAGGTTGCGAAGGTCAAGCCAGTTTCCCTCTCAAGGCCTCTCTCGCCCTTCTCACTTGTACGAGGGAGATGCGTAATCGAGAGCTCGTCACAGGTGATGCGGTGTAAGCGACAAGCGGGTCCGTCCAAGCGAATCAAGCGAATTCCGTCCATTCAAGCGAGTTTCCCCTCCTCCTCCTCGAGCTAGACCGTGCGCCTCAGCCGGTCGTTCCGCCGCTCGTGCTGGCCGACGTCGGGATGGCCGGCGAGTCTTGTGGAGCGGGCGAGGGGGACGGAGCCTTGTAGGTGATCGAAGTCGCCTCCTCGACGAGATCGTACGTCGTTCGGCCCCTCCACCAGGGAGCTCCTGTCACATAGCAACCCGACGCCTGCGAGCCGCCCGTAGGGAATTGATCAAAGCGAGGAAATAAGATCGAGCGCACCAGATCCCTCCAGTCTACCGTGATTGAACTGCCGGACTTCAGTTGCACCTCAAAGTGCTTGTCAAGCCCCTCCAAGTCTGCAGTCGTCGCATCGTTTGCGTCGACGCCCGCCTCGGTAATTGCGTCGTGCAGGAGCTGGAGATAGGTAGAGGCCGCCGGCTGGAAAATCGCCTCAGTCTCGGCGCCCTCCCCATTGCTTCTCCTCCGTAGGTGGTAGTGAACGAAGAAGAAATGAGAGCCAGTATCCTTGACGTGGCGGGTCTCCCCGCATGAGCTGCAGGTGAGCAGAGCGAGGGCGTTGTCGAGGACGACGGCGAGCTGCGAGTCGGTAAGCCTGTCGTGCAGAGGCGCAACGCTTTGGGAACCGTCTTCCTCGTCGAGGAGCGGCGAGCGCTCCGCCTCGAGGACGCCCACAACGCTGGACGGCAACGCGATGCCGACGGAGAGGAGGACGCGCGCGAGCTGATCGAAGTAACGGATCTTGTCGATCCGGACCCTGTGCTGAACGTCGAGGCGGATGACTGGCAAGCGGGCGTAGCAGCTTGAGGGGTGCCCGTCTTCGAGGTTCAAGAGAGGCTTGACGGAGGAAAGGCCGAGGTACGCATGCATGCTCGGGAAGAAGTGCTGCTCAGCAGTCGGAGTCGCCTGATAGAGATCCTCGTAGATCATGAGCAGCTCGGCCTTGCGCACCCTCCTCCCCTTCTCCATGCGCTCGTCGCGCGCTTCCTGGACGGCCTTGATGACGTCGTCCTTGACCAGCGCCCAGTCTGCGAATCGGACGAGGTAAGCTAGCCTCGACCGCACGAGCCGGAGGATCACGTACAGTCTTCATCGACGGGTTGCAAGCTGTTCTTGACCGAAAGCGGTACTGCAAGCGTGCTGAGCAAAGAAGCGTTATTGCACGAGGTGCGCAAGCGGCGACGCGCAAACTCACTCCACCTTGTCGAAACCAGCATTCATCAGCCTGATCTGGATCCTGAAGTGCGACGTCGGGATGGCGTCAGCTCTCGACGACCGGAAGGAGTGTGATAGGACGCACTGCTTGAAACGCAGGATCGGCCTCTCCTTCTCCTCTTGCAGCCTCTGCTCCTCCACGCGGGCGACGCAGTCCGGAAACGCCCACGAGTCGGCTTCAACAGGGCCTGCATAGTCGTCGAAGTCGCGCTTCAGGTCGAGCGCGGCCCGCGATGGGTGCGCCTTCCTGCGGTCGGTCCTCGCGGCGACCGGGTCGATCTCGCGAAGGAGGGCAGACGTCGCGACGACTTCGGGTTTCCAGTAGAACGGCTTGCGAGAGACGCTGCGTTTGCCCTTGTGCGAGACTGCGGGAGGCATGCGCTGAGTCCTCGCGCGGAAAGAAGGTCAAGCGAGCGAGACTCACATGGCGTCGAGAGGCAGCACTGGAAGGTGAGCGGGTGAAGCTTGTCGATCGACTCTTCGAGACTTGTGGCGAGGCAGATGCTGAAGCGAGAGAAGGATCAGCCACAAGCCTCCGAAGCCAGCGAGGACGAGGCGGCGCACTTCCTCTCGAAGCACTTGGCGCAGGCGCGTACTTGGAGGTCGAAGTCTGCAGCCGTCTCGCGCTTCGTGGTGCCGCAGACCTGGACAAGCGCATTCAGAGACTTGACACGCCGGCGGACAGGCGCAAACGCACCTGGCAAGCCTTTCCGTAGAGCAGGTACGCATACGTCGGCTCGTCCAATTTTCCAGAGAGGGCGTCCAAGCCTGCACTCCGCCTTGCGGCGCGCCAAACAGGTGCGGCAGACTTGCGGAACAGCGTCGAGCGGATCGACTTGCTCGTCTGCGCGATGGCGAGAAGGGTTCCGGGGTGGAGCTGTCCGCAAATCTGCGATAGTGCAGCCCATCAGCCACGCTCTACAGTCGTACGGGCGATACGTCGGACGCACCTGGTAGAACAAGTCTAGCGGCAAGGTCGAGAAGAAGTCCCTTCTCGTCCCAACCTCATCCGCCTCGCCCTCCTCGTTCCGGCTGCTCGTCTTGCGCTTCTTCCCACCTGCAGAGTCAATGCAAAAGTCAGCGAAGCGCTCACGTCGTCGCCAGGTCCGCGGACAATCCGGGAGGAGTCTAAACGCACCGTCATCTCCCCCTCCTTCCTCCGCCCTCCTCACGCCATCGGAGGCGGGCTGAGCGTCGTCAGCAGTCGTAGAAGCGTTCTGTGCAGCGGATGCGCGGCGAGTCGTAGGCGGCATGAGCGGTTGAGCGGGAGCGAGTGAAGAGTTGGAGGGAGAGAGAAGGAGAGGAGCTCGACGAGTCGTATCGCGAGGGTCTGTACGTTGGGTGGAAGGGCAAGAACCGCGCGACAAAAGCTCATATGCCAAGTTAAGCCCGTGAAAGCGTAGGGAGGCTATTCCATCCTTCTTGTAGACTTCCTTCGCTCGTCGAGTCTTCACTTCCCGCTCATTCGTGCTAATCCCGCTCCTGCTTCCTTGCACTGGTATACAACACGGCCCTCGCCTCGCCTATGCTTGCATTTGCTCTTTCGCTTCGGAGAGGAGAGGGTGAGGCCCTGGGAGGATGGGTTTTGTGAGGCTGCACGAGCAGCCAACGCTTGTCTCGCACCCCGAAAGCTCAACTTGTTAGCGAGAGTAAGCGCGGCGAGGTTACGCAACTTCTGCGCGAGGTTGCGAAGGTCAAGCCCTTTTCCTCTCGAGGGCGTCTCTCGCCCTTTCTCACTCGTACGATGGAGATGCGTAAGCGACAGCTCGTTACAGGTGATGCTATGTAAGCGACAAGCGGGTTCCGTCCAAGCGAATCAAGCGACTTCCATCCGTTCAAGCGAGCTCCTCCTCCTCCTTCGCAAGCTAGTCCGTGCGCCTCAGCCGCTCGTTCCGCCGCTCGTGCTGACATGCGTCGGCAGCTTCGAGCCTCCTTCGCGCCTAGTCTTGGCCCTCTTCTTCTTGTCGACGAGGGTAGGGTCGATGTACAGGAGTGCATACACCGATTCGCTGTACGAGTATGCGTGGCTGACCTATAAATGCAACGAGAGTATCAGTATGGCTACGGCATGAGAGCAGTGGGCGACTTGAAAGGACGCACCAGTCCCGACCAATTCAGCCCCTGACAGAGACGGCCGTCCGGGCTGTTGAAGCGGACCTCGAAACCCGCCGGAAGCTTGTCGAGAAAGTCGATGGTCGTGGCAAGGCTCGATAGCCCGAGACGGTGCAGGAAGCGGTCTAAGAGCCGGAGGTAGTGTGCGCCAACTGGCTTAATCATGTTGTCGACTTCGAGCGTCGCCGTTGACGAGTTTTGAGCATGCCTTTGCTGCCAATGCGTGCCGAGGTTGGGGATCAGGAAGTGGTGAAGGCAATTGCCGCAGCGGAAGACGGCGAGAGGACTGTACAGCAACTCGTGGAGCTGCTGATCCGTGAGCTGGTCATGCAGCGGCGCGACGGCTTCCGTCTCGTCGTTCATGTCGACGAACGCGGACGGCTCGGCAGCGATGAGGTCGGTGATGTAGGAGGGTAGGGCGACGTCGGCGACAGTGAGTGCGCGAGCGAGGCGGTGGAAATATCGGATCTTGTCGACGCGGGCCTGGCGCTGGAGGTCGAGGCGAATTGCCGGGGTCGCGGATGACCAGCTCGCCGGGTCGCTTACAGCGTCTTCGGGGAACCATAGCGCCTGAACCGACGGGAGGCGCCAGAATGCTTGAGGGCTTGGGAAGAAGGTCTGCTCGGCGGGCGGAGTTGCGCTGTAAAGGTTCTTGTAGAGCACAAACAAAGCGCGCTTGCGCTCCGCTCGCTCGCCTTTAAGCCGTGCGTCGTGCGCCTCCTGTACCGCACGAATTAGGCGGTCCTTGATGTTCTCCCAGTCTGCGGCGCCAGCGCGAGGTTAGCTATGTTCCTCGTGGCGCAGGGTGGGTTGCGCACAGACGTCGTCGACGGGAGTTGTGCTGTCCTTGAAGCAGTTGGGGATGCTGAACGTGCTGCAAAGAGAACCGTCAGATAGCGCTGCGTACGCGGGTCCTTTCGAACGCACTCCTTCTTGGTGAAGCCCTCCGCCATCAACCTGAACCGCAGTCTGCAGCGGAAGGACAGTTATGGTACGAGCTCTGCTACACGACGAAGGTGACGCACTGCTGGATACGAAACAAACGGAATTCCCGCTCGTCCTGCATCGTGCGCTGCGCGGCGCGCTTCACACACTCCGAGAAAACCTTTGCGTCAGTTTTAACGGCGCTGGCGTAAATGTCGAAGTCGCGCTTGAAGTCGAGCGCAGCCTGCGACGGATGGGCCTTCCTGCGGTCGGTCCTCGCGGCTACGGGATCGATTTCGTGAAGGATGGCGGACGTCGCGACGACTGCGGGCATCCAGTAGAATGGCTTGCGACCGACAGTCCGCTTGCCCTTGTGCGAGACTGTGGGAGGAAATTATTGAGCATCGGCTAGTTGAGAATATTCACCGGCTTGGACTCGCAAGGCGTCGAGAGGCAGCACTGCAAGGCGAAAGGGTGACGGTCACACAGAAGCTCATCGAGTATTGCGGCAAGGCAGATGCTGGGCGGCGAGGAGCGTCAGCGACTCGCAGTCGATGCAGCAAAGACAAGAGGAGCCGACTTTGTCTCGAGGCACTTGGCGCACGCCCGTACTTGGAGGTCGAAGCTTGCCGTCGTCTCGGTAGTAGTGCCGCAGACCTAGAGAAGGGAGTCAGAGGGTCCGCGCTATGGCGGAGAGGCGTCGTGCGAACGCACCTGGCAAGCCTTTCCGTAGAGCAGGTACGCGTAGGTCGGCTCGTCTAGCTTGCCAGAGAGGATGTCCAGGCCGATGTTCCTCCTCGCAGCGCGCCACACAATCGCGGCGGACCTGCGAAAGAGCGTCGAGCGCATTGACTTGCTTGTCTGCGCGATGGCGAGAAGGGTGCCGGGATCGAGATGGCTGCAGATCTGCAATCTCGTGAGCGTTAGTCAAACTCCCGTCTATGATGCGGCCTTCGATGCGCCGGGACGCACCTGGTAAAGCATGTCCATCGGCAACGTCGAGAAGAAGTTCCTCCTGACTTCGCCTTCCGCCGCCTCGCCCTCCTTGTTCGCGCTCAGCTTGCGCTTCTTGCCACCTGAGAGCGTCAAACACAGCGTGAGCAAGCGTACCCACAACTTCGACAAGGTCCGCGGACAATCCGAAAGGAGTCGAAACGCACCCTCGTCTTCCCCTCCCTCCGTCCTCCTCCCGCCGTCGATTGCAGCCTGAGACTGGTCAGCAGTTCGAGGAACCGTCTGGTCAGCCGCAGCGGCGCCAGTCGAAAGCGGCATGAGCGGTTGAGCGAGAGCGAGTGAAGAGTCGGAGGGAGAAAGGAGGAGACGACAGCCGACGTCGTTACGACGTCTCTCGGCTTAGGCGCACGACCGTCTGTTAGGCTTAGGCTGTGGAAGAATAGTAATTGCGATTAGAAGCGAGCCTGCGCGGGAAGTAGGAGATAAGCGAGTACGATATGATTCGTCGAGGGAGGGGGGAGCAAAAGAGTAACGACAACGAGCTGGCGAGAGGGCAGGTGAGTGAAAGGGTATCTATCTACTGAAGTCGGGGGGAAGTACGGTTAAGGCGCTGCGAAAGTCGGGCCGAGGGCGGAGGGAAGAGGATACAAGTCGACCAGGAAAAGTACGGCGAAAAGGGCGTCTAGGTATGCGTGGTAGTCCTTGGGCGGGCGGAAAGGGGTATGCGGTGCGCGAGCGAGGCGAGTCGAGAGGCGGTGGGTGAAGATCAGACCTTCATGAGCTTCATCATGGCGACGAGGCCGGACCAGCCGAACGAGTTGGGCGGGTAGGCGATGTGCAGTGGTTCGTCTTCGGTGCCGAATTTGGCCTGCGAGAGGGACGTCGAGAGAGTCAGCACCTCCGTGACATCGTGCTATCGCAAGCGGGCTGCACGCAGTCCGCTCGCGAACCGAACGAATCGACCGCGCCGACTCACCCTAAACTGCCCACGATTCGCCAGCCCATACCTCGCGACAATCTTCTTGTACGCCTTTCCCAACATGCGGATCTTCCACCCACCGAGGTTGTACTCGGGGTTGATTTCGCTCGTCGCGGACGCGCCGAACGTCAGGGCGTTGCGGCCTTCGAACTGCATCTCGCGGATTACGTGCCCGAGGAGGCCTTCGGAGGTGCCGCCGGGTGCGTTGGGCTATAGAGAGGAAGAGGTGGGCGCAAGGGTAAGAAGCGTGGAGAGACCGAGGCGTCAGCGACAAGCTCCGAGCCCAAGTCTCGCGAGAGCTTCTTCCCGAGACGCACGAAAGTCACCGCATGCTTGATCTGGTACGAGTCGTGCGCGATCTGGGCCAGGATGCAGATGGCGACGATTTTCTGCGACCGCCGCAAACCGGGAGGATCAGTTCGAGGCCTCTTCTCGAGGCAAAGGAAGGAGAACGGGGAACGTACCTTGTGCTCGTCTCGCGCGAGGAAGTAGCGGCGATGTTGTGCGTCGAGCCAGGGATGCAGGCCGGCCTGCGAGAGCGAGAAAGAGAGGGACGGGAGCTCATCGTCAGCTCAAGTCCTCTGAACGAACTCGGGCGCCTACTTACGGCCGCAATCTGCGTCCCATGCCTGTTGGCCTTCCACCTGTCGAGTCCGGCCTCAATCTCGTGCTTGACGTCCTCGGGAGGCGCGTACGAGGGCGCCTTGAGCTTGATCTCGTCGTACTTGACGTGCGCGCGGTCTGCCCGTCGGATATTGTGTCGCACCTCCTTCTCCTCGAGCTTCTTGATGTCGGGGTCTGCGAGCGAGTACGCGCGTGAGCTGGGTTAAGAGTTGAGACGGGAGAAGGCTCGCGCACGCAGGACGTCTTCACGGACGCAGGAAAGGACGCTCCACCCAAACTCCTTCCCGAGCAACTCTGCAAACTCGGTGTCGACGACGCAGTACGCGACCCTGCGCTTCTTTGTCTTTGTGGCCCACTCGACAAACTCGCGCGCGACCGAGTGCCGGATGTCGGGGTCGTCGCGGCAGATGGGCGGACCCCAGGCAAAGTAGAAGCTGCCGCGTGGGAGGTAGCCCTGCACGCGCGGGTTCGACTGCTGGTGGTCGGGCGAGCGCCAGATGGCGTAGCGGTCTTCGAGCCAGGCGGTCGAGGTGGACGAGCCGTACTTTGCGATGAGGTTTGGGAGAAAGTCCTTGTCGTGGTCGGGGGTGTACGAGTAGGACGACGACGCGGACGAGCGCACCGAGGACGAGCGTACGGACGAGGTCGAGGGCCGAGGCGTGCTCATCCTGGCGGGTGCGAGTGTTGGTGGGTGAGGCGGAGGGTGCGGGGTGGGCTGGCGGGTGGGATCAAGTGCGTGAGGGCGAGCTTGTCGAAGAGAGACCCGAACTTGACAAAGCGGGCGAGCGAGGGAGAGCTATCCGCGCTTACGTCAGGCTTGCCTCGCTTGGCCTCGGGGATGAGCGAGTGCCAAAGTTGCGCATGGCTCACCTGAGCACTGCGCTCTAAGCCGTGCAGACAGCACAACACTGCTCCGCGCGTACCTCCCTCCGCGCCCTCCCTCTCACACGACGACGAGATGCGACGAGGGCTGCGTAACGGCGAGATAATCTCAGGAGGACGGGTTCGGACTCGGTTGCCATGCGAGCGTGCGAGGCGAGGGACTATCTTTTGCAGTAGCAATATTGCAGTAGAACATAGTCTCCAATACAAGCTTGGAAAACCTTTGTTCGAGGGCGACCCCGCTGTGTTCGGCCGACACCACGCCCTCGTCATTGCTGCGACACGCACTCGCTCAGGAGCCAGCGCTGCTCTTTCACCGCCACTCAGACAGACAGACAGAGACGAGCACAGGCTGCCCTGCCGGTCCCCGCCGTCCTTGCCCGCTTCTTCTGCCGCGCCGTCGACCGTCAACCGCCAACTTCCCATCGACACGCTCTCCTTCGGCCAGCACACCGCTCAGGCAGGTCCGTAGCACGCCAGAGCTTTCTACAACACCCTACAGCACCCTCCATCGCCGCGCGAGCCGCCTTCTGAGCCACCGCCGCCACCTCGCCCAGTCGTTCGACCCGCAGCTCCCCTCCTCACCATCCCCTCCTGCGCTCTACGGCCCGATCTCGGTGGCACAGGTCAAAGGTACGTACTCCTGCAACCATCCAGACGCCACACACGACCGCACACCGAGCTGACAAGTCGCCTGCTTGATCCGATCCTCGCAACGCTTGACGCCTCGCCGAATGTTCTCTGCCGATCCCGACGACCTTAAATCTCTCTCGCCATTTCCAACCTCAGCCTCTCTCTCTCTCTCTTCTCCCACCCACCCGCACCCGCAAAAGAGAACGCCATGTCCCTCCCACAAGATCTCGACATGGACAAGCTCCCTACCCAACCCTACTCCTCCCCTCGCCTCCTCAAATGGCTCTACTGCACGCAACGCGTCTCCGCCTCCCTCGCGCTCCTCCCCTACTGGGCCATCAAGTACGCGATCGGCCACCGTCCTCGTCCGTCTTGGTCCATCGCCGAGACGCTCTTGATCGACTTTACCCGCCGAGTAAGCGCCATCACGGATCGCGCGGGCGTGCAGCATGCGGTGAGGGATCCGTGTGAGGAGCCTCGGCGGGACGCGCTGAAAGAGACGCGGTTCGAGTGGGTTCCCGGAATCGAAGGAGAGTTGTATGCCGGCGCGGTCGTGGATGACGAGGTCAAGCCTCTCAAGCGCGTCGGGACGTTCATCTGGGAGCGAGCCGAGGACGTGCGCGAGGATTACGCGATGCTGAATGCCAAGGACGCGGATTTGGCCGAGGAGAACTCGGATGCTGGGTCGGTCTTTGGAGGACGCAATAGCGGGACGGAGGAGGGCGACAGGGGAGATCTCGTCGGAGTGTACTTCCATGGCGGCGGGTACACGCATTTCTCGGCGACCGAGTGCGCCCAGACGAGCATGATCCCGCGGAGACTGATGCAGGTGCGTTCGCCCCGCGCACCTCTTTCGAATGCTCTTGCTCACTCAGTTTCTTCGCACAGCACGACTACTTTTCCGCTATTCACGGTGCGTCCGAACCCCTAACATATCGAGATGATGCCGACTGACTTTGTCTCCCGCGCGCAGCCGTCGAGTACCGACTCCTCCCTCACCCCTTCCCCGCCGCTCTGCAAGACGCCCTCTCCGTCTACTCCCACCTCCTCCGCTGCGGCGTCCCGGCACACAAGATCATCCTGATCGGCGACTCGGCAGGTGGGAACATTGCCCTCGCGCTCGCGCGGTGGATCCGCGACGAGAAGCTCCTCGCCGCGCCAGGTGGCCTGATCCTCCTCTCGCCTTGGTGCGACCCGTCACACTGCTTCCCCCACTCGACGACTTCGTACGTCCCCCGACCGAATCCAGAGGATTACCTCCCCGACGAGCCGGGCGCGAGGAGGTTGCTCGTCACCTCCCTCCTCGGCAACAAACCCCATTCGTTCCTCAGTTCGCCTTATATCTCCCCTGCGTCCCAACTCGGCCCACACGGCTCATTCGCCGACTTTCCACCAACGTTCATCCACTACGGAGACGCGGAGCGCCTGGAAGAAGAGATCGACTCGCTCGTCCGCGGGATGAGGCGCGATAAAGTCGAGTTGCTCGATGTCGAGAAGACCAAGGACGCGGTGCACGATGTCCTCATGGTCAGGTTCTGGAACGAGGAGGTCAGGACCGAGATTTACAGGAGGATCTGCGAGTGGTTGGACAGGGTCGTCGCGAGGGGGAAGAAGATGGATCGGGGCGAGGACCCGCGTGCGCCCGTCGTCGGGTCGTCGTCGTCGAGTTTGAAGGACATCGAGGCGAATGGACAGGTTGCGGCGCACGTCCAGCCGGCGAGGGAGGACATCGAGGAGACGGGTCGCCCGTCAAAACTGCACAAGTGAGCGCACCCCCGCTCGCACATAGACATTCTCTCTCTCTTTCTCGATCTGTATCGCTGTTCAGCTAGCATCTCTCCTGCATTTGCATCGTCGTCGTTGTTCCTATCTTCGCCCGACTTTGCGAGTTTGCCGGAGTCCGGCTTTCTCTCCTCGACCACTCGCGATGGCTGCTCAAGACCCGTCGCTGCTGCTACAGGACTTGCTGTCGCCTGCTTCTCCCTCTCTCGATCCACGCCAACTCGCCCGCCTCGTCTCATACCACCTCTCGACCCTCCCGCTCGCACGCCCCCACCTCGCCTTCATCTCGCTCATCGCGCGCTACACAGCTCTCAGTCCAGCGATTTGGGACTCGCCAGACTTGTCAGGATGGGACAAACACCAGCTTGTGTACGAGGCAGTCAGGCAGGGAGTCTTGTTGCGGCTCGACGGGGTTGCCCGGCCGCCAACCCCCGAGGAGCCGGTTGCGTCCACTTCCAAGCGCGCGAAGGACAGCGGCGGGTGGAGCGCGCGTCGGACAGTACAGACGTTCGTAGCCGAGCTTTTCGCGGGTGTCTGGGCGGACTCGAGCGCGGCGCACGAGCAGGAGGAGGGCGTGAGGCCGCTTGCGAGGCTCACGCTTTGTTCGGGCGCATTGGCGGCACTGCAGGAGTGGAAGAGGAGGAAGGAGAAGCTGTGGGTCGGAGGCGCGGGCGGGCTTGGGAGGGCGGAGAAGGAGACGGGAAGGGCTTGGGCGGAATGGGTGCAGCGAGGCGGCAAGGGCACGGCTGGTGAGTCCGTCTCTTGCAGACTACGATGATGAGATGCTGACGAGGCTCTCAGTAGACGAAGCGCTCGCGAAAATGTTGGCTTGGCTCGCTGCGCAGACCATCCCGTTCGTCCACCCAGAAATGCTGGCTGCAGATTGGCCTACCGCCGTGAGTCGCCTCTAGTTGCGCTGGGAGACTGCATACTGACCATGCTATTCCGCAGGCTCTCCTCAACCACCTCTCCGACTCCTTCTCGGCCGTCTTCGCAGGCGGATACGCCTTCTCTACCCCTCCTCTTTCCGCCGACCTCGCAGAAACCGCCGACGGACTCGCATGGAACACGCCGTCACCGTCGCATACGCACGTCACGGCTCTCACCCAAGCACCGCTCTTCGTCAACCTCGGACCGTTGTCGCGCGCGATCGGCCGGACACTTGAAGCGACCGCCTTGACGGCCCGGTCGAGCGACACCTCCGTCGCCCAATCGTCACTCGCAGCGTTCCACCGTCTCTCAACGACACTTCTATCCGTCGCCTGCTCGCTCTCAGACGGCTGGTCTGCCACGCTTTGGTCCGATATCACCGACGACTCGTCCCTCTCGCCCTCGACCCGTTCCGAGACCGCTCCCTGGACCCTCCTCAAGTCACTCCTCTTCGCCCAAACACTCGTCTACTCATCCCTCCTCGAAGTCGTCACCTCCTCCTCCGCCTCAGAGGCCGGCGAACCCACCCAAGTCCAGCGCCAACTCGCGAGTGACGCCGTCCGCGCACTGGGCAAGACGTACTTTGTTGCGCTCAAGTTTGGTCAGGGAGGGTTTAAGGCTTGGAGGGCGGTGTTGGCGGGACTGGTGGAGGTCGTTGCGGCGCCGAGCGCTGGTTCGACGGCCGAACGGAACGGGAAGAAACCCGTCACGCAGGCAGAGACACTTGTGCGGTCGCTACAGGTCGCGAAGGGTACAGGTGAGGGCGGGCGGCATGTGCGGGCGGTCGAGAGGGCTGAAGCGACGTTCTGGCTCAACACGGCGGAGCAGGTGATGGGCGAGCTCGGCGACGATTACGTCGAGGAGACTGTGCTTCCAGGTTGCAGACCGTGCGTCCCTAAATCCGTTCTCTCGGAAGCTGGCTGACGACGCCATTTGCAGATACCTGGACGACGTGACTTTCCGCGACACCTTCGAGGCCGCACATTCCGTCATGCTCGCCGTCTTCTCGAACACTAAGCGATGCGTCACAGAGGTCGCGCCGTGGTACACCACCCTACTGCTGAAGGTGCGAACTTGCCTCTTCCTCCGAGAACAACCGCTTACAACCAGACTCGCAGATCTACCCTAGCCTGCTCTCGCCAACTCAACTCCGCTTCGCCTTCTCGACGACTGTCGGCGCAGTCTCGAGTACGGATGACGCGCTCGCGTGGTGGTGCGTTGAGGAGCTGCTCGCCCGCCTCGACGCCCTGCCCGCCTCGACCGAAGGGCCCGCCTCGGAAGCAAAGCCGATGCCTGTACCCTCAACCGACGACCTCGCCAAAGCCGGAGACACTCCACCGGCAACCGAGGAGAACACCGTCACGCCCCTCGAGACCCGCGCCATGACGCTTCCCCGCGGCGCTTACCTCCTCACCCTCATCGCCCTCCTCCCCTCCGTCAACCTCGTCCTCTTCTCCCCACTTCTCTCGCACATTCAGCGCCTGGTCCGCCAAGAACCTGTCAACAGCGACGGGAGGAACGCGCTCGTCGAGGCGACGTTTGAGCAGCTTGGCGCGGGTATGGATGCGGTCAAGAGGAAAGAGGCGACGGAGTGGTGGTTGCGACGAGGCAGGGCACTCGTCTCGGGAGGAGCGCTGCACCAGGATGCCGACATGCGGGGGCTTGAAGGACTCGGAGAAGCTGGGGAGACGGAGAGACTGGAGGATGTTGAGGAAGTCGGAGACGCATCGGCGGCGAAGCTGTAGATCGTGGACCCCGCGCTTCGCCAATCGCAGTGCCGCATACTCTCAGTGTCTCTGTGCTTCACCAGAAAGCCGCGCTTGTTTGCTCAAGGTCTCGGGCAACTTCTCCTCTTCGTCCTCTCTCGCTTCATTGCGACATCGTCTTCTGGCTTCGTCCGCTCTACATACACTGTGCAGTAGAGGCTGCTACATATTCTAGCTACCCTCAGCAGTCGCCCGTGTCTCGTCCCGCGACTTGACCGTCATCGCCTCCTCGACTTCCCAAGCCCCTGCTGCCTCACAACGTCCCCAGAGACCGGTTCACCTGTTCAGACCTCGTTCTTTCGCTTTTGCTCTTGACAACGCCTTCATCGCCGCCATTCTCCGACGTCTCTTCCCCGCCGCCCTCCTCATGTCCGCACCTTCGTCCAAGCCGAATCGCGCATTCCCGCACCTTACGACGAGCGACAAGCCAACGCTGGATGATGTTGCAAAGCTGATCAAGGACGGCAAGGCGAAGCGGATAATGCTGATGGTCGGGGCGGGCGTTTCGACGGGAGCAGGCATGTGAGTTGCGAACCCTGGTCTGTCTGCTGCTGGAATGGCGTTCTCGAACGTGCGGACTGACAAGTCGGGACGCTGGATTCCAGCCCGGACTTCCGCTCGCCTGGGACGGGGTTGTACGACAACTTGGCGAAGGTGCGTTTCGCTTCGCCTTCGCTCTTTCCGACAGCAGGGGCTGACTTTGCGCGCCGACTACGCAGTACAACCTGCCATAGTACGTCGTTGTGCCTTCGTGTACCCGTAGTCGGCGACGCAGCAGCTCACGCGTTTCCCTCCAGTCCCGAGGCAATCTTCGACGTCGACTACCTGCAAGAAAGGCCCGAGGCTTTCTACACTCTCGCGCAAGAGCTATATCCTGGCAACTTCCGCCCGACTTTGTCGCATTACTTTTTCCGCTTGCTGCAGGAGAAGGGCGTCTTGCGTGGATGGTGCGTCTTGCTAGCTAGCGCCCGCGCCCGAACTATTGCTGACCTGACCTCGAACAGCTGGACGCAGAACATCGACACGCTTGAGCATCTGGCGGGACTCAAGGACGAGCTGCTAGTCGAGGCACACGGTGTGTCCGCTTCGCCTATGCCGAAGGACCCGCTGACGCCTCCTTTCTCAGGCTCCTTCGCCACCGCGACGTGCCTGAGTTGTCGAAAGAAGTTTGACAAGGACGACATCAAGCCGCGGGTACTGCGAGGCGAGGTCGTTCGACACGACGAGGGAAAGTGCAAGGGGAACAAGCGGGCGCTCATCAAGCCGGACATCGTCTTCTTCGGTGCGTTCTCGATCGCATCGATTGGTGCGACACGACGAAGCTAACAAGATTTATCCGCAGGCGAAGGCTTGCCGGACAAGTTCTTCGAGCGCCTCTCCGACTTTTCCTCCTGCGACCTCCTCATCGTGATCGGCACCTCGCTCCAAGTTGGTCCGTTCAACTCGCTCATGCACCGCGTACCGGCGACATGCCCTCGACTGCTCATCAACATGGAGTCGGTGGGCGAAGTCGAGTCGCCTCGCGGACTTGGCTTCGACTTTACCGGCTTCACGGGCAAGCCTGGTGGTATTCGGGACGTCCGGCGGCTCGGCGACGCGGACGAGGGCATCATGGAGCTGGCGAGGCTGGTCGGTTGGGACGAGGACCTGCGGGAGCTGAAGGAGAAGGAGTGGAAGCGGTTAGACGAGCAGGAGGGCAAAGCAGCCCCTGCGCCTGCCAAGGTCGACGAGGAACAAGTCAAGGAGAAGGCGGAGGAGAAGCGGTTAGAGGTAATTGAGCAGGTCGAGAAGACTGTGGAGGCGAATGAGGGCAAGAAGGAGGACGAGGCGGGAGTCGACGAATTGACGAAGGCTGTTGCCGGCGTCGCACTCGATGGCGACGCGGCTGAGACGAAGAAGGACGAGGAGAAGAAACCGGCTTTGTAGACTGTATCTCACGCGCTCTCAGAATTATGTATCGCTGCCTCGGTCGTTGTTGTGCAAGTCGATGACACGGCAGTACAGGGGAGTCTGACTACTCGAGAAGCAAGAGATCCCTTACTCAGCCTTGTCCCGCGACGGCTTCTCCTTCAGCTCGATCTCTTCCGCCGTGTAGTTGCTTGCCGGGATGGGAACGGCGTGACGCTGGTGGTGGCTTCGGCTGGCGTGCGCGTCGGCGGACTGGCTGTTGAAGTAGTCTGCGCGTGCCGCAGGCGTGAGCAAGAGCCCCGAGCGCGGAGGGAATCGCTGCGACGTACTGTGCAGCTGCTCATTGACTGTCCGGACGACCTCGTTCGTCACGCCTCGCGCGACCGCAATGGCGGGTCCGGTCATGCCGAGCGACCAGGTCACGTACGCCGCCGCGCCGAGGACGAGGAGCATCGTGAAGTAGATCGGGCTCCGGATGACGGCGACGAACTCGTTCCAGCCGAGCACTGTCAGGACGCCGTAGATCCAGTACGGGATCTGCGCACGGCTCGCGACCATCGAACGCTTCGCCTCGATGTAGTAAGCGTCGGCTTCGCGGCGGAATCGGTTCGAGAGGGACGACTGGGCGGAGGGCGAAAGGAGCTGGAGCGACTCCTGGAAGTCGAAATCTTCGTCTGCAGACGCAGCTGCTGGGTCGACGACGCCGGTCGGGCCGGACGACGACGGCAGCTCGAAGGCGTTGAACGGGTCGGAAGGCTTGATCTCGGCGTAAAGAGGGATGAGCTCAAGGACTGAGTCCTTGGCCTTGCGGAAGATGAGGTCAATGTCATCCTCGGGCTTCCACACGCGCGGGACCCCGTCTGCGTCGTAGCGGAACTTGTCCTCGAAGACGAGCTTGAGCTTGCCGAGCATCGGCGCCTCGGCCGTGTGCTCCTGAAGTTTCGAGCGGAGGGCGAGCCATGACCGTCGCCGAAGGAGCGAGAGGGCGCCGTCCATCTCTTCTTGCGTGCAGTTGAAGCCTGTTGCGCCGATCAGAGACTTGTGAGCGACCCTACAGCTTCGCGGGAAGAGGTGCGCGCTGCTACCAGGTCACGCACGCCCCAAGCACGTCCAGCCGACTCACTCTTCGCCTTCTTGAGGTACGCCTCCTCAGCCTTGGCAAGCGCGGCTTTGAACGCGCTCAAGACCTTGTCCCACATGTCGTCGCTGGGCTTGTTGAGGGCGAGCTCGACCGTGTCCGACATCTGGCGCTTAATGTTTCGCTGCGAGGCCGAAGCAGTCAGCCCCAGATCCAACAGACAAGAGCACATCCAGACGCGCAGAGCGCCATGAACGAGCAAGTCGAGCGACCGTTGACAGAGACTCACCTCGATGACTGCGACCATCTTCCTCGTCTCCTCCTTCCTCAGCAACTCGGCAACCTGATCCATATCCTCCTGCAACCCCGCCCTCTGCTCCTCAACGCTCCACCCACTCTCCTCAAGCACGACCGCCTTTGCCTCCTTCTCAAACGTCTTCTCCGCCTTCTCCCTCGCACTCCTCACGACGAGCGCAAAGTCGTACCCCTCGCCTCGGATCGCCTGCTCAATCTCGACCCTGTATTCGCGCAACACGAGCTTGTGCAAGTTCTTGAGGTGCGAGACATAGAGCGGGTGAAGTGCTGCGTGCAGCTTCGAGACGAGCTCGACGCGCTGGCGGGCGTAGACGGCGGGGTGGTACCGACTCGCTGCAGTGTCGTAGCTCTTGAGTGCCGAGGCGATCGCGGCTGCCATGCGTGCGCCGAGGGACGAGTCAATCTTGCCTGCGCCGGGAGAGGGCGGGAAAGCGGCGACGGCGGTTGAGAAGAGCTCGAACGCTTGCGAGGCGATCTCGCCGCAGCGGAACTGGGCGAGGAGCTCCTGCTGAGTTGGGAGGTCGAGATCCTTGTTCGAGACGACGGCGTCCTGCGAGACGCAAGCGATGCCGAGTCAGGCCACGGCCTCAGAGGCTAGGAAAAGACGATCGTCACGAGCCAACGCACCCAGATCGTGCCCATGTAGGTACTGATGCCATCCGCTGGAATCCTGCGGTGATACTTGCTCTTGAAGACGTACACATCCCCACCCTCCTGCGGACTCTTGAACCTCTTCCTCAAGTCCAACACGCCCTCCTCGAATTTCTCCGGTTGGAGAAGCTTGTGCGGTAGCGCGACAAAGTCGAGGTCGAAGAAGGTTTCGATCGTGCTGGATTCGAGGCCGGAGGGCTTCGACAGGCCGTCCCAGAGACGGTTCAGGTCGGCGGTGAGCGTGTTGCGGAGGTTGGCGAGAGGGGTTGCGCCAATGTGGTCGCGAATGACGAAGAGGAGGAGCGTCTTGTCTTGCGAGCTGTGTAGGGATGCGAGGGTCAGCGTTTGAAGACAAAGTCAAAGCTTGTCGTGGCCATCTGGAGGAAAGACCCCGGAGCCAGTCTTGTCTCGAAGGAACCTGACCCACCTGCCCTTCTCCTTCCCCTTCTGTTTCGCCGCCAAAAACAGTCCCAGGTTGACCTCAAACACAGTTTTGAGCAGCCCCATGTTGGCGCCCTGGTACAACCCGACCTGGTGCTCCCAGATGTTGACGATGAGGACTTCAGCGACAGCCATGGAGAAGAGGGCGGATTTGCGCTCGAAGTCCTGTGGGTGGAAGAAGTGAGCGGACGAGGGGAAGAGGAGAGGAGGGAACGCGCCTGGTCTTCGCCCCGCTCGCGACCGTCCGTGCCTTCCACGTCCATCACGAGCACGTTCATGTCCTGACCCTTCGACATCCAGATACCTGCCATGAGAAGAGGCGTAAACTACTGCGCCGCTGGGATTTAGGCCGGCGCGTCTTCGACGAGGCGAAAAGGCGTTCCGTCGACTCACCCTTCGTCGTTTGCCTCCTCTCCGTCTCGCTCATCACATCAAAGCGCGTTCCGAAAAGCCTGTTCAGGAGCGTACCTGCACACACCGACCAAGATCGTCAGCAAGCGATCCTCCGCAACCTTCAGGAGAATCGAAGCGCGAAATCGGGTGGACCGGACGCACTCTTTCCGGTCGACTGCGAGCCAAAGACCGCTACGACGTCGTAGTTGAAGCCTGCGTCGGCGAGGTTCCAGCCCTTCATGTGCTCGTCGAGCGTCTTGCTGTGAGAAGCGACAAGGCGGGTTAGTCTGCCGGCGCGAAAAGGACGCTTGGCAGTTGAGGACGTACGTGAAATGCTGGTTCTCGTCGACTGTACGGCGCGGGAACAGGACCGTCAGTACAGTACTCGGAGACGACAGGCAGAGTTGCCGTCCGAGGAGGAAGTCGACGATATGTTAAGGCGCCGTCGCTGAGCAGACCTCGCCATTCTCGATGCCATCCCAGGAGCTCGAGCTCCCTCCTCGTCTCCCGTGTTCCTCGTCCCGCTCTGCGCAACCCTCGCTGTTCGCCCCGCCCCACTCGCTCGATCCTGCTCGAGTCCAGCGGTCCCAGGACAGTGACGGAGCGACTTACCGACCTGCAACTTGGCATCCAATCCCACAGTCCGCGCTCCATCGCTGTCCTTGCCCGCTGCGGCCGTGTGAGCGTGAGCAAGGGAGGTAGCCGGGTCGAGGGTGGACTGGGCGAGTTGGACGAGTCCCGGTGCGGCTTGTGCGACGTCGGGGATGTGTTTCTGTGGGTATGAGAGTGCCTGTGTCGATATGTCGATGGCTTTGTCCATCTCGAGCAGCTCAAAGTGAAGTTGAGCGATGAAAGAGTGACGACGAGGAGGAAAGGGTGCCCTTCGACCACCGCAGAGTGTGTCGCTGAGCTTGCAGTAATTCCGAGCACTCACCCACGAGCAGAATGAGTTTGTACTCGCAATTCCTCGTGCTGTTGTCGACTTTCACCTCGTCGCCTCGCTCCTCCTCACACAACTCACCCTCACTCGACCATGTCCTGTGCGTGCGAGACCGTGACGGCCAGCACGAGCACACCCGACTGACCACATCGCACACAGACAACGGCGTCGGACTGTCGACCCCGCGCGGGTCCGGCACATCAGGTCACATCCAGGCAAACCGCTCTCAGTGCGCTCGCTCGTCCTCTCCAGAACCAGCGTACGGTGCTGACGACCTCTTGAAAACAGCCTGCGACCGCGCCAACAACCGCGCGAAGCCGCGCCCGACTTCAAAGACTCGTTCGCCCACCGTCCGCCCGACCAAGGCATCCTCGATCACGAGCGCAAGCGGCGCGTCGAGGCGCAGTGTTTCGAGTTGCAGGTCTCGCTCGAAGACGACGGCGTCGAGGCGGACGAGATCGAGCGCCAGGTGTCGACTTTGAGGGAGAAGTTGCTTGCCCAGTCGGAGAGGCAGCAGCAGCAGGGGCCGATCAAGCAGCATGAGCGCCACCAGCTTGCGGCGGCGAAGGAGCAGGCGGACGCACGTATGCGAGCTGCGCTCGGGATCAAAGCGGACCACCAGGAGGGCGCGGCGTTCGACCGCGAGTTGCAGGAGCAGCTCAAGCAGCAGCGGATTGCCGAGCGCGAGCAGGCGAGGGAGGAGCGCGCGCGGATCCAGAAGCTGCTCGAGGCGGACAGGGAGAAGGCCCAGCGCGAGCGGGACGCTCAGGGCAAGCGACACGAGGAGGACATGGCCCGTGAGCGGAGGCGCCAGCAGGACGAGCTGGACCGCTCGAGGCGCGAGCATGCGGACCGGATGAAGGCTGCGACAGCGGGTGCGGGTGCGGGTGCAGGCGCGGCTGCAGGCGCGGCTGCAGGCGAGGGAGGCGCAAGCCGTTGGCGCGACTTTGACGGCGAAGGCGCACGAGACTCCGGTCGCCCTTCCGCTCGCCTTCCCTACGGTAATTCGACCCGCTCTCCCTCTCCCCCTCCTCGGCGCCGCGACTCTCGCTCTCCTCGCCGCTCCCGCTACGACGACGACGACGCCCCTTCGTCTCGTCGCTCCCGCTCTCCTCCTCCTCGTCGTCGCTACACCCGCTCGCCCTCCCCTCGTCCCCCCCCCCGCCGCGACCTCCGCCGCTATTCCCCCTCGCCTTCTCGCTCGCCCTCGCCCCGCCGCCGTCGCCGCGATGACTCCTACTCGGACCGTAGTCGCAGCAGGAGTCGTAGTCGCTCACCCCCGCGCAGGAGGGCGAGGAGGGACAGTCCCTCGCGGAGCAGGTCGCCGAGTCGCTCGAGGTCGCCTGTTCGTAGTATGAGGAGGGGAGACAGTCGTGGACGTAGCAGGAGCAGGAGCATGAGCATGTCGAGGAGTCCGTCGCCGCCACCGAGGAGGAGGGACGACTGAGCGGGAGGATGGGCGTGTTGTACTGTAGGCTGGAAGTGCACTGGGCGCCTCACCGAGTCTCTCGCAATGACACGAAATGCATTGTTCTTGTGAGCTTCGAGCTTCGTATCGTTACAACACCTCCAGCACGAGAGTCAGTCTAATGTACCGCCTTACAGCTCGATCTCCATCCTTCGCGTATCAAACCCGTTCAAACCATCCGCCTCCGCCTCCATCTTCTCGTCGCTCTCCTTGCGCCGCTGCTGCTGGTCGAGCACAAACTGCAGCGTGAACGAGTTGTCGTCCGACAAGCGCACAATCGACTCCTGCACGTCCGTCAAGCCCTTCTGCAACCCCCTAAACGTCGCCGCATGCTGGCTCGAGTACTGGCGGAGGTGTTTCCCGTGCGCGGCAAAGAGCGACGAGATCCACACGAGGTGGAACTCGACGTGCGGGGACTTTTCCAGCTGGGTGGCGAGGAAGCGGAGGACGGGGTCGAGGTAGGTGACGGGCAGTTGGCGGGTGAGGAGCGGGACGGCAGAGGGGGGGATGGCCTCGTAGACGGTCTGAATGAGCGGTCGCTCGTTCAGTCGCAAAGACATGACCAGTGCCTTGAGGTAGTGTCGTTCCTCGTTCAGCGTCTCGAGGATCGACGAAGGCGTAATGTCGACGTCGAGCTCGAACGGGTCGAACGTAATCGAGTCGTCGAGCGAGTAGACGAGCAACCCCTCGGTTGACGCGGCGGCCCAGCTTCGTCCCGTCGGCGAGAAGCGCACGCACTTTGTCCGCGCCTCGGGACGGTACTTGCGCTTCGACATGTCGCCGCTCCGTGCGCCAGGCACTGTCTTGTCCAGCCGGTCCTCGAGGTCCGACAAGTCCCCTCGGTCGTCGATGAGCTCCATCGGTCCTGCCTCCGTCAACTTGCGCGAGTCGAGGAACTCTTGCGTGCCGTCGAGCGACAGGTTCTGCGAGATCTGGAACCGCCGGAGGAGGACGCCATCCCGCGCGTCGTACAAGCAGACGTGCTTGCTGTTGCCGCCAGCGAGCACGCACGACCCGTCTGCCGTGTAGCTGAGCGAGTTGAACGACTTGCCCGACGAGTTGTTGGCCGCCGTGACGCGATCGTCCGCCTTGCGTCCACCCGAGACGTCCTTCCTCCCCTCGATCAACGTCCGCTGCACGCCGTTCTTGACGTCCCAGAATGAGATCTGCCCGTCGAGCGTCGAGACTGCCACCTCCTTCCCATCTGGCCGGAACGCCAGCGCCAGCGCATCCGCCTTGAGCTGGAACGGCTCGACCGTCGAGCTCCGCCCGTACGTGTCCCACACCCGGATCGACTTGTCCCACGACGCCGAGACGAGGCGGTCGCCGAGCGGAGAGAACGCGAGTGCCGAGACGGGCCCTTCGTGGCCGGCTAGGATGTCGATGAGCTTGCCCGTCTGCGTGCTCCACATGTAGATCTCGAAGCCGTCGCCGGCGCCTCCTGCGCAAACGATCTCGCCTGAAGGGTCGACTGCCAGCGAGTTGAATTGGACGGGCGAGGGGGTGGTGAAGGTGCGGAAGTTGCGGTAGCGGATCAAGTCGAATGCTCGGACTGTCCCGTCGAGCGAGGCGGAGAAGACGACCTGTCCCTGCTTGGCGAACTCGACCGCCGTCACGGCTGACGAATGGTCCTCGAACGTGACGAAGCAGAACCCGCTCGTCGCGTTCCAGATCTTGACCTTGCCGTCGTCTCCGCCCGTCGCGACCTGCTGACCGTCCGCGCTGAACGACAGCGTGTTCATGTCGAAATAGTGCCCCTGCTGCTTGAGCACGTACGACTCGGACTGCCACTCCCAGACGAGGAGCTGGCCGAGCTTGCTCGCGCCGAAAGCGAGCCACTCGCCCGAGGCGTTGACGGCGACCGACGTGATCTTCTCCTGCGAGACCGAGAGTGTGTGGACGTTCGTGAAGCTCGGCATCTCCCACAGGCCGAAAACACCGGTTGAAAAGCCGACGATGAGGAGGTTCGACGGGGCGTGCCAGGTCGTCGAGACGACCTTTGCGCCAGCCTGCATGAAGTAGTGGCGCTGCTGGACGCCCCATCGGGTGAGTGCGATGGCGTTGTCGGGTCCTGTCGAAGTCGAGGCCTGAGGAGCGAGACCGACCGCCATTTCCTCATCCTCGTCGTCCGAGTCCGCCTCTTCGTCCGCCTTCTTGCTCCACGTGAAGACCGCTCCATCCCGCGAGACCGTGTAGATCTGCAATTGAACCGTTATCGACGGCTTTGAGCGGGCACGGAGGAATGAGCGAGAGACGCACGGTCTTATGGTCCTCCGCGAAGTAGGCCGCGAGGACGGCGTCCCGGTGCCCAGCGAACGTCTTCGGTCGGTATCCCTCGACAGGGTACAGCGTGTACAGCCGAGCAGTCATGTCCTTCGACGTCGTCAAGAAGAACCTGGTTGCACACAGGAAGGGTAAGCGAGCTGTCCGGAGCGAGGCGTAGCGGAAACGCACCTCGAGTCGGCGCTCCAAGTAATCGAGAGCACATCGTCGTAGTGACCAGTGTAGGTACGGTGGAGGTTGAAGGGCGCGAACTCGCGGGCGAGGTGTGACGGATTCTGCCAGACCTGGACTTGCGAGCCGTGTGTCACAGCAATGAACCTGGGCGAAGCGCACGGTCAGCCTGCGGGCTCAGCGTATTGTCTCGGGTCGAGCACCACTCACTTGCCATCGGGCGAGAACTTGATGTCTCGGACCGCCTTCTTGAAGTTGAAGTGGTGCAGGACAGTCGAGCGCTTGAAGTTGACGAGGACAGCACGGCCGTCTGTGCAATGAGGAGATCTCGGTCAGCGCTCCGCTCCCTCGACACGTCGTCTCAGCGAATTCACCTTCGTCGACGCTGATCAGGACGGACGAGTCGGGCGAGAGAGCGAGGCGAGCGATATTCTTCAGGTTCTCAAAGGCGAGTGTGCGTGACTTGTTACTGCGGGAAAAGCGGGCGTTCGTCAGCAAACCAGGTCATCTCAGACTGGACTCCCACGGGCTTCACAAGTCCCTTCTGAGCTTGTCAAGGGATCCGCCTCGACTGGCACCACCCTCTGGAGGACGAACGGGCGACTCACTTGACAAGGTCGAACACCGAGACCCTGTTGCCCACCGGGCTGATCACCGAGTTGCCGTCTGGCGTGAACACGACGTTGCCCTGGCGGTATACTGTCCCACACAAGTTGGAGAAGCGGAACGAGGAGGCGGCCGGCGTCTTGTACAGCGGCTGCGCGCTGGTCGAAGCGAGAGCCATCCTGGCAATGTAGCAGAGCTTCCCGACTACTCAGCAAAGGTTACAGAGCAAGAGCGAGCGAGTTGGTGATGAAGTACAAGGTCGAGCTTGATGAGGGAGAGTTGGTTCCGCTCCACTCGCTCAGACTGCCAGGATGAACAGCTAGAGGGCACGTTAGACTCCTACAGGACCCGCAAGAACGCTCTTTCGCTTCCCCCGCCGCTCCCACGCTCTCCCCTCGCCCGCTCACCTCGCTCAACCACCGCTTCATCGCCTCGACTTGCTGCACTCGCTACGATGCCAGCCAGAGGCATATCGGCCTCGTTCTGGCGCGGCGGGACCTCTCGTGGCCTGCTCTTCCGCGCAGAACACCTCGCGCCGTTCCCACCCGCCGTCCGCGAACGCATCATCCTCACGGCCCTGGGCTCGCCGGATCCAGCGGGACGGCAAATCGGCGGCTTGGGCGGAGGAGTGAGCTCGCTGAGCAAGGCGGCCATCGTCAGCGTGCCGGGCGAGGGGAGGGCAGAGCAGGCGATACACGGGGCATTGCCGGGCGTCAGCTGGGCAGACGACGGCGAACGGAACGGGCGGACCTGGGACATCGTGTACCGATTCGCGCAGGTTGGGGTCAAGGAACCAGTGCTCGACTGGTCCGCTTCGTGCGGCAACATGTTCACGGCGGCCGCCCTCGCCTCGGTTGCAACTCCCTTGATACCCTACTCGACCCTCTTCGACCGCTCTCGCTCCCTCCCACGACCAACAGACGGCCAGCCGCTCCTCTTTCCGCTCTCAATCCTATCGGCCTCGAATGGCGTCCTCATGCGGGCACGAGTGCCAATCGACCCGCTCACTCTGCTGCCGTGGGAGCCCGAAGCAGGTCAAGGTGTCGAGATTGCCGGTGTTCCAGGTCGAGATGAGGCGGGAATCGAGGTGGAGATGCCGCTGGAGGCGAGTGAAGGCGGTGCAGCGGGCTTGGTGAGGAGGAATGCACAGGATGTGGTCAAGCTTGAGGACGGCAGCGAGGTGAGTGCAGGTCTGCTTCGTTCCTGAGTGCGACCCGACGAGCAAGACTGTAACTGACCGCAGAGCATCGTCTCTCGCAGGTCACCGTCTCAGTTCTCACTTCCGGCCTTCCCAACGTCTTCCTCCCGATCTCATCCCTCGTTACGCTCTCCTCTCTTTCGCTACCCGAAGATCTTCTCGAGCTTGCGCCGTCGGCGCTAAGCTCCATCCCGTCACTTTCCTCAGCTCTCGAGCACATACGCACCTCCGCCGCCCGCCAATACGCCATCCCTCTCTCGCTCGCCTCGCCCAAGATTACCCTCATTGGACCAGTACCAAGAAAAGGGTACTCTACGACGTCCGGCACGCAGGTCGCGCTGGAAGACGCGGACGTCCATGTTCGGGCCATTAGTTCAGGCGACTGGCACGCCACTATTCCCGGGACAACGCTCGGCGCGCTCAACGTCGGTGCAGGAACGCCGGGAACGGTCATTCACGAGTTGATCTCATCGCGACGGACGGGCGGCGCCAGTCGAGCTGCGGAGAAGGGAGGAGACGAGGTGGTGACCGTTCGGGCGGGACATGCGGCGGGCGTCGCCGAGTCTTCGGTCCGCTTCGTGGACGGCAGGCCTGAGAGTGTTGTCATGATCAGGACGGCACGGGAAATCATGCGCGGCGAGGTGCTGATCCCAGAGAGAGTATTCGTTGAGTAGTCGGGATGGAACGGTCGTTTCGCTCCAGTTAGCGTTGCTTCTTGCAAGCATCTCACGCACGACTCGTCGTCCCTTTTGGCACGCTAGCATCATCCACAGCGAACCTTGCTTCTACTTGTGCTCCTCTCTCCCTTGTTGTTCTCGAACCCTTCGCTCGCTCTGGCATCACACAGATCATGTCGCCGCCCGTCTTGACATCTGCACTGCTCGCACAACAGGCTATCGCTGCCGCTGCCTCGGCTTCCACGTCTCGTTCTTCCAGCCGACCCCGCACTTTGAGCGGCGGAAAAGACCTTCTGCGCGAGGTGAGCCCCCTCAAGCAGGTCAAGCGTGAGTTGATGCTGACGAGTGTTGCTCACAGGACGTCTGCGACCTCTCAGACGAGCCTGAAGACGACGACACGGACTTCGTCTCGGACGAGGAGGACGAGTTGATTGATGAGCGATTTTTGGACCCCAACTCGGACGAGGGCATCGCTACGAGGGTCACGGCATATGCGAGGGAGCTGTCTGCACCGGCGAAACGTTTCCTGAGGACGTTTTCCGTCGAGTTGTTGAGGAATGCGACCGCTTACCTGGGTGCGTCCCCTGTCGCCCTCTCTTTTTCGGCCAACCGCTTGACTGACACTATCATTCTCAGAGCGACTCGAAGGCGACGACCTGGTGCTCGAGGCGCGAAAGGGCGACGAGGTCCTCTGCCTTCGACGGACAAACTTCCAGGACCTCTGCGTCGTCGATGAGACTCGCCCACTACTCCAAAGCCCGCTAGACGCCGAACCAACAGCGTCACTGGCCGAGCTTCTACGACGAGGAGGTATCGACTCTACGGAAACTTCCGCTCGCTCGCCCCTACCTCGCCGCCATCCCCATCCTCCCTCGCCAGCTGACAATACCGATCCGCCTGCCCGATCTCGCATTTCCAACTCTGCTCGCCTCTCACCCCAAAACCTTCAAGCTTTCGAACAGGGAAGGTTGCGTCCTCCCCGTCAGCCTTCGACGTCGTCCGCCCCGATTGCCGCACACCGAAGCGGATCCAACTACCAAGCTTTGCGTGCGGGAGAGGCGGCGAACGCCAACCGAGTTGAGACTCTCATGCAGAGTTCTCGATTCCACGTAGCGACGGAACGACGCGGTACAACGGCACTCGGGCGACTCTTGGGCGACGAGACGGCGCATCCGGGCGTCACGGGCAATGCAGGCGACGCGGTAACTACGGTGGAGCAGGACGGGCAGACATCGAGGGTACGCGTGACGGCGCCAGAGCGAGGTGTTGAGTTCGAGATGGTCCTCTACGAGGAGGAGGAAGTAGAGGAAGAGCAGGAAGGCGCGGACGATCCGGCTGCGGAGGAGGCTGAGCGGGAGCGGGAAGAGACAGAGCGTCGTGAGGGCTCGGCGAGGCTCAACGGTGAGGACGAGATTGGGCGATGAGGCGTAGCCGAGCGCGAAGCGAGCAGCATAGTTCGTCAACCGCGATGCCGAGGAAGCTGGTAACGACAACATGCATGACTCGAAGAAGATGTACAGCCTCAGCTTACTGCCACGCCGTTGGCGTCCCCGCCGCACTGCTGCCGGGCGTCCCCACCTGCAAGTCGCCGGCCAACCTCGCCTGCTCCTGCTCCTGCTTCTTCCTCTCTTTCCGCCGCGCCGCCTGCGCCCGCTTCTGTTGCTGCTGGATCCGCTTCTTCTCGAGGATAGCCCGCTCGCGCTCGGCCGGGTCCTGGACCTGGCCCGCCAGCTGCGCCGCCTTCTTCTGTTGCGCGGCCGTGTTGACCGCACCGCCGATCGCAGAGCCCGAGTCGCTCATACCGTCGCCTGCCTTCTTCTTCTGCGGTCGCCCCGAGGCGGTCGAAGCGGCCGGCGAGACGGCTCGCGACTGTCCGCGCGGGGTCGGCACGGGCCCAGCTTGGGCGGGAGCGGCTGCGGCGGAAGCGCCTCCCAAGCGAATCGACGTTGCGCTCGAGCCCGGCTGAGCGGCGAGAGTCGGGTTGTTCTGCCGTTCTCGGTACGCCTGGATGAAAGCAAGGCGCGAGAAGCTGCGATGAGCACGTAAGATTAGCTGAGCAGACGGACGGACACGAGGAAACGCCTGTGAACGCACGCAGGACCCTTCGTTCTCGGCACCCCCTCGTCCCCGACCTTCATCAGCTTCTCGTGTTCTTCCCGCTCCTTCTTCTGTCCCTCCTCGCCGTCTTCGTCGTCCTCGCAATCCCCAGAGCTACAAAAACGTTTCCGCTTGGGCGGTCGCAACGTCGTGGCGCGGAGCATGGAGTTGGCGACTCGGTTCGTCTGCATGGAGGGCGAGAGGCAAAGCGGAGGCATCGTCCGATTCTGCAGCAGGCTAGGGTCAGCGACAGCACGTTACGTAGAAGGTATTCGACGCACCAGGATGACCGACTCGGCCTCAAGCGCCTCCTCCTCCGTCCAGCCAACCGTGTCCTCCCTCCCCTCCGCCGCTGCCTCCTGCTCCATCCGCCGGCTCATGATGCCCAACTCGGTCCACAACGTCGCAGGATTCGGCGCGAGGACGATGCGGTATACCTCTGCTCGGCTCATGGCGGGCGTCTCGCGAGCCTGGCTGAGGGAGAGGGAGAGGCTGGCTCGAGAAGCGCCTGAGGCGGGTGCCGAGTCGCGGTGGTCGTGCACCTCGACGATGAGGCAGCCTGTGTGAGTTCGTAGGTCAGTAGGAGATCTTTCGTATGCGATTGCGGCTAGGAACGCACCATCGTAGTAGACCACGCCCGACTCGTCCAACACCTCGAGCAAGTCCGTCGGCAGCTTCTGTTCCCGCACGGCCTCGAGGAAGCACTTCATAGGCGAGTCGTACGCAAAGTTGCCATGCTGGTGCTCGAAGCGGAAGTGCGTCGGGTAGAGGTGGATCACGAGAGAGGGAGGTGCTCGACGGTGTCGCTTCAGGACTTGGCGCGTGAAGCGCGTGACGTTGTATGTCGCTCCTGAAGACATCCTGCGGCGGCTCGTGCTGCTTCTCGAGGCGTTGGCGGGACGGGGAACGAGGCTGAAGTCAAGCCGACTGATGAGGCGCTGCGCGGAGGCGAAGGCGATGAGAGGCGGAGGGAGAGGGCTCTGGCGGTGAAGAGAACCCTCTAGCAGCGAGCAAGCAAGTGCACGTAGCCCGCGGTGCGAGACCAAGCAAGGGCGGGTGTTGGCAGGAGGACGACCCCCGTCTGGGATGTCATTCTGGGTCGTCGCAGTCTCTTGCGAGTTGCCACAGCCTGCAGCCAGTGAGTTGAGGCAATGAGACCGGTTGCAGTCCACGGCATCGCCAAAGAATACCGGATAAGATAGTTGAGAACGAACGAGTGGGAGAAGAACGGAACGACTGTTGCTATGCGACCGAATACAAGAAACAGGGTGACCTAAGGGTATGGCAAGGATGTGTATGCCGGCACGAGTCTAGGTGGCCACTAAGAGTGCGCCTAGAATGCCGAGTCCAGCGGCGAGTAACGTTTGGCGCCCGTCGAAGACGATCGTCACGCTCGACGCCGACTTTTGGCCTGCCGTGCTTGTCGCGACGAGGGGCGCAAAGTTAGGACCGCAGGCGAGAGCAGCAGCGGCACGACCTGACGCGTAAGTTTTGGAGATGGCGAGGGTGGTATTCGTTGCGTATCGGCTGCCTCTCCGAGGACGTGAGCACGAGATGACGAGTCCCAGGAGAGTGAAGCGCACGCGTATATGGCGAGGAGATTTTGGGTACAGGTGTCGCAATCAGGTGTTGCGCCGGAAGGGAGACTCGTTCCTTCAGGCTGCGCGCAAGGACCGGTCAAATGCGGAAACTTTGCAGTGAGCACGGCTGCACGTACCAGGTAGTAGTAGTACAGGTCAGATGGATTCGTCTTGGCGGAAGCCTCGGCGAAGCAGTATCGCCCGGTCGTGTTGCTCGTCTGGCAGCCGGCTTCTCGCATCAGACGATAGCTTCGGAAGCCGTTCAGGGCTCTGCACGCAACAAATCGTCAGCCGAGCCCGCAAAGTGACGTCGAGAAGAGATGACTCACTCAATTGCGAGCGGATTGCCCTTCGCAAGATCCGGTCCGCAGGTGTTCTGCAGCTGGAACTTGGCGGCGAGCGAGTCCATCAAGCCGGTGCACTCGTCTTGCGAGGCGGTGCAGGAAGCGTTCAGGACGTAAGGGAGAAGGCCGTAAGGAGCGCGCTCGGCTTGAAAGAAGCCAGTGGAGGTGGTAAGGAGGAGGGAGAAGGGCGCGCAGGATTTGCTGTCGGAGTGAGCGTCAGTGTCCCGCTGAATAGGAGCATAGGCGCCGAAGGAGAGGCAACGCACAAAGTAGGGTTTGCGAGAAAAGTTGCGAAGAACGAGGGACATGCCGTCGAGGTGAAGTTGTTGCCGAGGGTCGAACTGCAGGCGGTAAAGAAGAGCGTCAGAAGCGAGTCGTTTGAGATCAGTGCAGCGAGACTCGACGTACTCGAACGCTTCTGGCAAGTCGTAGCCCGCCGGAACCGCCGTGCTGGTTGAGATCACGCCGGTCGAAGTTGTCGTGGCCGCTGACGCTCCGGCACCGCTGCTGCTCGCTACCACTGCTAATGACGTGCTGCTACCCGCCCCTGCCCCATCGGTAGACGACGTTATGCTCGTAATGATAGATTGAGCGAGCGAGGTAGTCGTCACTGGCGCGCGCGGAGTCGATCCCGTTGTCGCTGCTGCTGGTGGTGGTGTTGTCGGACTCGTTACGCTGCTCTCTGCCAGTACTGCCGCCCTCCCATCGCCAGCTCGCTCTTCCAGACCTCGTCTCGCATTTAACCCTCGGCCATCCTCGACCGCCGCCAACTCCGATCCGACCGCTTCGAGACCTAGTAGACCCTCTGGTAAGGCAGGCGATGTCGGCGCGGGCGTTTGCGAGTCGGAGAGGGCGAGAGAGGTTCGTGCGAGGAGGAAACTGGAAACCGCGATGAGGGTCGCAGGCGCAGGGAGAGACGGCTTTCGACGCGATCGACGGGGTCGTGTGCATGGAGAAGGCATTTTGCGAGAGCTGAGTGGAGAATCGAGTCCCGCCGAGCGGTATTCGGGCGCGACGAGGTCGCCAAACGATTCTCGGGGCGGTGAGGGGGATCGGGGTGAGGCGAGGGCTGCTCGCAGGGGCGTAGGGCGGCGTCCGGGCCTTCGGCGAGGCTTCAGGAACCGTATCCGGACAGCAGAGAACTCAGCGAGGCGACGAGGGAATGCGGTAACCGGACAACCCTCGACTCGCTCGCTCTTCCTCCTGCCGTTCACTCGCTCTCGCTTGAACACCGAAAGATGCTGCTCCGCATCCGTCGTGACCCTCATACGCTGTACCTCGCCTCCCTCTCGCACCACAAGTCTCCCCAGCCGACCCGCTCGTTCTTCTCCCGCATGCCCCTCTACCGGCCAGTCCTCTATCAGCTCAAAGGGCAGACACTCCCTCACACGGTCGATCTCGCCCCGGCGCAGGCATCGCGCCTGCACGCGGCTCTGAACTCGCCCGATCCCACGCCCGCAGCCATCGAAATCCTCACCTCGGCCGGCCTCCTGCCCTCAGACCCCCTCCCGTTCGACCCCCAGCAGATCCTCCGCGTGGAGAAGGCCGCCGACGTCGATTTCTGTATCGTCACCAAGCCGACCGATACCGAAATCGCCCCTCGCTCGCTCCTGAGCAGGCTGGTGGACCGGCTTGACAAGGCGCTCGACGAGCGCGACCACGAGCGCGAAGTCATGACTATCAACCAGCTCAAGCGGGACAAGGGAGCTAGTGAGTCCACAGAATGTCCTGCCCTTACCTGGACTAACCAGTCTTGCTGCGCAGTGTTGCGGACGACTGTGCTCAACCTCGCCGCCGAACGGAACATTATCCTCAAATGCAGGGCGCCGGCCGACTACGAGTCAGAGCTCGATTACCTCGTCGCGGAGACGTCTCTTACAAACGTCCTGCTCAACCCGATCCGGCTCAGGCCGATTTGGCAGGGTTTCCACCAGTCGCGCCTGAACGTCGTCCGCCCGGAACTGAGCGAGGAGCGCTTCGGCAAGTGGGAGGCCTTCTCGCGGGAGGACAACATCGCCGGAATCCTCAAAGCAGCAAAGATCGTCTCCGCACCGTCCGCAGGAGCTCAAGGATGAGCGAGCTCTGCTTGCACACCCGCACGTCCCCGTCGACAGCATCCTTCACCTCGTCAAGCAAGACTTGGCCGACATCTGCCCGTCCGCCATCCAGATCAAGGACTTTGATCACACTGCCAGCAACGCCTACACTCACTGTGAGCACCCCCTTGTTCTGCTGTTTGATGCAAGGCACTGACCGGTTCTCCCAGACCTCGCCTCGCTCACCCCCAAGCACTATCGCAGTCGCCGCCACCCGACCAAAAAGGCGCCATAAAAGCATCCCTTCACTTGTTTCCAGTTCTGTACATCGATAGTCTCCTTGTTGTGCTTTTCTTGCACCCGCAACCTGCCTGCTACTCGTACCCTCGCAATCAATCATCTGCCATGCGGCTCACGTTCGCAACACCCAAGACTTCTGTGATGCTGCGTGACAAGATCCTGCGCACCACGCTCCCAGCAAGGAGCCATAGCTACAGCTCCGCTCGCCGCTTGTCCTACGTTCACCCTCTCCCGCTCGCGGCCCCGGCTGCAGCTCCAGGCTGCGCCTTCCCTCCGTCACACAGCTCAGGTATGGGCGTAGACGGTTCGATGGGTGGGTGAACGACGCGGCCAACGTAGCGGTACTTGGCTGCGAAAGCGAAACGGTGCGGGGGCGGAAGGGCGGGGGAGGGAGATGGTGCGAGAGAGCAAAGCGAGGGCAAGAGCATCGTCAGGTTTCCGCAAGTTGTGCTAAGTGACGAGGGGACGCACCGTGCTTGGCGTAGAAGGACTTCCAGTTCTCGACGATCTGCGAACGAGCGAAAGGTCAGCACATTGGAGGGTTGGGCTTGTTCACACAGCACGGCGCAGCGAGATGCTGCACATGAGCAGGAGGGCGATTCCCCAACTGACCTCGAGATCGCCTTCCGACAGGCCTCGCAGGTCGTGCGTGAGGTGCGTCTTGAAGCAGCCGGTGACAAAGGCTGTGCACGCGAAGTCCTCGCCAGGCAAGTATCAGTGTCGACCGATCGTGAGAGCAGATATCGACGAGGATCCCGCCTGGAACGCACCTCTCGCCGCATCTCGTCCCGCAAACGCGCTATACGCTCCGCCCGGTCCGTAGTTCCTCATTCCGCCGTCAGAGACGTCGTACACGTCGCCGTCTATTGCGATGTAGAGTGGGTATCGAGAGGGATTTGAGCCGTCGTGGAGGGCGAGTTGCGATTCGGAGAGGGTGAGCGGAGGAGAGGGGAAGACGAGGTCGCGGATCTGCGGGAGGAGTCGGTCAGCGTCACGGCACTGGGAGCACATAAAGACCCGTCAGGTGAACGGAAGCAAGATCGTCAGACCCGACAGCCTCTCCACGCAGACGCACTTTTCTTGGGTTCGCCCACTTGCCCTCGTATCCCCACGTCCAACTCTGCGTCACTGCCCTCGACAGCGCCAGGTTCGTGACGAGCGCAATCATGAGCCAGTTGAGAAGAGTCGGAAGGACGGTTGTGGACGACGAGCGGGAGGAGGATGGTCGGGGTCGTTTCGAGGAGGAGGAAGAGGCGGGAGAGCGTGGACGGGGTTCCCGTTCCGTAGGCATGGTCGTGAGGGTCCGTTGAGCTCTTTACAAGGCGATGGAGCGGGAAAGAAAGCGAGGTCGACGAGCAGAACTTGTCGAGTGGGGCGACGAGGGGACGAGGGAGACGAGCGAGAAGTGGGCTAGGGGCTTGCCGCCGGCTCAATCGCGAGTCGTCAAAGTGCTCAGCTTGTCTTCGGCCCGTTCGAGGCGATTGTCGGGCGAGGAAAGGGCGTGAGAGTGGCTCGAGGAGGAGGAGCAATGGCGCGACGTCGATGGACGGGACTTTCGCTGGGCTATGGCGGGTGGCCTGTCCAGCAGATTGAAATAGCAGAGCGCCTGTCGCAGCCAGTGCAAGCGGTGTTCGAGGCGGGAGTCAAGTTCCTCCTCCTCATCGCTTTGGCTCTTCGACTCCCGCAACGCGCGCTCTTCCCGCTGTTTGCCCGTGCACGACGACGCTGCTCACTCGCTTGGCGTATCGCGCCGCTCTCGCACACCTCGCACACCGCCGCGCGCCCTCAGTTTTCGCCGCCGCCCTCCTTCACTCGTCCCCGCCGTCGCTCAAAAAGTCCCGGTTCACACAGCTCCCAGAAGTCGCGATGGACGTTCAGCAGCTCACTCAGCGCATCGAGCAACTCGGCATTGCAGCCAGCCCCGCCGCAGCGGGCTCGGCCGGCACCCAGCTCCTCAGCTACTTCTTCACCCCCAAGTCGGGCTCAAAGCACCCTGACAACGCCGAGCAGGACCTCAAGCTTGTCGTGGCGGCCGTCGAGGAGGAGAAGAACCTTGGACCGGCAAAGGCGCTCGCCGCGAGTGTTGGCTTGAAGGACATGCGCGCGGTCAGCGGCGCAGACCTCGAGAAGCTCCTTGGCAGGACCCGTGACCAGGGTGAGTCGCGTCTGTTCAACTCGTCAGAGGCTGCAGATGTCATCAGGGTAGGCGTCGGCGAAAGAGGCTGTCTCGACGCCTTACCTGGTTATCGACGGCGGAAGCTTTCTCATTCCGCGAATTGGTTCGCTGACGCTTTTCTTGCTCGACAGCCTCTCCCCTCTCTATCCCGCCCTCGCTCGCTCCCTCGACCCTCCTCATCACCTCGACCTCGCTCTCCTCCGCCTCCACCGTTTCGATCCCCTCCCCCTCCGACCCCTCGCAGACTCTCTCGCTCTCGAACGAGGAGTGGCACAAGGCTCTTCTTCAGCTCAAGCAGGAGGGCGTCGCCTTGAAGGAGGCCGAGTTCTTCCTCAAGGGCGTCGAGCCGCCCAAGCCCGCCGCGCAAAAGGCTGCCGGCGCTCCCGCCTCTACCGCGTCGACCTCTGCTGCGGCAGGCCGTGTCGCGCAGGCCGACCTTGAGGGTCAGGCAGGCGTTCAGCTCGGCTTGACTGTCAAGAAGGAGCAGAGCGTCTTCGGCGATTGGTACCAGCAGGTCCTCATCAAGGGAGAGATGCTCGACTACTACGACATCTCGGGATGCTACATCCTCAAGCCCTGGTCGTACGGCATCTGGCAGGAGATCCAGAGTGCGTCCCGTTGCTCAAGAGGCGCTTCTTGGCGAGCTGCCTAACCAAACTTCCCACACGCAGCCTGGTTCGACCGCCACATGTGCGCTCTTCAGCCGGCTCATCCGCCCTTGTACGCCGCACTGACGCTTCTTCGCCTCACAGCAAGGCGCTCGGCGTCAGCAACGCCTACTTCCCCATGTTCGTCTCGTCGACCGTTCTCGAGCGGGAAAAGGACCACATCGAGGGCTTCGCTCCCGAGGTCGCCTGGGTCACGCGCGCGTGAGTGTCTCCCGCTCATTTCTGCGATAGATTCTCGTTGCTGACCGATTCCGGGCACTGCAGCGGCAAGTCGGAGCTCGAGGTTCCCATTGCCATCCGCCCGACTTCCGAGACTGTCATGTACCCGTACTACGGCAAGGTGCGTTCGACTTCACGGACGCGACGGGGCGCGCGATGGCTGACGCAGCGCAAACCTGCAGTGGATCCGCTCGCACCGTGACCTTCCCTTGAAGCTCAATCAGTGGAACTCGGTCGTTCGCTGGGAGTTCAAGAACCCTCGTGCGTACGGCGGCTCGATCGCATACCGCATACCGCTTACCTCGTTCTCTCGCAGAGCCCTTCCTCCGCACCCGCGAGTTCCTGTGGCAGGAGGGCCACACGGCGTTCCAGACCAAGGCTGAGGCGGACGAGGAGGTTCTCCAGATCCTCGACCTGTACCGCCGGGTGTACGAGGAGCTCCTTGCCGTCCCCGTCATCCCCGGTGTCAAGTCGGAGAAGGAGAAGTTCGCCGGCGGTCTCTACACGACCACCGTCGAGGGCTTCATCCCCACCACCGGCCGCGGTATTCAGGGCGGCACGTCGCACTGTCTCGGCCAGAACTTCTCCAAGATGTTCAACATCACGGTCGAGGACCCGGCCAACCCGGGCGGCGACAAGCTCCACGTCTGGCAGAACTCGTGGGGTCTCTCGACTCGCTCGCTCGGCGTTATGGTCATGGTCCATGGCGACGACAAGGGTCTTGTCCTCCCGCCGCGCGTTGCTCAGCTTCAGGTCGTCATCATCCCCGTCGGCATCACCGCCAAGACGACCGAGGACATGCGCAAGAAGATCGAAGACGAGGCGGACCGCATCGCCAAGGAGCTCGTCAAGCAGGGCTTGAAGGCCAAGGCCGACTTGCGCGACGGTTACACCCCCGGCTTCAAGTACAACGACTGGGAGCTCAAGGTGCGTCAGCGCCTTCCTGCTCCGCGCTAATGCGTGCTGATGGCTCTCTTGTCGCAGGGTGTCCCCATCCGCCTCGAGATCGGCCCGAAGGACCTCGAGAAGCAGTCGGTCATGTCGGTCCGCCGCGACAACGGTGTCAAGGGCGCTCTCCCCATCGCCGACCTCTCGTCTTCCGTCCCAGCCCTCCTCGACCAGATCCACCACGACATGCTCAACCGCGCTCGCGAGACCTTCGACAAGTCGATCGTCAAGGTTGAGGAGTGGGAGAAGCTTGTGCCTGCGCTCAACGGCAACAACATCGTCGTCATCCCCTGGTGCGAGGCCGAGAAGTGCGAGGACGAGATCAAGGACCGCAGTGCCAAGGAGTGCGTTTCGCGCCGTCGCCTGCCTTCCTCTCGCCTTGTAGCTGACCCGTCGCATCTCTCTCGCAGGTCCGTTACGGGTGCCGAGGACGAGCGCGCTCCCTCCGCAGGCGCCAAGTCGCTGTGCATTCCCCACGACCAGGCAAGGTTCGGCAGCGTCGAGGGCAAGTTGTGCCCGAACTGTGGCGAAAAGGCGAAGAGGTGGACCCTGTTCGGCCGGAGTTACTAGGCGCGCGGCGCGTGTAGAGCTGTCGAAGGGTTTTCCCGGGTCGTTTGCTATGCACCATTCGTTCAAGTCTCTCTCGTCCTTGTTGAGCTGCGCTTGACGAGCCGTTCGGCAGCGAGACAAGGATGCGAACGTTACAGCACTCCGAACTAGAAGAGGTGTCGGCTGATCTGGCCAGCCACAATGAACTGACGAATAAGACAGGACGGCGGAAAGACGGAACTAGATACGGGTATCGCCAGAGAGTGCTTATCCGGGGAAGGGTCGACCGCGAGCTTCCGGGTATGCCTGGTCGCGCAGTCGCTTCTTCGGCGCCGACAAATCCTTCCACTGCCGTGCAAGGCGGGACATGCGGGAGAGCGAGACGACGGCGAGGGCGACGCTGCGGAGGGTAGGCTTCGGGCGTGAAGACGTGGCGGGCGACGGGAGGTGGAGCTGTGTGAAGATCGAGTCGATGCTGCGTGTGTGTGTAAGTCAGCGAGAGGAGGAGAACGATCTGCTCGCGGACACTCACGTCGACTGCTTCTCCGCGACAACGTTCTCGAGGTAACGCTTCTGAGCGGCGGTTTGCGCGCGGAAGGCGAGCTCCCGCGACACTCGCACCTTGAGCTGTCGCGTGAGGACGAGCAGACCCTTGACTTCCGACTTGTGCTTTGCCTGGAGTTCGGCCACATCCGGCGAAACCGCGTCGGTCGAGCTGGGGAAGGCGAGCAGCGTCAGTTGAGCCGTCCTTGACGGCAGATAGGCTGAGAGGACTGACGAGCAGACGTGCTTGGCGACTTGCTGTTCGAGCGCGACGAGTTTGCGCTTGGCGATTGACAGCTCCTCCCGAGCGCGCACGAGTTCGGCATCCTCGTTCTCCTTCTTCCTGCCAAGCTCATCGCGCTCCTTGCGCACAGCTGCCAGGTCGAGGCCGAGGCTGACGGCGTCCTGCCTGACTCGGTTGAGGTCCGCCTGGAGGTTGGCGACACCGCGCAAGATGTCGCCCCGCTCGTCCTGCAGAAGTCGCTGTTCGGCCTCCTTGGTGTGAAGAGCGTCGCGGAGAGACTGGATCTCGGCGATCTGTCGCTCGAGCTGCGCCTGTGTCGCCGCGTGGTCCGCCTTCGTAGCGTCGAGCGCAGCCTTGGCCTTGCCGGCGTGAGCCTGGTCTGTCGAGAGGCTGCGCAGCTTCGAGCGCTCGGTGCGAAGGTCGGTCTCCAGGACTGCAATCTCGTCGCGCGCTTGTCGGAGGTCTCGCTGCAGAGCATCGTATCGCTTCTGCCATACAGCCTTTTCGGCGACGAGGTCCTTCGAGTGGCCGACTTGGCCTCGCAAGACCTCGTTCTCGATGCGGAGTTCGTCGAGCTTGGCGTTAACGCTGGCGAGCGTTGCCTTGAGCGACTGGGTGTTGGACTGAGCGGACGACCTGCGGGATGCGGTCGTCAGCATTCGACTTAGCGAGGCTGCTAGGAAAGAGCCCACTCGGAGAAGGTGATGCCACTCCGGCTGATGCGCAGCTGGACGCTCTTGTTTGCGTCAAACGACGCCTGGCACTCCGGGCAGTGAACCTTCGACAGCCGTGTCCTGACCCGTTCGAGCGATCCGCCTTGGCCGAGCAGTCGCTCAAGTTCGTCCTCGAGCTGTGCGATGCGAGTCTGCGCGTCCGACAGCTGCCTGGCGAGCGAGATCGTGCCCGAGCCGGCAGCTTCAAGCCTCTCGAGCTTGGTGTCGATCTGGGCGTTCGCGTCGCTGAGCTGCGACTTGAGCATGTCAATGACCTCCTCGAGCTCGTGGATCTGGGCGAGGAGAGGCGACATCGTTTCGTTCGCCGTGCTGTTCGGGCTCCATGCCGACATCTGCGAAGCGTGCGAATGTCAGCGAGAGGTTCAAGCAGCGGAAAACGTAAACATACGTTGCCGAAGAGCTGACCGGGTGTCTTGGGCGTGAAGACGGCAGGCAGGGGACGGAGGTGAAACGACTTGTCGGGCGTCCGGTTCGGGGAAAACTGCGTCGAGACCTGCTGGCGAAGCGACTTGACGCGGTCCTCGAGGTTCGCCTTGTCCGTCTCGAGCTGCTTGATCTCCATGTCGCGGAGCACGGCCGACTGATCCTCCTTGGCGCCGGCAAGGAGCTGTTGGCGCAGATCGTCCGTCTCCCTTCGAGCGGCTTCGAGCTCTTCCTCAAGCGCAGCAATTTGCTCGTCGCGCTCGTGGTTGAAGACCTCGTTCGCGAGGGGAGACTTCGCCTTTGGCACGCTGAGCTGCGACAGCCTCGTCTCGAGAGAGGCGCGCTTTTCCTGCTCGTCGGCAAGCTGGGCGCGCAGCGTAGCGAGCGCCTCCTCCTTCTCGGCGAGCACAGTCTCGTTGTCGACGAGCTGTTGCGCCGAGTCATCGAGCGCATCCTCGAGTTGCTTGAGCTCCTCGTCGCGCTGTCGCAGCTGCTGTCGCAATTCGTCGAGGTCGCCGTCGACTGGCCCGCTCGTGCGCTCGTGCTCAAGCTCGTCAACCCGCTGCTCGGCCGCCTCGAGCTCCTCCTGCATCTTGACGAGCTCTTCGTCGCGAGCGGCGATGTCGGACCGGAGCGACGCCGTCTGCTCCTCGAGGCTGGCGACCTGTTCGCGCAGGGCGTGCACCTTGTCCTCCATGTCGAGCGCGACATCCGATCCTCCCTCAAGCAGCTTGCGCTCGAGCTCGTCCCGTTCCCGCTCGACACGCTCAAGCTTCTCCCGCTCTTGCAGCCGAACCTCCTCATCCTCTGCCCACTTCGCCTCGACTTCGGTTCTCGCACGCTCGACCTTCGCCTCCTGCTCCTCCATAACCCTGCACAGCTCCTTCTCCAGTTCCTCCATCTTGTCCGCAAACTCGGATTCCTGCTCCTCCATCTGCTTCTTCGCGCCGTCGAGCTCGACGTCCTTCTCCTCGAGCTCGGCGAGAAGCTCGTCCGTCCGTCGTTGGAGGGCCGCGAAGTCGTTCGAGCTCGCCTCGCCCGCCTTGGCGAAGTCGGCCTGCAGCTTGTCGAGGTCGGCGCGGAGGACGTCCCGCTCGGCCTTGACGTCGTCCAGCTGGTCCTTGAGGTCGAACACCTCGCGCTGCAAGTCGGACGCCTGCATCGACTGGTCCGAGTTATCGCCGCTCCGGACAACGCGGTCGCGCAAACGGTGGATCTCGTCGTCCTTGTCGTCAAGCAGCGCATTCGCACGCTCGACTTCCTCCTCGAGCTCGCGGATCCGACTTGCGGCGTCCTTCTCGCCCAACTCGTCGCCAAGCCGGTCCTGCAAGCCCCTAATCTTGCGCTGGCCATGGACGAGACCCTCGAGTTCTTTGCCGAGCATCTCGACTCGACTATGCTCTGCACCTTCCTCGTCCTCTTCAGCAATACTCTCCGTCCTGCTCCGCACCCGCGAGGTCGAGACATCGACGCTGATCCCTCCCGCCACGCTCATCTCGCGAATCGTGTCCTCGAGCCTCCTCGTCTCCGACTGCAGCCGCTCAACATCCTTTGTCGTGCGCTGCAAGGTCTTGACGAGACTCTGGTTCTCCTCGGTCAAGTGCGTGTTGAGCGAGTGCAAGTAGGCGTTCAATTTCGCGCCATTGAAGCGCGCGCCTGGACCGCCTGCTGAACCGATGTCGGCCGTACCGCCAGACGGAAGCGACGTGTTGGCTTTGTGGAAGGTCGTCAAGTCGTTTGAAGAGCGGTCGGACGCGAAAGATGAAGAGGTACGCTCTTCCTCCCCGTCTTCGCTGCGGCCGGCAGTCGAAGGCGAAGATTTCCGGACCGAGCGGAGAGGGTGAGGAGTTCCGCGAGCGAAACGAGGCTTCGCAGTTGAGCGCAAAGTCGTCAAGACGTGCTGAGCGCGTCGCTGCGCCGCGGACTGGTTGACCATCGGCGTCGACGGCTCGTGCAGGTTGAACGACGCGATAGGCGAGTCGAACTTGGGCGTCGCATGCGCGAGTGCGGGCGAAGGGGATTTCGAGTAGGTACGAGCGGGGGTTGCATCGTAATCGAGTTGGTCGAGCGAGTGGTGAGGGGAGTGACGGGGAGAGGATTTGCGGCCGATCTCGGGAGAGGCCACGCTCGACTCGACGGTTTCGTCGCGGTGTCGAAGAGGGGTGAGAGCGTCGGGAAGGATGTTGTTGGCGGCATCGGGAGTCGGTTTCTGCGAGAGGGAAGGTCAGCAAACGAACAGAGTCGTTGTGGCAGCGACTCACCCGGACGGTCGCTGGCGGCGAATCAATCCCACCGAGCGGATCAAGCGGATGAGGGCGAGGCAAACCCTCATCCTCACTCGCCGGACCGCTGTGGAAACTCGTCCTGTCCTCCGTCTCGTCCTGCTCGTCCTGCTCGTCTGGCCGCGCGGGCGGCAACGCCGAGAGCTCCGCACTCATCCCCATCGGCACGGAGGCATGGACCCCTAATGGCTGCGGAAGGTCGTCCTCGCCGCCGCTCCCGCTCAAGACGACCATCTCGTCTCGCGAGTCGTCCACTTCCCGTCGCTCAACTCCGCCCATCCCGTCCGCCCCGAACGTCGGCTCATCCTCATCCGTCTCTGCTTCGGGAGGAGCGTACGCTCCGTTCGAGGGCGAGCCTGCCCGTCTCGCCAAGCCAGTCCTCGCCGGACCAACAATCGTCGCGGTCGTGTCGTTCCCTCGCCCGCTCTGCGCCGAGGCCGGGACGATAGTCGACTGAGTCGTGTGGTATGAGGCTGTCGGGGCAGGGGTAGACGTGTACGGCGACGAGTTGGCGAGCGAGTCGTGCTGTTGACGGACGGCAGTCGAGCGAGGGTTGTTCTCGCGCCCCTCACTCCGCGGCTGAGGGGGCGGCTTGACAGGCGAGTGGGCGAATGTGGTCTCTGCGTCTGTCTCTGAGAAGGATGGCAGCTCGGAGGGGAGGTCTGGCAGGTCGGGGAGCGATGCCTGCCCGAGTTCTTGGATCTGGCGGAGGACGCGCGAGGGCGTCTCCGGGTGGTACACTGCGAGTGTGCGTTGTTAGCGTGTGTCTGTGTTCGTCTTAAGGTGCACTCACTGTGTCTGCTCGCTGTGAGAGGGTAAACTCGATGAAGTTGAAGGACGAGAGCGAGACGCGACTCGCAACTTTGCCGCACGTGACCCACAGCGACCTCTCCTCGTCCAGCGCAACGACGCCCAGTGAACGAGGCGATACAATCACATACTACGCAGGAGTGTACAGAGGAGCGGAGAGAGGAAGACGCGAAGAAGAGGTCTCTTTTGTGTGCAGGGAAAACAAGATGCGAGCAACGACGACGAGCGATACGGACGGAATACTGCATGGAGTGATTAGCGGGTGGACGTAAGGGCGAGTGATGGTGCAGAGTCGACGGCGGACAGGCGGCGGCGGGTCACTCCATGTCAAACTGGATGACCTCGTCCCCTTCCTCATGTCGCTCGTCCTCGTCGTCTCCAATGACGCTACCCTCCCCTCCCGCAAACATAGACCCAGGCGGACCCGTGACGGTCCCAAAGACAACCGGCACAGCCCGCTCCGTCGCCGCACTCAGCGGCTCAGGCGTGCCGTTCTCGCTCCCTCCTCCGCCGGCGACGACCGAGAACCCGGGCATGCGGAGGTGGATCTCGTCTCGCAAAGGCGAAGAGACGAGCGAGCTACTCGGCTGTGGGGGAGAGAACGCCGCTGTGGTGCCGGACATGCGTCGCGCGAGTGCTGAGCCGGGTGCGGGCGCGTGCGAGGGCGAGCTAGAGAGGTAGGTCGTGCTGGGCGAGGAAGAGGGAGGCGTCTCGCCTGTGTAGGCCGGAGGGACGAGGTGCAGCCTGCTCAAACCTGCTGCGAGGCCGCCGGGGAGAGACGAGCCGGGCGCGGCGAGGGAGGCGTTTGTGCTGGGCGACAAGCCGGTCTGAGGGTACCGCAGCGCGGCGGCGTTGGCGGCGGAGAGGAGGGATGCGCGATCGGCAGACGGAGGGGAGCGGAGGGCTGCGTCGGAGAACGAGGCCGAGTACATGCCGCCTGCGACGGGAGGTGCCAGACCCAATGAGCCGTTCAAGGCGGACGAGAGCAGGGACGAAGCGGTAGGCGGCGTCGCGGTAGCGTTCGAGGCTGAAGAGGCGACGAGAGGCGAAGTCGGCACAATGGTCGCCTCGCGAGTCCTGCTCTGCGAGAGGAGGGATGCGGTGGCGGGCGGCTCGAACGACACTGCCGACGGGTTGTGACCTTCGACGCTCGAGCTCAACGAGCCCCATGTCGCTGCAGGCATCGCCGAGACGGACCTTGCGCCGAGCGTAGGCTGAGGCATGGCGATCGAGTGAGGCGAGCTGCCGGATCCGTGTGCGAGGGATGGCTTGCCAGAAGCGAGGAAGAGGTCGGCTGGAACAGACTTGCTGTTCATGAACGGGTCGAAGGCGGGCGACGAGCTTGACAAGCTCGAGGGGCCATGCGAACCCATCGCTCCCGACGCACGCAGAGTCCGCCGCCGCATCTCCTCGGGGGTGAGGAGGTCGTTCAACGAGGACGGGAGGAACCCTTCGTCGTAGTCTTCGCCATCGTCCTCGTCATCCTCGACCGCTTCGTTCCACCCTGAACCGGACGCCGAACGCTGCAGGTCCGGCATGACGCGTGGCTTGGACGGCGGCGACCGCGGGAACGCATCTTCGTTGCTGTCGTAGGACGAGGGGATGAAGAGTCCTCGCGAGCCAGAGAAGGGCGAGGTGCCGAAGATCGAGGTCGGTCCCGCAGCGGCGTTGCTGGCGCCTGGAACGGCGAGAGGAGGGGACGAAGCGAGCTCGACGGCGCCTGCGCCGTTGTTGACGCCGAGTCGTGCGCGCGAGTTGTGCTGGAAGCGCGGCGGGGAGAGCGATTCGCTCGTGCTGGACAACCGCCGCGCCTGCTCAGACAGCATCGCTTGTGCTGCGACTGTCGCGCGCGGGTTTGACGTTGACGAGCCGAACTGGTGCGACAAGCCTGACGATGTGGGTGCAATGAACGTCGCCGTCGGACCTTGAGCGATCGTGGCGAAGGAGAGAGGCGAGTGCGGGACTTGGCCAGGCAAGGTGCGGTGCTGGAGACCGGGACTCGAGGCGGGCGTGCGGTGTCCGACCGAGTCGGGCGAGCCGAAGATGGCGTCGACGTCTCCTTGACTCGTCCCGGAGCTCGATGCGCCGCCCGCAGACGGATACGCTCCGTACGCGCCATCCATCCCGAGCGAGCCAGGGATGACATGCCCCTGCCCGACACCTAACAACCCCGCCGTGCCATCTGCGCCCGCCTGCGCTTCTCGCAGAGCCTGCTGCGCCGCTCGCTTGTTCTTGCGGTCGAACGACATGGGCTGGCCAGGCAAGACGTGTGCGAGGGCGCACTTGTGTCCGAACTTGCATGTCCCTTTGGCGAACCATTGGCAGATCGGCTTCCCTGTGCCCGGTACTGGGAGGTCGTGCGAGAAGGGGCAGGCTTTGCCGGCGGTACAGGAGTTGGCTGTAGGCCATCATCGGTATCAATGGCGAGTGGGGAGGGTCGAGGGAAGAGGCGGGAGCGAGAGTTGGCGAGATTTGAACAGCAAGTCAGGGGATTGTCATCATGAAGGAGCAACGAACGGAGGCGCACCTCGGAAGAACTTGCACGGGACATGCGAGAGGTCCTTGACTAGGAACGCGGGACGAACGGGAGGTCAGCACTGAAACCAGCGGGAGTCTGTCGGATCCTTCTTGTTGAGCGCCGACTCACCCTTGCTCGCCTTCTTTGAAGCTGCCTCGCCATGCGATCCAGGCTGACGAGACGCAGCCGTTCTTGGAGGTGCGGGTGGTGGGGAGGACCAGGGGTTCGTCGGCGGATGCTGGACGGCGGCTGCCTGCATCGTCGCAGTGCGTGTCGCTACTGTGGGCTCTTCGGCAAGCCCTGCGCAAGTCGTGGAGTGCGAGGTGGCGTGCGGATGTGGGGCGATGTCCGGATGAGGCGAGGAGGTGGATGGGAGGGAGTGAGCGCGTGTGTAGCCTGGTGGACTCGTTCGTAGCGTTCTATCGACAGTATGAGCCACAGCAGCACAGTCTAGCAAGTGCAGCGGCGTGAACAGTCCTTGCCAGACCTTTGCTCTCCTCTCTCGCTCCGTCCCCGTGACCCTGCTCTCGCTCACACGCACTCGGGGAGAGATTGTGCGGCTGGAATCGATGACACGAGTGCTGGAAACGCGCCTGGCGGGCGCGCTCTTGCTCCTGCTCGCATTGCTGCCCTTGTGCGCCCTCTCTTCTCCTGCGACCCACTTCACCAACAACTGGGCCGTTCTCGTATGCACGGTGAGCCGGTCGTCTCGTTCGTTGCTACGAGAACCTTCTGAACTGACACTTGCACACCCGGCAGTCCCGATTCTGGTTCAACTACCGGGTTCGCTCACGTCCTCTCCTGCTCGAGTCCGATTCTTCGAGCTGACCCTGCTCCTCTCGTCCTGTCAGCACATGGCCAACACCCTCGCCATGTACGCTGCGTCCTCTTCCGCTCGTGAACCAAGGCTGACAGCTCCACCCGCAGGTACCGCACCGTCAAGCGCCTCGGCATCCCCGACTCGCAAATCGTCCTCATGCTCGCCGACGATGCAGCCTGTAACCCTCGCAACCCGTTCGCAGGGACAGTCTACTCGAACGCGGATCGAAAGACGGACTTGTACGGGGACCGGATCGAGGTGGATTACAAGGGCGAGGAGGTGAATGTCGAGACGTTCTTGAGGTTGTTGTCCGGTGCGCCTGCTTCTTGCGTCCAATCCTCACCGAAGCTGACGGGGTGATGGGCAGGCCGACTACCCGACTCGACGCCGGCCTCGAAGCGCCTCATGACCGACTCGCGCTCCAACATCTTCGTCTACCTCACCGGCCACGGCGGCGACGAGTTCCTCAAGTTCCAGGACAACGAAGAGATCTCTGCTTTCGATATCGCCGACGCGTTCGGTGGGATGTGGGCTAAGAAGCGGTGCGTCTGGATCTTCCTTGGAGAGGAAATGGGATTGACGGGGGAAGAGTGCAGGTACAACGAGATCCTCTTTATGGTCGATACGTGCCAGGCCAACACGCTGTACAGCAAGTTCTACTCTCCCAACATACTCGCCATGGGGTCGAGCGAGAAAGACGAAAACTCGTACTCGGTGCGTTCGCGATGCCTCACTTCAGCTTGCGAGACTGACTAGGTCTGCGAGACAGCACCACGCGGACAACGACATCGGCGTTGCCGTCACAGATCGCTACACGCATCACGTCCTCACCTTCCTCGAGACGATCAACAAGACCTCGCAAGTGACTTTGCAGAACCTCGTCCGTCTCTCTTCTACTTCCGCTCACACTTCTTTCTAGCTGACCGTCTCCGCTCTCAGGTGGACACCTTCTCGTTCGAGATCATCCACTCAACGCCGGGCGTCAGGAAGGACCTCTTCCACCGCCCGCTCGACGAGACGCTCCTCACCGACTTCTTTGGCGGAGTCTCGGAGGTCGAGTTGCTCGATGAGGAGGCGCCCGGTGTGGGTGCGGCTGCGGTGACAGATGCGTACGGGATGGTGGAGGAGGCTCAAGCGCGAACGAGCCGGAAAGGACGGCGACGAGTTGCAGAGGACGAGGAAGTCGGCGGGACGGAGCAGGACAAGGTGCGGAATCCGCTCGCTCTCGTCGGCGCGGTCGTTCTCCTGCACGCCGGTGGCTTTGTTGTGTCTCGTAGACTGCGATAGACTGTAGTATAGACGTGGTCCCTCATGTTTAGCGAACCCGACCTCGATGAGCTCGAGGCGGTGAAGGTGAGCGAGTGTCGTACTTCGCACACCTCGCTTGGACTGGGACAGCTAGCACGAGCAGCGATGCACTGCACGCGGAGACCAGCACAGCTACTGGCGCGCTCACTCGCCCAGCCACTCGCTCGCACCGCCCGCTCCTCTCCCTCACATCTCGCCGTCCCGCATCCGCGCTCCTTCTCCTCCTCGTCCGTTCACCTCGGCGTACGAGCAGCCCCTCGACCCGCCCGGCTAACCAAAGCGAAACCTTTACCGCCCGGCGCGCCAAAGACCGAGTTGTTCGAATTGTGCAGGAGCATCCCGGCGCTGAGGGCGAGGCCGACGTTGATCAATGAGGACTCGGCAAGGGAGATCGTGCGGGACTGGGGAGTGCATGAGATGCAGGATGTGACGGTGGTGGACTCGTATGCCGGTGCGGTTGAACGGACTCACTTCCTTCGAGGAGGGCGAGACTGACTGGATCTTGCGAGCAGGCGCGGGTGGATTGACACGGGCTTACCTTGAGCTGCCGAACGTCAAGCAGGTGATTGTCATCGAGGAGGCGGTCCGCTACATGGAGGCATTCGACGTGCGTTCTCTACTTTCGTGCTTCTCGACCCCTTGCTGATACTCCTCGCGCCGCAGCCTCTGCTAGAGAAGTACGGCGATCGCATCAAGATGATCAAGACCGACCCGTTCCAGTGGGAAGCCTACACGGCGGTGTCGAAGGCAGGATACCTCGACGACGTCCCGGTCCTTCCCTTCGAGCAGCGTGCGTCCCACTCACTCTCCTCAACCCTCTCCATACTCACACTCTGCTCGCACGCAGCAAATCCTCACCTCTTCTTCTCGTGCCAGTTGCCAAACAACAATCACGGCTCGCAGCTGTTCTACCAGCTCATCCTCGCGCTCAACGGCCAGATGTGGTACTGGCAGAAGGGGCGGTTCCAGATGGGCTTCCTCGGTCCTGCGTCGTTGTGGGATGTGCGTTCGGTCTCGGTCTCTGCGCTTGGGAGTGTGGGAGTGTAGAGGAGCTGACTTGAGCGTTCTGGGATCAACAGAAAGTCATGGCGACGGCAGGCCAGGAAGGCTACCACAAGATGGCCGTGACCACCCGCGCGCTCGTCGAGATGACCCGCACCGAGACTCGCAGCCACCTCCAGCCTCCCGAACTGCACTTTCACCGGCACGTCAACGACTCGTCCAACACGTCGCCTGTCAAGATCACGGCGCGCAAGACGCCGTTGGTCGAGAACTTTGATGCGCTCGACTACGTCGCCCGGTCGATGTTTGCTGCCAGGTCGCAGCCGTGGCCCAAGGCGGTTGGGTGCGTTCGCCGAGTCTCCCTTCTCGCCCGGAGACGCAGGCTGACCGAGTGCGCGGTACAGGATGGTCGCGCCCGGCGCGCAGAACCTCGTCAAGACGCTCGAGGCGACAGGCCAAATGCCACCCCGGACGGCGGTCGTGACCGAGCTGACGATGGACCACTGGATCCTCATTGCGAACGTGTTTGAGAACTGGGCGTTCAGGCCGCAGGTGCGCTCGCTCGCTCCCCGCTCTCTCGCTAACAGTGCCCACTGTGGCTGATTACGGTTGCCGGTGCGCGCAGACGCTGTTTGACGAGTTGTCGTTTGGCGACGGGCAGTGAGGCGCGTGTTCGCTAGTCGTTCCCCGTGTTGTACCGAATCTCTCTCTATCTCCGCTCGCATACTGCAACTCGCATAGACTGTCGCGCTGCTCTGTGCGGCGCTCTACGCGCAAGCAAGAGTGACCTTCGCAAGTCGACGAGGAGAGGACGGCGAGAGATGCTTGCAAGGTGTGGCTGGATGGCGCGCTCGCTCGAGATGGTCTACGGTGACAGTCTAGACCGTTTCCCGTGTAGAATGGCGCGGAACGAGGACGGCGAGTGGTCGAGCGGCGTCGAGGAACTTGGTGGAACAGCGTCGCCCTGCTCGACTTCGCTCTCTCTCTCTCTTTCCCTCACCTTTGCACCCGTTGCAACTGCTCCAGCTCGCACTTGACTGTCGCCAGCACACACACACACACCCACAGTGCGTCGACCCGTCTTTGTCCCAGCTCGCCCCGTCCTCTCGCTGACCCTCCCTCGCTCTCTACAGCCACTCGCACACCCCTCTCCCTCTTGCACCCCTCCGTTCACCCCAAAACAATCTCAGCAACAATGGCAGAGTCGTTCGCCTTCCAGGTACGTCGAGGCGCACCGCGTTCACCTCGCTTCGAGCGCACCCCCTCGCGTTGGAGGACTGGCTTGGGTTGAGACCACGACAGCCGGCGCGGGGGTCGAGGGCGTTGAACGTGCACGGTAGCTGACCTCGTGTTTGCTCGCAACGCACAGGCCGAGATCACCCAGCTCCTCGACCTCATCATCAGTGCGTCTCGTCTCCCTCCACCTCTCCAGGTGCTGCCCGTCTCAGAACCGCCTGCTGACTCGCTTGCCTCGCTTCCTTGCGAACAGACACCTTCTACTCGAACAAGGTGAGCCTCGCAGCGCTGGCGGCATTCGGGACGGCGAGCGAGGGCTCGTCGGATGGAACGCCGTGGACTTTCGATTCCAGACCAGAAGGAAGCTGACCCTCACGCTCTGTTGCGCGCTTGACAGGAAATCTTCCTCCGTGAATTGATCTCCAACTCGTCGGACGCGCTCGACAAGATCCGCTATGCCGCCCTCACCGACCCGACCCAGCTCGACTCGGAGAAGGAGCTCTTCATCCGCATCACTCCCGACAAGGCCAACAAGACGCTCACCATCCGCGACTCGGGTATCGGCATGACCAAGGCCGACCTCGTCAACAATCTCGGTACGATCGCCAAATCGGGCACCAAGGCCTTCATGGAGGCTCTCTCGTCCGGCGCCGACATCTCGATGATCGGACAGTTTGGTGTCGGTTTCTACTCGGCGTACCTCGTCGCCGACAAGGTCACCGTCATCACCAAGCACAACGACGACGAGCAGTACGTCTGGGAGTCGTCGGCCGGCGGCACCTTCACCATCACCCCCGACACGACCAACCCGTCCCTCGGCCGCGGTACCCAGATGATCCTCCACATGAAGGAGGACCAGCTCGAGTACCTTGAGGAGAAGCGGATCAAGGACATTGTCAAGAAGCACAGCGAGTTCATCTCGTACCCCATCCAGCTCGTCACCACCAAGGAGGTCGAGAAGGAGGTCGAGGAGGAGGAGGAGGAGTCGGCCGACTCGGACAAGCCCAAGATCGAGGAGGTCGACGACGAGGACAAGAAGGACAAGAAGAAGAAGGTAGGCCCGCATCCTCTCGCAGTCGAAAGTGCGTCCGCTGACAGTCCTTGTCCGGTCCCGTGCAGACGGTCAAGGAGAACGTCACCGAGCAGGTCGAGCTCAACAAGACCAAGCCGTTGTGGACGCGCAACCCGCAGGACATCACCGCGGAGGAGTACGGCGCGTTCTACAAGTCGCTCACGAACGACTGGGAGGACCACCTCGCGGTGAAGCACTTCTCGGTCGAGGGTCAGCTCGAGTTCAAGGCGATCCTCTTCATCCCGAAGCGCGCTCCCTTCGACCTCTTCGAGTCGAAGAAGAAGCGCAACAACATCAAGCTCTACGTCCGCCGCGTCTTCATCATGGACGACTGTGAGGACCTCATCCCCGAGTACCTCAACTTCATCAAGGGTATCGTCGACTCGGAAGACCTCCCCCTCAACATCTCGCGTGAGACGCTCCAGCAGAACAAGATTCTCAAGGTCATCCGCAAGAACCTTGTCAAGAAGGCGCTCGAGATGATCCAGGACATTGCCGAGGACAAGGACAACTTTGCCAAGGTGCGTTTCGCGCGTTTGCTTTGTGCCGACTTTCGGTCGCTGACTTGTCGTCGCGCTGCAGTTCTACGAGGCGTTCGGCAAGAACATCAAGCTCGGCATCCACGAGGACTCGCAGAACCGCTCCAAGCTCGCCGAGTTCCTCCGCTTCCACTCGACCAAGTCGGGCGACGAGATGACCTCGCTCAAGGGTGAGTCGCCGCCGTTCCTTCCGACGAGTGTGCGAGACCGATGGCTGACCCGTGCGCCCGGCCGGCAGACTACATCACGCGCATGCCGGAGCACCAGAAGAATATCTACTACCTCACCGGCGAGTCGCTCAACCAGGTCCGCGACTCTCCCTTCCTCGAGATCTTCAAGAAGAAGGGCTTCGAGGTCCTCCTCATGGTCGACCCGATCGACGAGTACGCGACGACGCAGCTCAAGGAGTTTGAGGACAAGAAGCTGGTCTGCATCTCGAAGGAGGGCCTCGAGCTCGAGGAGACGGACGAGGAGAAGAAGGCTCGCGAGGATGAGGCCAAGCAGTTCGAGGACCTCACGCGCACGATGAAGGAGGTCCTCGGCGACCGCGTCGAGAAGGTCACCATCTCGAACCGCATCGCCGACTCGCCCTGCATCCTCGTCACCGGCCAGTTCGGCTGGTCCGCCAACATGGAGCGCATCATGAAGGCTCAGGCTCTCCGCGACGCCTCGATGTCGTCCTGTGGGTGTCCCCGTTCTTCTTCCCATCGTTCGTTCACCGTGCTGACCTCACCTCTCCTACCCTTGCCCTCTCCCTCGCGCAGACATGATGAGCAAGAAGACGCTCGAGATCAACCCGAACAACGCCATCATCCGCGAGCTCAAGAACAAGGTCCAGGCCGACTCTGCCGACAAGGCCGTGCGGGACCTGGTCGTGCTCCTGTACGAGACGGCCTTGCTCACGTCGGGCTTCACGCTCGACGAGCCGCACCACTTTGCCGAGCGCATCCACGCCATGATCTCGCTCGGCTTGTCCATCGACGCCGACGAGCCCGCCGCGGCTGCGCAGGAGGAGCAGGACGACCAGCCGCCCGCTCTCGAGGCCACCGGTGCGAGCAGCATGGAAGAAGGTTTGTACTGACTCTGTTTCGCCGAGTCCCCTAGGCCGCATGCTGACACCTTGACCGTTTGTGCGTGTGCAGTCGACTAAAGTCCTCTGCGTCCCGCCCGCTTGTTCTCCCTCTCGCTAGTCCACTCGCATAGTTCTCGTTCCCCAGCGTAGTCTCCCTCCACTTGTGTAGTTCTCCTTCGCCCGCCGTCGTCGCAAAATCGGTTCCCTTGAAAGGGCCAGGTTGTCTCGTTTCCCTCCGCCGCTCACCTTGGGAGAGGCCAGTCCGTCGCTCCGGTTCAGCTGAGTTGCTCATTGACGATGCCCCTCGACATCCGCGTTTGCTTCAGCGACTGTCCCGCGCCGGAAAAGAGAGCCAGCAGGTCGGAGCGAGCGGAGCGTGTACAATTCGCCGCTAAGCGTTTCGAGCCTGCGCGGGCTCCCTGGACTGTAAATGATTGTACTGACATGATATCTATAGGAGTGAACGATCTAAAGGAGACTCAGGAGGGCAGTTGAGACGCCAGCCTCGCCTCTACTCCGCCTGTCGAGCTGCCGCCTCACCACTTCCTGTCTTTCTGTATGACGCCCGTCCGCCTCATACGACCTCCTGCGGCTCCTGTTCCGCCGACTTTGCAACCGCCTTATTGTCCTCGACAAACTGCTGCTCGCTCGCGACCTTCGGCCCATCGGCGTCGATCCGCTTGACGCCGAACAAGTCGTCCATCTCCTCGAGCGACTTGCCCTTCGTCTCGGGAATGAAGAAGAAGGCTGAATCGCAGGACAACAGCAGGTTGCGAAGGTCAGCCCAGATGCGTTGACGGAGAGAGCATACGGGAAGCGAGCGAGACGCACCGAAGACGGCGGAGAGGAAGTTGAACATGCTGAAGAGGAGGAAGGTGCCCCAAGCGCCCATGCTGGCGATCATGTCGGGCGTTTCGCGGGCTGCACGAAGCGAATGTGAGCATGCGACGAAGGGAGGGGAGACGAGCGGATCGCGGGGGCACCGATGATGAACTGGAACAACCACTGTGCTGCAGCGGTCCATGCCGCGCAGGCTCCCCGGATCCGAGTCGGGTAGATCTGGTGGAAAGGGAGGACTCAGTATCCGCTTCGTCTCCGTGACCTGGTTTGACTCTTCAAGCAAGCCAGCATCAGGCAGCACACCTCGCTACAGACAACCCAGGCGAGACCGTTCCAGGACATGCTGTAAGAGCAGGCGTCAGCGGCGTCAGCTCCTCCTCGTCTATACCGCGACTTGCTGGCTGCGGCGCTAGGCGGAAGCGCCGTCCCAAATGACCTCCCGTGGAGCAGTCAACGCTGACGCACCTGTAGCTGACCGAGAAGAGAAACAGGAAGGCCGTCGCCGCTTGTCCGCCCATCTTGGTCGAGTGCGACAGGACTTCCTGGCCATTCGGGTCGCCGACCTTGAGGAAGACGGCGATGTAGAGCATAAAGAAGCCCGAGCATGTGCCGCCGAGGATGAGCGGGAGGCGGCGGCCGACGGTATCGACGAGAAATGCGAAGAAGACGAGCGACGAGGCTGCCTTGATCACGCCGTAGATGCCGGTGTAGAGCGTAACGTCGGTGATGCCGATGGAAGAGAAGAGCGTCGGGGAGTAGTAGTTGATGCTGTTAATGCCGGACATGTCTGCGGAACGAGCGTGAGCGAAGCATCGAAAGCAAGGAGGGCGCCGAACAACGCACTCTGAGCCGCCATGATGAGGAAGCCGATCACGAGCCGGTTGCGGATGCCTGGCGTCGTCGCCTCGTGCCACAAGCCGCGGCAGTAGCGAGTTGCAGCGTTCCCCTTGAAGTCCGCCGCGACAGCCTTCTCCCGGTTGATCTGGATGACGGTGGCCGACAGCTCTTCCTCGATATAAGTGTGGCTCGGCTCGAGTTTACGGAGCCAGCAGAGATTGCGTGTCGCTTCTTCGGGTCGGTGACGCTTGAGGAGGTAGCGAGGGGACTCGCGCAAGAAGCAGGCGCCGACGAGGAGGAGACCGCCGGGGATGATCTGGATCGCGAACGGGATGCGCCATGTGACGGAGCTGGAGAGATCGAGATGCTGGCGGATGCCGTAGCTGCGGAACCCGGGGTCAGAAGGAGGAGGAAGAGAGGGCAGCGAGACGCACCTCAGCCAGAACGCTACGAGCGCCATGAGCTGGTACGCAATCTCGTCTGTGTGTAAGGGGTCAGGAACGGTAAAAGAAGACCGACTTCAAGCCAGCCCGAGGCAGAAGGAGCGGAAGAAGACACACAGAATCCGACCAGCCGTCCTCGGATTGCAGGAGGCGACAACTCGGCGAGGTAGACGGGCGCGCATGTCGTCACGAAGCCGACAGCGACGCCTACCACGACGCGACCCGCGTAGATGAGGCCGAGCTGGTGCGTCGCCGCAATCTGGAGGATGCAGCCGATGTCGAACAAGACGGCGGCGATGACGAGGGTCTTCTTGCGACCAAGATTCTCCATCAACGGGTAGCCGCCGAGAGCGCCGAAGAAGGCGCCAGCCTGGAAGACGGAGATGATGTCGGCATTCGCGGAAGAGTCGTTGCTGAGGTTGAAGTCGCGCTGGAAAGCCGGTAGCTTCAACGCTGTACCAATGAAGCTGCGCAGCTTAACAAGTCAGTACAGCAAGTCGAAGACTGGTGCGGCGTACGCACCTGGCGCAGTAACCGAACAGCGCTGCACCGAAAGCGATAACGACGCCTGTACAGTAGATCCGCAGGTTGTAGACTTCAGGAGGCGTTGGTCGGATCGAGCAGCGCCTGAGTCAGCGCGCGCGCTTGTGTGGGCATGCGGGGCAGTCTCGAAGAGCGTTGCGGGGTTCAGCCAGTCCCATGTAACCAGCGAGGCGGAGGGAGACGAGGGCCCAGGTGAGGAGAAGGAGGACAAAAGCGGTTCTGGTTGCCTCCGATCGAGGTGCTTGCACCGTCCGGCTTTCCAGGCCCCGCTGAGCCGACGTTGTGAGTAGCTGGGCCCCATTTCATCGCCGTTTGCGAGGCTGTATCGCATGCTGGCGGCCGTTTGCGAAGGTCAACGTCGCCTCGTCGTTGCGCTTGTCGAGCCAGCAACGCCGTACGATGCCCGGCAAGACATTTGCCGTCGCCTTCGACGCAAAGAACTTACTGCGAGGCAAGCGGGACTCCACGACTCCATCTCGACTCCGCAGCTCCTACTCCTCACCTCCGCCCGCTGTGAAAGAACACTCCGCTCCGACCTGCTGGCGCTGTTCTCTCGCGGTCGACACCCGCCCGAGCAACGCGTGTCGTGGAGGAGGCAACGGCAACGAGCGAGCCAGCCGATCCGACCGGAGCGACGGACTGAACTCTCCCAAGGTGAGCGGCGGAGGGAAACGAAACAACCTGGCCCTCTGAAGGGCACCGATTTTGCGGCGACGGTGGAGGAGAGAACTACACAAGTGAAGGGAGACTACGCTGGAACGAATACTATGCGAGTGAACTAGCGAGAGGGAGAACAAGCGGGCGGGACGGAGAGGAGCTTAGTCGACTGCACACGCACAAACGGTCAAGGTGTCAGCATGCGGCCTAGGGGACTCGGCGAAACAGAGTCAGTACAAACCTTCTTCCATGCTGCTCGCACCGGTGGCCTCGAGAGCGGGCGGCTGGTCGTCCTGCTCCTCCTGCGCGGCCGCGGCGGGCTCGTCGGCGTCGATGGACAAGCCGAGCGAGATCATGGCGTGGATGCGCTCGGCAAAGTGGTGCGGCTCGTCGAGCGTGAAGCCCGACGTGAGCAGAGCCGTCTCGTACAGGAGCACGACCAGGTCCCGCACGCCGCACGGCCTTATCGGTGGAAATACAAAAGCTTACAAGCGAGTTTGTAATCGACTGCCCCCTCAGCTCTCGAGGGGAGGCGGCAAAGCATTGCAGCCCGGGATAGCAGTTCAGCTGTAATCTCGCAATACAAGCTCTGCTCCGCCTCCGCAGGACTTGCTCTCATCGCGCACACGCGGGATTTGCTTGGCTCCTTGCTGTTTGCACTCGCTAAGCACCGCTCGCAAGGTTGTTACCGGCCCGCCAGCGACACTCGCACCAAGTCGCCTCGACCTGTCTGTGGCGCCCAGCTCGTTCTCTGCACCCGACGAGACCCGCTAGGCCCGCGCAGGACTACAGTGCTGCAAACATCGTCGCCTACGATCGGCCACCTCGCCTCTCAGCGCGCTCTCCCCCCGCACCTCCCTCCTCCACCCTCATCGCCTCTCCCCGCTTCCCCTCGCAACCATGGCCGAGTCGTCGCAGTGGAAAGAGTCGCTTTCGCTTGAGGAGACCAACAAGATCCGTATCTCGTTGGGTCTCAAGCCCATCGCCGACCCTACCACCTCGTCTACCGCCGAAGCGAAGCTCGACGGGGATGCGCTTGCGGAGGACAACTACCGCAAGCGGCGCGAGGCCGAGCAGAAAGAGAAGGATGCGGCGGATCTGAAGAGCCGGATAGACAAGGCGCGCAACCAGAAGGAGCGGATGCGCAAGCTTGTTGGGCGGACTTTGGGCGAGGCCGACGAGGACGAGGCGGCGCGGGCAAAGGTGAAGAAGGAGGAGGGTGCCGCAGAGGACGAGGACACCAAGGCGTGGGTCAAGAAGCAGAAGAAGCGCGCAAAGGAGCTGGCGGCGAAGCGGGCGCGTGAGCAGGAAGAGGCGGACAGGCTCGCTGAGGAAGAGGAGCGCGAACGGGCGAACAAGTACGGCGAGGAGGACTTGGCAGGCTTGAAGGTTGCGCATGACGCTGATGCCTTTGGCGAGGGTGAAGACGTTGTCTTGACGCTGAAGGATTCGCGAGTCTTGGACGACGAAGGTGCGTTCCGCTTTTCCCGCCCGCCCCTCTTGCTCAGATTCACTAACGTCGATCTGCCCACAGACGACGAGCTGCACAACGTCAACATGACCGAGAACGCCAAGACGAAGCACGCCCTCGAGCTGAAGAAGAAGGGTCGGCAGGCGGGCCAGTACACCGGTCTCGACGACGACGAGTTCGACGGCGCTCCCGGTTCGTCCCGCGGCGTGCTCAACAAGTACGACGAAGACTTTGACGCGATCAAGGTCGATGGGTTCCAGCTTGGCGCGGCTGCACGGGCGAAGGGCAAGGGGCGCGCGACGGACGAAGCTGGACAGGAGGAGGGAGGACCGCGTGAAAAGGTCAAGCTTTCGATGGACTACACGAGTGCGCTCCCACCTTACCTCTGCTTATCTCGGGACTCGCTAACTCATCTCGTTGTGCAGAGTCCTTCACGAGCGATTACTTGCAGGAGGGCGAGGCTGGTTTTAAGAAGCCCAAGGTACGTTTGGCTGCGTTTCCAGAGCTTGCAGCTCGACCTGACCCGCTTTCCCGCCCGCAGAAGAAGAAGAAGCGCGCCGGTCGCATCACAAGTCTCGCCGAGGATGACGAGGCGCCGAACGGGGCAGCAATGGACGTCGACGGCGCGCCTGCCGCCCCGAAGCGGATTGAGCGCGCGTCACTCGACGAGACGAACCTGATCGATGACGACGACCTGCAAGCTTCCCTCGCTCGACAGCGGCGCGAGGCAGCGAAGCAGAAGATCAAGGAGCTCAAGGCGCGATCGGCTGCTGCGCCTCGACCAGCGAACGGCACGAACGGCGCGGCTGACGTCGTCAAGAAGGAGGAGGACGACGACGACGCGATGACTTCGCTCTCGCGGCCTGCCGATGCGGCGCAGGAAGAGGACGACGAGGGCGATGTGCTCGTCCTCGACGACACGTCCGAGTTTGTCCGCAACATATCGCTTGCGGCGACAGCGGCTGCGGAGCGGGCAGAAAAGGAGGCGCAGCGGGCGCGGCAGCGGAGTGCGAGTGTCGCTGCGAAGCGGGAAGACGAGGGGATGGCATCGGTTGCGCCGCAGATCAAGGCGGAGGAGGTGGACGAGCCGATTGCCGAGCTGACTGAGGCACCTCGAGGAGGATGGGCTCCTGCTCGTGACAACGGGGAGGAGGACGAGCAGATGTACGATCCCGATGCGCCTCCCATGCTCGGCCGCGCAGTGAGCGAGGTCTCCGAGGTGCCGACAACGACGGACGACGTCAAGCCCGACATCAAGCCCGAAGACGAGGACGCGCTCGGCACGACCGGCGGCGAACAGCTTGTCTCGCGCGGTCTCGCCTCGACTCTCTCCCTTCTCCGGCACCAGGGCCTCGTCAAGCCTCGCACGCCCGAGGAGATAGCACGCGAGAAAGAGTTCAAGGCGCGCGAGGCTTGGCTTGCGGCGCAGAGGCGGAGGGACATGGAGCGCGAGCGCGAGCGGCTCGAGAGCAGGCGCATGGGCGACAAGAAGGACCAGCAGCAGCGCGAGTACGAGAACCGGATGCGCGACCAGCGCGACGCGCAGGCGACGCTCGAGGCGTACGCCAACTACAAGCCCGTCGTCAACCTCTCGTACCACGACGAGTTTGGCCGCGACTTGACGCCGAAGGAGGTGCGCTCCCCTCCCCCGCTCCCTCTTCGTCTGCAGTATACTGACAGTTTCGTTTCGCAGGCTTGGAAGCAGCTCAACTACGACTTCCACGGACACGGCTCGGGCGCGAAGAAGAAGGAGAAGCGCCTGCTCAAGATCGAGAACGAGCGCAAGCAGGCCGCCATGGCTGCTGGCGACACGCCTCTCTCGACCGCTGCCGCCTTCGCCGCCCGTGCCGAGAAGACGGGTTCTGCGACGATGATTCTCGGTGTTGGCAACAACAAGTGAGTCTCCCTCGAATCTCCTCATCCTAGTCGTACTGACAGGCGTCTGTCTCTGCAGCGCTGCGCCTGTCCAGGAAGAGACACTCGGCGGCATCTCGAAGATCGAGAAGAACCTCAAGGGCAAAGGCAAGCCCGTCGTCGCCCCTCCTCCTTCCTCTCGCAACAACCGCAACACAACTCCAGGCGGGTCGCAAACCGTCATCAACGACATCCCGATGCGCCCTTTGCCGCTCTCAAGGGAAACGAGCGGGACGCCCGAACCTGGGCTGGTGCCGAGGAAGGCGGGCTTCGCGCCTGTCAGGAGTTTCTCGCCGGCTGTTGGGGGCGAGGCAAGCGGGACTGCGAGTGCGGAGGGCACGCCGGGACCGAGCGGGGGTTCGAAGTTGTCGATTGCGGTGAAGCGGAAGGCGACGGGCGAGGGAGAGGGCAGTCCGGCGAGCAAGCGGAGGGCGTGAGCAGGAGTAGTCTATGTCGCATCAGCAATATACATCGCATCGTCGTAGATTACACTCGCGGACGCTGAGAAACACGAAGTTGGAGAAAAACTGGCTCATTGCCCGTTTGCAAGCGCTCCTCCCCCAGATTCTTCTTCCGCCGCCGCTAGTTCCGCGATCTCCGCATGTACCTCCTGCACCTCTTCCTGTATTTGCCGAGCGAGCGAGTCGCGCCTGTGCGAAGGGTCGTCCCATGAGAGACGGGAGAAGTTCTGGTCAGCCGAGCGGAAACAGTCTCGACGAGGCAGACCGGACGTACAGCGCGTTCTTCTCGGCGATAGAAGAGTCAAAGTCGAGTTCGGGCTGGAGAGACTGTAGTCGTCGTAGCTGATCCCGCTCGAGAGTCTGTTCGAGATGGAAGCGGGTCAGCGGGGCTCTTCCTCACGTTCGGTCAAGCGGACGCTGCTCCATAACAAGAGCACGTCTACCACTCAGTCGTGGAGAAAGAAAGGGCGCAACGCACCGCACGAATCCGCTCGCTCTCCCATCCCTCGATCCGCCGAACAATCCTCGCCAAATCCGCCCTCTCCCATCTCCGCTCCACCGCCGCCTGCAAGACCTTTACCTCCTCCTTGATCTCGACCAGTCCAGCAAACCCAATCCGCAACACTTCTTGCAGTTCTTCCTCAGACGGAGGTCGAAGGGCTTCAGATGCGCAAGTCGAGCGTCCCGCCGCTCCGTTCGGCTGGGCGCTGGGCGCGTCCGCCTCGAGAGAATCTGAAGGGGCAGCGAGCACGTCTGAGCCGGTCGATAGGGCCGAGGGTGTCGAGGTGAGGAAGCTGGAGAGGGCCTGCTCGAGTTCGGCTTGGAGGGAGCGGCGGGTTCCGAGTGCGCGGGTGAAGGCGCGCAGGGTCGATAGCAGGGAGTCCGTGGGAGCCGCTGCAGGAGCTAGAGAGGCTGCGATGAACATTGTGCGTGAGAAGCGGAGCGAGAGATGAGAGCGGGGCGGTGTTGGCCTGATGACCGGCGACAACGAGCTTGCGAGACTAGTAGAGTCCTCTAAGCGCTCGCGATATATGTGTAACGGGGGCTGGTGTTATGACAAATCGAGCGGAACCTGGTGATGCGATGTAACTAGTCTGCGAAAGATCCCTTTCCTCCTCTGCCAGCCTGAACGAACAGAACGAATCGTCTAGTAAGGAGCGGCGGCGGCCTGGCACTGCTTGAGCATGTCGAGCTGCATGGGTTGAAGGCGAGTCAGTACGCTGCCAGGAGGACGAGAGAAACCGAACGCACGTAGTACTGGCACGACTGGGTGTCGTTGCCGGTCGCGTTGAGGCACGAGACAAAGTCTGAGTAGAAGCATCATCAGCAGACTCTCTCCGATATGAACGAGAGTCGTAACGCACCCTTAGCCTGGACCTCGCAAGCGCCACCCATCCGCGCCTGCTGGTACGTCTGCTGCTCGACGGGCGCGGCGGGCGCCTCAGCGGGCGCGGACGAGCCTCCGCCACCAAAGAGCATGCTGCTCAAGCCGTGGCCGACGGTCGAACCGACGGCGACACCGGCAGCGGTCGAAGCCATCTGCGAGGAGCGATTGGGTCAGTTCTGCATATCCTGGATCGGCTTGTTGACCTGCTTCGTCCGGCGACGCGTTCCTAGCGCCCTCAGAGTACCGCCGTTCCGTCCTGAAGCTCCGCAACAGCCCTTGCAACGCTCCGCCTCCCCAATTCCTCCTCGTTCCACCTCGATTCGCTTTCCGACCCAAGTCATCCGACGACCGCTCCGCCTTTCTCGCTGACTGTCCTGATACTCTACAACCACCCAAGTCCACCCTCGAGCACAGCAAGTCGCTAACTGACCTGTCCGAACAAGCCGGGGCCGGCGGAAGTCGGTGCGGCGGGGGCATGGGCGACGGGGGGAGCGGCGTGGTGAGGAGCGTGGGTGGGAGGAGGAGCGGCCCTGCGTTCGATGCACACGCTCGCGAGTCAGCCCAAGCGCCGTGAGACGATGGAGTTGAGTGGTGCGCACATGGTCGAAGCCTGGCGGGTCTGGGTCGATGGGCCGGCGTGCGACGCGGCGGGGCGAGCGGTAGGGCGGGACGAGCGAGTCTGGCGGGGCATTCTGAGTTGTTCTGAGCGTGTGCAAGTGCGAGTGAGAGAGGACGAGGAGAGCAAAGGTGGCGAGGGCAACTCTTGCCGAAGGACCACGACACACAAGCTCGCGCTGCTCGACCGGGTGCAGCGTGTATGTGCTAGACTGTTCCACTCGAGTGCTGCTGTCCTGCTCGCGCTTGTCCCGCGTCACGCTCCGTACGGTGCTGCCGGCAACCTCCTCTTCCTCGTCTCCCAGGATGGCTGTGGACGCCTCTCCCGCTCGTTCAGGCGTTCGAGGGCTTGCAGCACAAGTGGGACAGCTTCGGGTGGAACAGCGTGCCCGCACACGGCCACTTCGAGGAGCCGTCGTCCACGAAAGGCTGTTCTTTCGTCGCAGCTTGCAGTCCCAGGCCTCCCTCGCTCGCCAGGTCTCCCGGGTTGGCATGCTGTCTTGCTCAGAGTATACACGAGTAGCCTCTCTACACACTCTCCGCCCGTCGGATCGTCCAGGCGGTGGACAACGCTCTCTTCTATCTTCAGCACCCTGAATCGCTATCTGCACGCCTCCCTCGCAGCCTTCCGGCCATGTGGAACGGCTGTCAATCTTTCATGCTTCAGGGTACGGGCAGGAGCAGAGGATGCGTTGCAATGGCCTGACCGGACGGCGCAGGAAGAGGATCTGTCGCCTTCGCCATCCTCACCCCGCCAAACTCCCGCCTTGAAGATTCCATCGCGGTGCACTGCATCTGCGAAGCTTTCGGACGCTCCCATCTCTCGAACGAGAGCAAGAACACCGCTGCGAGCGATGCCGACGACGACCCCGAGCGAGCGGACCCCCCTTCCCTCACGACCTCAACCTCGTCTCGCTCGGTTGGTCACCGTGTCACGCTCTGAACCCGCTCACGCCAGCCTTGCTACGCTCCCACCGCTCATCGCTTGCGCTCGCCACACAACACCACTCGCTCCCTCCTCCCCACCTCGTCCCGATCCGGCCACTCCCTATCTCTCGCGCTCTGCAGCCCCTCCGACCGCCCCCCAGTCCCGTCCAGCCATCTTTCGCACTCGCAAGAGGCACGGACAGCGCGCGGAACGACCCCCCGACGCGGGATGGCAGCGCATGACGCGACGCTGATGAAGGGCCAGAGGGGGTCAGGTGCGAGAGGAGAGTCGAGCAGGGTCGAGCAGGGACACACGGTGCAGCCTGGGCTTGCGAGGTGCGCGTCTGAACGCTTCCTGCGCGAGGGAGGGATCGAGCGGTGTGTACTGACTCGGTACGCGGGCACAGCGATCCGTCGCCTTTGTCGACTCTCGCAAGCACGTTGCGTCGCTGGGCTCCGTTCGACGTGCGCTCACCCTCGACTGGCGCGATGAGTCCCTCGACAGCCACGGCGAAGAGCGCAGGAGGACCCGGCAGACCTGCGAGTCAGGTTGGGGACGGCTTGCTTGACTCGGGAGCGGACGACGCGCTCATGAGGGACGATGGGAGTGACTATGAAGACGACTATGCGCCGAGGGAGGGAAAGGACGCGCGTGTCGAGCTGAACGAGAGGATCACGTGGGCTAGATGGGACGAGATGACGGTCGGCAACCAGACTCGGTGCGTGCGGCTGTCTCCTCGAGCGTTTCTGCAAGTGCGCTGACGTTGAAGATTCTCGTGCACAGCCGCGTCCTCATCCTCCTGTACCGTGGGGGCGGTCTCGCCATCTGGGACTGCTCGAATCTCGACAGCTGGTCCGAGATCCTCAACCTCGCCTCGATCGACCTCCCACACCCCGACAAGGCCCGCAAGAAGACGTCTCCACAATCTATCGAGGTCGCGGCCGCCGCTGTCCTCCCATCTCCCGCGAGTCGGCAGGTCGACCCCGACTCGCAACACCCTTTCATCGCTCTCGTCACGCGCTCTATCTCGGACTCGCATTCGCACTCGCCCGCATCTCACCTGTCTTTGTATTCACTCCGCACTCACCGCATCGTCTCGACCGTATCTTTGCCCGGAATCGCCCATCGCATCTCGACTTTTCGCCGTTTCGTCGTTGTATCAACTACTTCGCCACTCGCACTGCACGTCTATCGCCTGTCATATATCCCCGGCTCGTCATCAGCCTCACTCGAACCGGCTCCGTTCTCGCCCATCCTCAACATCGCCCCGCCGCCTCCTCCAAGCGCCTCAGACGGCCCCGTCTTCTCCCTCGGCTCAGGCGGCCGCCTCCTCGCCTACTCGACCTCCACCGCCATCCCCTCCTCCAAACTCGACCGCTCTCCAGCCCGTCCAGGAACCAACATCCTCGCGCACAAAGGCCTCTTCGAACCGGACCTTCCCAACCTCCTTGCAAGCCCGTCGGCGTCTTCAGCGATGGGCGTCGCGGGGTTTGCGGTGCATGAGGCGCCGGATGTTGCGCGCAGGGTTGGCGAGGGTGTCATGAGTGGCGTGAATGCGCTTAGGGAGACGGGAATGAGTTACTGGAATCAGAGGAGGGCGAGCGTGGGAGGAGAGGCTGGTTCGAGTACGGGAGGCGCGCTGTCGAGGTCTGCGCCGCAGCAGATCGGAACGATGGGGAGGAAGATGTCGTCGCCTACGGCTACGCGGCCGTCGTCCAGCTATGGCGGGGTTGAGGACAGCTTCGCGGGTACCGTCGTTGTAGTCGACCTACTCTCGCCCGCCCCTCCCTCGGCGCCTCGCACTTCGTCGCGCCAGTCTCAATCGACCGCCCCGCTTCCGCCGCTCAAGGTCGTCCACCACTTCCGCCCCTACGCCCAATCCGTTGCGCACCTCTCCTTCTCGCCTTCGTCAACTTCGCTTCTCACCTCCTCCTCGACTGGACACCACTTCGACATCTTTGAGCTCAAGCCTGCTGTGCCAGTCGGTACGAGCGCCACCTCGTCCCCGTCTACCTCAGCCTCCCCCATCGCATTGAGCGGACTCGGTAAAGTCTGGCATCGCCACCGTCTTCAGCGCGGCTTCACGTCAGCCACGACGGTCGAGTCGGCGTGGTCCGTTGACGGCCGCTTCGTCGCCGTCTCGACTGGCAAGGGCACCGCGCACGTCTATGCTGTTGAGCCGAACGGAGGCGTCCCGAACCTCGAGGACCACTTCCAGCCGCAGGTCGCCAACGCGCAGGAGCTGCCGGGCTTGAGTGTGCCGCTTAGCAGCGTAGCACGGATCAGGCATCCGTTGCTTGGGGCGCAGGCTAGCGACGAAGATGCGAGGCAGACGCTTCGTCCTGGACCCGTCCTCCCCGTCAGCATCGCCTTTCTCCCAAAGAGCACGTCGCTCGCTTCATCACTTGCCCCTTCGCCCATGAAGAAGCGTGACCTCGCCCCGCCTTCGCTGCAAGACCTCCTCATCTTCCGCCCCTCGCTCGGCTCGTCGACCCTCTACCGCCTCACACCCGTTGAAACCGCTCCTCTCGCCTCCGCGAGCGAGAGCGTCGCCCGTGGCGACGTCGGCAAACTCGCCACGACGGCCGTGAGCGGCTTGACGCAGATGATGAAGACGCGCGGGGCGGGACTGCTGAAGGATGGGCTGGGTGGGTTGACGAGGGCGCCCGAGGGGAAGGAGACGAAGAAGAGCTGGTCGGTGCAGATGGAGGCTGTGGCGGAGTGGAAGTTGGCGAGGGAGGACGAGTGGCCGGAGGTGAGGGAGGAAGTCCTTGCTGCGGGAGAAAGTGGACGGTGCACAGGTCATGGCCTCGCTCGGTGCCTTTCACTCCAACTTGACTCCTACGCGATCCTCACTGACGCGCTCGGACCACAGCTACTCGGCGCAGGCAGAGATCGAGACCTTCTCCCGCTCGCCGCTCGTCCTCCCTCGCTCCATCTACCAGAGCCAGCAATTCGACTTCTTCTCCCTCCCCGCCGACCACGAGGCCTACGCCAGGGCCGGCTGCTCTGCCCTGCCGCTTCGTCGCCTCGAGGTACGCTCGGAGGTCCAGATCCGCCCAGTCGAGGGCGCCGTCTCGTCGGACGTCTCGCCTTCGCTTTCACCCACGCTCTCAGCTCGTCGCTACTCAACCTACTCCGCCTCGTCGTCTTTCGAGCCCGCCTCCTTCGACCAGCCGATCAAGAACGCGATGCAGACCTTCCTCGAGGCGGAAGCGATGCTCGCGCCTGGTTCGCCCAATCTCCCGACGCCGACGTTCCCGAACGGCGTGCCTGGCAAGCACGGCTCATGGCGCGACTCGATCCCCATCCCTCGCAAAGTCGGACCGGCAGCCATCGAAGGAATTGGCAAGGTCCGTCAGGGACTTGGCCAGATCCGCGTCCCGAAGGGTATGATGTCGCTGCCTGGTCGTCGTGCGAGCTCGGCGACCTCGATTGGACAAGTTCCGAGTGCGGCGTACTCGAGCTCGATCTCGTTCGAGGATGACGACGCCGTCTTCGCCGACCACGCTGTCACCGCCAGCGCGAGTACCGCCTACACAAGCGACATCGACAGCTGCGCCGGTGTCATCAAAGGCGACGGAGAGGATGCGCCGCCGGCGAGGGAAGAGGAGGAATGGGGATGGGACGATCGACTCGACGAGCCGACCCAGACGAGCGGCACAACTACGATGAAGCCGGCCTCGAACGCGCTCGACTTGGCAACCCCCTTCGAGGACGACTTTGACCACTTCGAACTCGAGCTTCCGGCTGCTTCACCGCTCTCGCTAGAGCCGTCGTCTCTCGCCGTCCCTTCCCCTCTCACGCTCGAGCCTGTCGATGCGCCCGTCAAAGCCCACCTCGCACCTCCAGTCCAAGTATACTCGACCTCGATGGACGCCACGCCGTCAAGCACGTCGTCTTCTCCGGCCGGGCACGTCCGCCTCGACATGCCGCGCACTGCATCTCCTCCTCGACACCTACTCGATCAGCCAGATTCGGCTCTCTCGTCCGTCGCGATTCCTCCGCACAAGCCCGCGAGTTTGGCTGCCCCGGTCAACAACGCCGGAAGCGCTTCGCCAGCGCTCAGCTCAGGGTCGTCGAGCGGGAGCGGCAAGAAGAAGAAGAGGCGGTAGGAGGGAGACCAGGGTACGTCGTCTGCTAGCTTATTCCGTCAGCTTACACATCGCTGTGCGTCGCTCGCATCGTTTCTGTACCACCACTCTCGTCTTGCCATTCTCGCTTCAGTTCACCCTTGTTGATATCGCTCTTACCTCCGAGTCGCAATCTACTGTGTCGCAATCGCTCAGCAATGTACGTGAGACTGTAGAGCTTCGATACGGGCGCAATGGTGGATGGCAGGCGGGAGAGGCAATTCAGGCCCTCACGGTGCGCTCGACACGACGACGGAAGAACGACAAGGCGGTGATACCGACCATGCAATGCGAGGGAGCGTTTCCTACACAGCTATCGCCGGTTGCGAGACTCTGCGCCCAATCCAGCGCGCGCACCAGCCTTTGCCGCCGCTGCGTCGATACCGGCTTGCTCCTGCATGCGCGCAAGCTCCTCCAGCAAAGGCTTGTACTCCTCTGTTTGCGACAGAACGGGTGTCAGCGTAGGACAGATGGGGCGGATACGCCGGAACGCACCATATCGCTGCTCCGCCAGTGCGAAGCCGTCCCGCCGCAACTCCTTCCCGCGCGCGCCCGCATTCAGCTCGTGCGCCTTCTGCGTCCAGTACTCGCGGCCGCGGTCGAAGAACTGCGCGCGAGTCTCGCCAGGTTGTGGTGTCGAGACAATCTCCTCGGCCGTGCGGGCAGCGTCCGTAGAAACGCCTGCGAAAGCCTGCGCCTTCTTCTGCAGGGCCTCGCGCTGTTGCGGGTTCCAAGATCAGTGGGACAGTCTCGACACGGGAAAGCAACTTGTACGCACCTCGATCCTCTCCTTCTCGGCCTTCTTAGCCGCAAGCTCTGCCTCCGTTAACGCCAGCTCGTCAATCTCAATCTCCATGGGCTCCGTCTCCTCCGGCGCTTGACCGTCGTCTTCCTCTCCCTCCTCACCCTCGCCATCGCTGCGCTCAAACATAGAGCCATCCTCGTCCTCCGAATCGGAATCGTCGTCGTTCTCTGAGTCCGAACCGTGCCATTCCGCAGCATCGCTGGAGACAAGCAAAGTCAGTCGCGGGATTCGTCAAAGCGAGGGTTGCGAACGCACATGCGGTCCTCGCGCAAGCAGGTGAAGCGGTCGAGCTTGTCGAGGCTGAGGGCGTGGAAGTCGGCGAGGGTATACTCGCGGTTGCCGGCTTCAAGGATGCCGCCGTAGCTGTCGAGCAGAAGTCAGCAGGAGTACAAGAGTGCACGAGGATTTGTACGTACAGGTAGAGGGTGTTGCGCAAGACTGCGCTCATCACGTTGTAGCGGGGTCCAGGGATCGTCCTGTCCGGGTCGTCCTCGTCGTTCTCCGGCGCAGCGTTCGCGACGACCGGCGCACCCGAGTCGGCCGCGCTTGCGACCGCATGCTGATCGACCGACATGCCCGCCTGCGCTGCCGCCCGCTCCATCTCCCGCTCCATCTCGCGCCGAGCTCGCGCAATCTCCCAAGGCTTGGGCTCGTCGTCGTCGCTGCTCATGTACTCGTCCTCGTCATCCGATTCTCCACCCTCCTTGTGTCGCTTCTCACCATCCTCGCCGTCCGCGCCTTCCTCACCGGTCGTGCCGTTCCCGGCAGCGAGAGCAGCAGCAGCCGCTGCAGCCGCCTTCCGCTTCTCCTTCTTCTTGTTCCCGCCACCACCGATCTTCTTCTTCCGTCGAAGCATGAGCTGGATCCAGCGACCATTGCCGGTTGTGTTGTAGCCGAAGCTGCGGGAGCGAAGAGTCAGCGTAAACTTTGCGGCGGCGCAAGGCGGAGCTCGCACAGCTCGTTGTAGAACGTCGAGTCGAGCGTCTCTTCATCCTTATCGTCATCGCTGACGCCGCCGAAGAGAATGCCCATCCTGAGGGTAGCAAGCGATCGCGATCAGCTCTTGCTAGACGAGCCGTTAGACGAAGTTCTCACCCCTTGTTCGCCCAGTAGGCCATCGTGCAGCCTGATTGAAGCCTCGTCAGTCTAGCACCGTATAGACGCGAGTATGAACGCACCTGAGCGAGTCGGGTTCGGCGGGTTGCCAGGGTTCTTCCGCTTCTCCCACTTGAACTTCTTCCAGTCGAGCGAGCCGTCTTCAGCGAGAGGAGGGATCTTGAGGTGCCAGGTGTCGTTGAGCGCGACACCCGTGACGCGCTTGCCTTCGTAGTTCTTGGTGTAGCCGCCTGTCGAGGAGACGTGAGCGTGCGGTCTCAAGAATAGAAAACTCGTGGCTCACCGTGTAGGACAAGTCCTTCTGTCGTCGGCAGGAAGGAGAAGCCGGAGCGAGCGCTGTTGAGAGGCCCAGATCAGCAACTCGTCGAGAGGAAGGACGAGAAGAGCTTACGGAGGCTTGCGCTCGAGCTCGCTGAACTCGACCTTGTGCCATCGAAAGCTGGAGGAAGACGAGTCAGACTCGCACGACGCAGGAGGTAGGCGAGAAAGGACGCACTCGGTCAAACTCCAAGCCCACAGGTCGTTCAAGTAGGTCGTGCGGATTCCGGTGTCCTGGAAACCGCCGAATAAGAAGATGTAGTTCTTCCAGGCGACTATCCTGTGACCCGATCTCGCTGAGGGGCGCTGCTTCGTCTCCCACCGTTCCCATTGCTGCGTGTCGAGCGAAAAGGACCACAGGTCGTGGTAGTGGTAGAAGGATGTCTGGTTCGGCGCGGCTGCGAGAAGCAGCGTGTCAGCAAAACCTCAACAAGCGAGCGAAGACTAGACTTACAGTACTCGCCGCCGTGAACCCACAGCTTTCCGCCTCCCGCCGCAGTCCCGACAACCTGATGCGCTGCTCGCGGACCTGGCTGAGTCGGCGAGGTGAATCGCCGCCACTCGTTCTTCGACGGGTCGTAGCGGTACAGGTCGGCGTACATCTCGACTTTCTGGCCGTCGAAGTACTCGCCGCCGAAGAGGAAGAGGTGGTCGGAGACGGGTGAAGCTGTCAGTGTGCAGTTTGCGCGGCGTGATGGCGGTCCTTCGACGATGTCCTCTGCGAAGTGCAAGGAGAACGGGTCAGCTTACGAGCTAGAGACGACAGCAGTCGAGATGGACGAACCCGATACCTTGTGGTCCTCCGCCCATTTCTGCTTGAACTGCTCCAGCGATGTCAAGAAGTCGTCTTCCTCCCATGCCTCCTCTTTGTCCTTCCCTGCCAGCGGCTCACAAGCTGGTCAGCACTCTCTCAAGACTCCCCGAGACGGCAAACGACCCGCACCCTTCTTCTTCTTGATCGCCTTGGTGTCCGACTTGGCCGCCTTCTTCTCCTGCTTCAGTTTCTTCGCCGCCTTGGCCTGCAAGCGCGTATCCACGAGCGGTGTCGAGTGAGTTCAGTTTCTTGAGCGATGAGAATCGAGAAAAGGCGAGCGCACCGCTGCCTTCGAGTCTACGGACTTCTTTGCCGCCTTGGCCTTTGTCTTTCCCATCGAGAAGCTGTTCTGCAGCTCAGCAAGGCAGCCTGCGCCGTTGTGAACGAGTGAGGGCAGCGGTCTCCGTCACCTCCTGCTCTTGCCCTCCAACCAAGACCTCGCCTTCGCTGTGGAACCACGCTGGACACGCTGAACGATTCTACGGCACTGCTTTTCCTCAGTTCGAGCCGCTCTGGTCTTCCAGCACGCCGCCTCGCTGTCCTCCTCTTCGTTCCCGCTTTCCCCTTCGCCTCGCTCGCCAAGCACCTCTCGCATCGCAGTTACCGTGCGCTCCACTCTTCCAGCTGATACACGGCACACTGCATGAAGCGGGGCGCCTCTTTGCGAAGCTCTTGCCGCCAGACGCCGGCTTGTACCCTCGCCAAGCCTTTGTCTGGATTCCATGAAGCCGGCTGTCGGCTCGCGTCTTCCGCTGCTTTCTGCGACGCCCATACGCCTGGAGCGGTACATTCTATCGCGCCGGAGCCCCACCATGATCGCCCCACTCGACGGGAACCGCTGCTTCAACCTCTCGAGGCGGGCTCACAATCCCTTTCCTCCGCTACTCACGCTCGAACGCCGCGCCAGTCTCCTACTCTACCGCCACCAGCACATTCTACATCACTCGGCACTACCACCATGGGCTGCTGGATTGCGGAAAGCACACACACGCGCGAGACGCATGTTCCGGGGACTTCGCTCCTCGACGACTTGAAGGCGTCTCCGGCGACGCAGGAACAGTCGACGCACCTCAAGCGCGACAAGAATGGTATCGTGCTTGTACCTCAGCCGTGCGTACACTTGTTCCGCCCTCGACGCGCATCTCCAGCTCACCTTTCGGCTTCACGTCTCCAGCTCCGACGACCCGCGCGACCCGCTCAACTGGCCGACATGGAAGCGGGAACTCGCTTACTGGAACATCGTCTTTGCCACGAGCCTAGTCGGAGCCGTGCGTCCCTTCTCGTCCTCGCAGCCTGTCCCGCTCACCAGACCCACCCTCATCTCGCTCGCAGATCGGTCCGCTCATCGCGCCGGGCTTCGTTCAAATCGCCAAAGAGTTCCAGGTCTCGGTCAACAAGGTCGCGGGAACGAATGCAGCTCTCGTTCTCGCCATCGGTGCTGCAATGGTGCGCCTCTCAGCTTCGTCGCTGAAACCCGGCACTTACTCGTCGTCTCGCAGATTCCCGTCAGCACCGTTGCCATCAAGTGGGGACGTCGACCGGTATACATCTGGGGCGCGGCGTTCCTCCTCGCTGGCTCGATCTGGTCCGCGGCCAAGCCAGACCTCGACAACTTGCTGGCGTCTAGGGTCATTCAGGGGTGCGGCTACTTCTGCGGGTGCATTGTGACGTGAGCTCATCGCTTCGCGCACCTGCAGACTCGGCATGGCCCCCGTCGAAAGTACCGCAACTGCCACGATTGGCGACCTGTTCCCCGTTCACCAGCGCGTGCGTCTCGTCTCGCTGATTCTCGTTCTGTTGTAACACTCGATCTGAGACTCTTGGGCTCACAGGGTATGCGCGTTGCGATCTGGGGCTTGTCCTTGCTCGGTGGCATCAACCTGGGTGAGGCTTCGACTCTTCCCTATAGCCTACGTCGCTCGTCCTGACCGATACTCCTGCAGCTCCCATCGTCGCCGGAACCATCATCTCGACGATCGGCTGGCAATACTGCTTCTGGACGATCGTGCCCTTCTTCGCGCTCAGTCTCATCTTTATGGTCCTCTTCCTGCCCGAGACGGCCTACGACCGTGCACCCATCCCCAACAGCCTCAGCACTTCGACCGGCGACATCGTCGCTTCGGAAGATGAGAAGGACGAGAAGGCCTTTTCCGAGCGAGTCGAGGATGTCAACGCCGTCGAGAAGCAGGACAGCTACCTCCCGGCCAAGAGTGTCTGGCAGGAGATGCTCCCGTGGTCCGGCTACGTCAACAAGGACCCCATCTGGAAGATCTTCCTCCGCCCCTTCCTCATGCTTTTCAGCCCCGCGACCTTCTGGTGCTTCCTCACCTGTGCGTCTATCTCGCCCTCGCCCCTCTTGCATAGTCGCTGACGGCCTTCAGGAAACAGACGGAATTGCGAGCTTGTTGCTCGTGCTCGTTTCGGCGACCAACTCCCTCATCTTTAGCAAGTCATACGGTTTCACCAGTCGCCAGACCGGCCTCGTCTCAATCTCACCCCTCATCGCATCCATCCTGATGTGCGTGCCGCAGCCGACCACCTTGCCTCTCCCGCTTACACTCGACGCTCTTGCAGGTCCCTCGTCGCTGGCTACGTCGCCGACTTCCTCGCCACCTTCATGGCTCGCCGCAACAAGGGCGTCTTCGAGCCCGAGATGCGCCTGCTTCTCATGATCCCCTACGCCGTACTTGTCGTTGCCGGCTGTGAGTCCTCCTCGGTTTCAGAGTCTTCCAGCTCGACTCTTGGACTTACTCGCAACTCGCTCTTCGTAGACGTCGGTTGGGCTGTCTCGTACCGCAACCACGACCACTGGATGGTACCGGTCATCATGTATGGCTTTGTGAACGCGGGACAAAGTCAGTCTTCCACCGGACGCTTGCCAGACAAGTGTCGGCTGACAGCGTGCTGACACCGTCTTGCGTTCTCGTTCGCAGAGTTCCTCTCGGCCGCTAGCGTGACCTACATGTGCGCTTGCGCTCCCCTCGACTCTCGTGAACCAGAGTGGCTGACCCGTCCTCGCATCCTGCTCGCAGTATCGACGTCCACCGCGAGCAAACGAGCGAAGTGCAGGCGTGCGTCAACTTCCTCAAGAACGTCATCTCGTACCGCATCGGCACAGAGATCAACGGATGGGTCTTGGGTTTGGGTATCGAGCGTGCGTGAAGCTCTCTCGTGACCAGCCGGCAATCGCTGATCCTCCCTCACGCCTCGCAGAGACCTTCTACGTCCTGGCAGGTATCTCGGCGGGTATCGCGCTCACAACGATCCCGATGTACCACTACGGCAAGCGGTGCCGTGCGTGGGTGAGCCGGAACCAGAAGCTGTTCGCTCTCTAGCGCGACGAAGGGTCGCATTGTGTGCGGACAGTTGATTGCAATACGGGCTAAAAGACTGTGGTTGAGCTACTGCGAGACGCGCCCGACGATGTTGTAGCGCTTCTGGAAGTACTTTTCCTGAGTGGCGGAAGTGACGAGTAGTCAGCTTTTTGAGTTGCGAAGGACGGACGCAGGGAAGGACGCACCCAATCGTCAAGAACCTTCTTCTCGTCATCGTTCAGCACCGACCAGTCCGCCACCGCATCCTCTGGCTTGAGCGACGACTTGCCGAGCGCGCTGCGGCCGAAGAACGGGTCAAACGATGTCGTTTGAAGTGGATCTCGCGACAAAGCTCACCGAGACGCATCCTTGCCGACAAAAACATGGTAGCCGCAGCCAGGCCCGTACATGTCCCGCTTGGCCGAGACTGCAGACGTCGGAAACGGTAAGCACAGCGTCGCCCGACGGAAGAATACTCGAACGCACCATCGTAGATCCGCCCCTTGATCGCAACGTAGATAGGCGTGTTCTCGTCCTTCCCGTCATACTTTGCCAGCTCCTCCGTTGAGAAAGGCGTGTCCTTGGGCGGGTCAAGCTCCTTCTGGTCGCCTGCAGGAGCGGAGACGGTCGCATCGGCGGCTTTGACGGCGAGGTCGGCGGCTTTGGCTTGGACGTCCATGTCGGCGGTGCGGTGCGGGGCTTCGATTGGATATGCTTGCTGGAGGGACCAGAAGAAGAAGGACGAGAGGACCTGCGAGCGAGATGAAGACGAAGTGGGGGGAGGATGACGGAGGTCAGCTCGGGAGGAGACAGCAGAGGGCTTCGAAGGCGAGCAACGCACGACGAGCTGGACAGCAACAAAGATGTAGTGCTCCCTGACGAACGAATCGAGCTTGTCGCGGCCGAGGATGGCGTAGTACTCCGCTCGGGAGATGAAGAGGTCGAGGGGAGAGTTGGAGAGACTGCGTGCAGCGAAGGCGGGTCAGTATGGATCGGATGGATCTTTCGGGCGTTGACTAGATCCTACTCACCTTGGCATGCAGTCCGAGGACGATGGCAGGACGCGAACCACCTCTTTCCCTTCCTCCTCATCGACCGGCAACTTCGGCTCGCCTCCTGGGGCTCACCTGGCAGTGTGTGCGTGCTGTACGGGCTGCGCCATGCAATCCTGCTACACTCGCTTACCGGCTCGCACGAAGCCGTGACCCCTAGCTCTCGTCGACTTCAATTGCGCCGAGGCATTCTCTCGCCACTCGCTGTAAAGCTGCTTGAACTGGTTGTGAGGTATCCTTAGAGCCAGCCTTGGCTCGAGCCGGTTCAGACTGTTCCCCGCCGATTCCCGCCTACTCGACGCTCTCCTTTCCCCTCAAATCCTTGCCCGCCCTCATCAAGTCGACGCGGTCCTTCCCCGAGAAGACTTCCCCAGCCACGAACGCCGCCTCACCATCCTCGACCCTTTCCCCCGCGCACGAGACGACGAATCGCGCAGCCTCCTCCTCCGCGACCCTCGCGTTCCTGCTCAGCGCATGGTCGTCGTTGTCGAACAAGACGAGCTGGCAGGCGTCGTCATCCGTATCAGCGGGCGCCTTGCTCCACCAAGCCGCGTACAGGTTCTCGCTGCACTGAGGCGAAAGCGTCCGGTCGCCCGTTCCGTGCATGAGCAGGACAGGAACCTTCCGCTGCCCGCACTCTCGCGCTCCTTGCATCGCGTCTGCCGTCTGAGGCGCAATCAGGACAGCTCCTGCAACCCGCTCGTCGCGCCCTGCGACAGTAAAGACGGGTGCGCCGCCGAAACTCCAGCCGGCGAGGACGACGCGCTCGATGGCGTAGTGCTCCTCAAGAAAGTCGATTGCGGCAACGGTGTCGGCAACGCACGGTGCGGTCCGAGCCGGGTAGCGATAGTCGAGGCGGAGAACGGGGATGCGCGCGTGGAGAGCAGGAAGCTTGTTGCCGAGTGCGAGGTACATCGACGCTGGTCCGCTAATACCGCCTCCCGCACCAGAGAGCAGTATCGCCGCAGTCGAGGCATGGCCCGATCCCTCGGAAGCCTCGTTGTTCGAGGGAAGATGGAGGAACCCGCTAACTTGCCCCCCATAGCTGTCCTTGACCGGTATCGAGAGCTGGTGCACCGCTGGCGGGATCTTGTGTTGTTCTCGCAGGGCTTTAGCGAGGAGAGGAGGCTCGGCAGCGGGATTGTCGTGAGAGAGCGGAGTCGAAACGCGAGAGGGAATGGGAGAACTCGTCGAGAGCGAGGTGGCCATGGCCGAGGTGAGGTGGCGATGTAGGGGTGCTGTAGGTGACAATCCTGTCAGTTTCACGTGGTACGCCATCTATTCCGCCCGGCCAAAGTGAGGAGTGCCGCAAGTCGTGTCGAGAGGAAGGGGAGGAAGAGGAGGGCCCGAGTTTGACGTACAATCGCAGCGATGCGGCTTTGCTGTTCGAGTATCAATCGAGAGAGACGTTTGAGCATGCCCCAGCTTAGCAGGAAGCAGCACGAGAGCGGTTGCGGCGAGAAAGCGAAAGGCGAGCGAGTTCGACGCAAGGGTCTCGCGGCGGGCGAGATGGAAACGAAGTCCTCTCGCGCTTGCGACGGCTTCCAGGGCTTCGAGATACTTGCAGAAGTCTTTCAGCGTCGATTCGTAAGTCTGAGGACGCAGCGGGGACTGAGGAATGAGCCGGAGTTGAGAAGGCCGCTTCCCTGAAGCAGCAAGATCTGTCCCTCACCTCAGCCTCCATGCCGCCAGTCCGAGCTCCCTAGATCGACAGTAGGAAGCTCTCTTTGAGGCAGATGGGCGGAGACTCGAGAGGGCGCCGTACCAGCGTGTCAGGATGCGTCAAGCCGTCGGCGAGCGAGTCGGCGAGCGATTGTAAGTGTCCAGGATCTGGCGCTCAACTAGTAGCAGCAGATGTTCCACCAAATTGTGCTCAGGGTAGGAATCCTGACCTTGATGCAACCACAGCAACGGAGAACGACCAGGTCAAACTGACTGTCGCTTAGGAGCGTGAGCGGAGGGCGCGCGTGTGCGCCGAGAAGAGCTACTGGCGAGTTATTGGATCCGGTCTTCGACGGCGCAACGAAGGAAAATAACCGCGTTTGTCCAACGAGCAGGGGAAAAGGCGAGCCTGTCTGGGAGAAGAGGGCGGCAACAACGCAAGCCGGGTCGAATCAGCAGGCTGTGCGGCCCCTTACAATCCAGCCATCCTCGTTAGGCCTCCTTTGAACAGCGCATCCACCCTGGTAGCCCTCCCGTCGCCCGTGATCGTTCCGGACGTGAGCCGTCAAATCGGCGAGGCAGCGCGAGGACGTGGGGCAAGTCAGACGCTTTTGGCCCAGCAAGCAGCATTGTCAAGGAGTGGCTCATTGGATCCAGCGAGACCAGCAAGCTGAGCATGCAGATGACCGGACGTGGAGAGGTTCTTGCGTCCTTCTCGCTCAACCTCGACCGGTCCACCGCTGCAACAGGCTCGAGGCGGCTTGTTGAGCAGCCCAGGCTCTTTCTCGGGAGCTGCACGTTCCGTCAGACGAACCGCTCGTCGCCCTGTGCTTTTGTTCTTCCTGACGCGACCGCCTAATCCTCATCGCCTCACGCCGCCGTTCGCACGAAGTCCCGCCTCGCCAGTACCTGCCCTGCCAGCCATCGGTGCATAGCGGTGTCGTAAGAGCTCGGGCGGCGCCATGCTCGACTGCCAGCTCGACAAGGATGGGAACCCGCGCCCCAAGCGGCCGATACCTAAGATTATCGGGATTCGGCAGCATATGGAGATCCAGCGGGTCAAGCAGATGGAGAAGCAGGGTCCTGATAGCTGGCTAGTGCGGAAGGTGCGGCGAAGGACTCGCTCTGAGGCGGAGAAGGAGCTGACGATCCCTTTGTCGAGGACAGTTCGCGGTCGGACTTGTCGCCGGAATCTTCGGCTACAGCTACTATATCTACGTCGTGCGACTATGCATACCAATGATCCGGATGGAGAGCGACCGATTAGGTGGGAGAGCGCAGGGCCGTACGTCCGTCCCACTCCTGCGTCGGCTTCCTCGCGAGCTAAACTTCCGCCTTAACAGTCGCCTACCTCGTCATCTTCCACTTCCTCTTCGTTATGTTCGTCTGGACGTACTACGTGGCGGTCACGACTGCGCCAGGCTTCGCGCGGGATGTGCGCCGGCTTTCCTTTGTCTGTCCGAACCTCACGCTGACTCGCCATCCGCAGTACGTGCCCAAGACGGACCCTCCCCAAGCGCAAGAAGAGTATATCACAGTCGCTGGCCAGCGCTTCGAGGACCAGCCGAACACCCACGAACCGAAGCTCTTGCCCGCCGACGACCTGCATTCGCCACGAAGACGGCGACGCGGACGACGGGTCGAAGACGAGAATCTCGACGAACTCGACGACGACTACGAGGGAGACTCGTCGGGAGAGCAGGTCGAAACTGTCGAGATGAGCGAGAAGCGGAGACAATCGCTCGTCTCGCAGGTTCACGACGACGACCAGGTTGCCGAGGCAAGCCCAGCCGCCGGTGCTCTCGGCCCGGCGATCGGCGCAGCACTAGCAAACGCCCAGAGCCCGCCGACCGACTCGCCGGTGACGCCCGAGGTCCTCTCCTCCTCAGCGAATGGCAATGGCCTTTCACCTGCAGACGAAGATCGAGGTCGCCACGACTCCGGCGGCTCAGTCACACTCGTTCACTCCTCTTCCTCGCCAGATGCGCCTACGTTCCCCCCGAAAGTCCACCTCTCGAACGGCACGGACGGCAACGAACCACAGCCCCGTACCTCCCAATCCTCCGCCGCTCCGTCATACTTGCACTTCGCCGAGCCGCCCGACGACTGGGAACCTCCGAAGCGCCTTGCGGTCGAGCGAGTCCCGAACAGCGCGCCGGTCTTGACGGAGCGGTACCGGTACGACCCGAGGGAGGGGATCGTCAGGCCGTACCGGAGTCATCGGTGCAGACACTGCGCTGCGATCGTCCTGAGTGCGTGACGGACCGTCTCGCCAGATCTCTCTCCGTGCTGACACACTTGCGGCTCGTAGAGATGGACCACCATTGCCCGTGGGTCGGTAGCTGCGTCGGCGCGCGCAACTACAAGTACTGTGAGCCGAGCCTGCTATTTCTCCTTCCTGCGAATTGGTTGACAAGATTCATGCGCAGTCTACAACTTCCTCCAGTACTCGACACTGTACACCTTCTTCGTCTTCCTCACCCTCCTGATCGCGCAAACCCTCCCACTCGGCACCTTCACCGCGAATCGCCCCTATCCCGGCGTCGACGGTCAACAAGTCGCCATCATCGCCCTATCGTTCCTCTTCTTCCTCTTCACCTGCTCGCTGTTCACTGCCCACACGATGCTCATCCTCCGCAACGTGACGACGATCGAGGAGATTAGCGCGAAGCGAATGAGGCAGAGAGAGCGGGCTGCGCTCAGCAGCACGTACAAGTTCCTGCAGTGGAGGTGCGTTCGGCTTCCGCCATTCTCCTTCCTGCGGCTTGAGGTGACCAACTTCATGTGAACAGGGCCAAGCGCGATACGGTGCGCGAGTGGAACAAGCAGTGGGGACGCATCGGCAAGGAGGGTAACCTGTGGTGGCTCGGTTCGAATCGAGCGAACTGGGAGATGGTTATGGGCAAGGCCAAGCTGGGCTGGTTCCGTGCGCCACTCTTTCCCGCGCCCACTTCCGCGTTGAGGTCGCTGACATGTCGACGACCATGCAGTGCCTATCCCAGCACGTCCTGTACACGACGATGGCCTGCACTACGTGCCGAACCCGCGCTTCAGCCCAGAGGGCTACTGGCGGCGTCGCTCCGAGTGGCCCGTCGAGCTTCGTTGAACTCGCCGCACACGCATACCAGCTTGTTGTCATACTATCGCAACTGCAGACTCGTTCGCCTCGCTTGTTTGGCTTTGTGAGCGCGTCGCAATCTCCGGGAGCTCTCCGTCTCGCGATTGTCGTTCTCGCTTTGCCACTTTCACTCAATCCTGCTCGCTTGACTCGTGGCTGCTGCTCTCCTGTCCCCTGCATCGCGTCACTCCCACCCGCCCGCACCGCTCGCTCCCTTGTTGACCGACCCTTCGTTCGCCTGCGCCTGTTTCGCCTCGTCGACGACGCGCAGACGGCCGTGCGCGAGTTGCGCCGATGTCGACGCCCGTCGCACGGTCCTTCCTGACCGATGCCGACCCTCTCCAGCCGCCCACACCGCGGGCGAGCGGTTCTTCGACTCCCGATCCCTCGTCCCTCTCCTCGTCCCCACTTCCCGACACGCCCATCTCGTTCAAGCGCAGGCAGGCTTCGTCGTCGCGCAACGTCCGCGACAAGGCGGCGAGTTTGCTAGGCGGCTTCCTCTCCCGCAACAACAGCGACATGGACCCGACTCCTCCCTCTCTCCAGCGACCGGACGCTCCCACCCACATCACACTGCCGCGAAATCTCGACCATCGAGGACTTTCAGACTCGGGTTTCTCGCAGGCTGTCGCGGACGAAGAGGAGGACGAGGCGCAGTTGACAGCCACGGAGGACGACGGCGCAGCAGCGAGGAGCGGGTTTTCGGCGGCTGTCACGGGCGGAAGGAGCTGGCGGAGACGTCAGGGTGCTCAGCCGCATGGGAGAATTCCGTCGTTTGCGGCGGGGCGGACGCGGAGATCAACGGGGACGGGCATGCTCTCACCAAACTACGCGAAAGAACCCGGCCTGCTCTCGCCAGGTGCGGCTTTCGGCGGAGCTGGGGCAGGCGGAGGCGGAGATGTCGATGAAGATATGGACTCGGGACCCATCGTCGTCACGCCTCTCCCCAAAATCCCGATTCTCGTGCTCTCGATCTGCATGCTCGGGGAGTTCCTGTCAGCCAGTGTCTGCGCGTCCTTCCTTTTCTTGTATGTCGCGTTCATCTCGGTCGGACAACGTGCACAACTGACTTCGCCTGACCCCTAGTATGGTGGAGAGTTTCGGAGTTGGAGAGAATGGCGGCGGCGAGTCGGCGGTGAGCCTCTGGACAGGCGTCGTTTCGGCGGTCTTGTGCGTCCCTCCTCCCCGGTGTCGCTCAGCTCAGGCACTGACGCTCGATCTTGCAGCTTCCTCTCGCAGTTCTTGACCGCCATGATCTGGGTCTCCGTTGCCGAGAAGCACGGTCGACGGGCCGTCCTCTTCGCCTCTCTCGTCGGTACAGGCTGCACCGTCATGATCTTCGGCACATCGAAGAATCTCGGCACCGCTATTTGCACGCGGCTCGCGATGGGCCTGTTCAACGGCGCCGTCGGAGTTGCCAGGAGCGCCGTGCAGGACGTGACGGACGAGACCAACAGGTCGACGGCGTATACGATCTTGGGCTTGCTTTGGGGAATGGGCGGGATTGTCGGATCGGTTCTAGGCGGAACTCTCGAGCATCCAGTGCGCTCTCCCCGCTTCGTCCTCGCCATTGCGGCTGACGACTTCTTTCGCAGGTCGAGAAGTACCCTCGCTACTTCGGCGACTCGCAGTGGTTCGTCGAGTACCCCTACCTCCTTCCCTGCCTCGTCGCGGGATCCGTCACCCTCTTCGGCGGCTTCCTCTCGCTCTTCCTCAACCGAGACGGCGGGCAGCGTACAGGCGGCATCCACCTTCCGACCGAGAAGGATGTCGAGGTTGCGGCGAGTCGGCTCAGCAGGGCGAAAGACTGGCTCGCCGCTCGCCTCTCGCCCCTCTTTGCCAAGATGCCCCGCTTTCCTCACCGACCACCCATCCAGCTCTCGCAAAGCAGCGCAGCCGTCTCCCTCCATACGCCTCCTCAAGGCGCACCTCCGCCTCTCCCTTCTCCTACCGACACCACCGCAGAACGCAACCCGCTGGCAGAGAGGCGCGCCTCGGTCCGACAGTATGGCTCGGCGTACGGCTACAGCAGCAGTCGTCGACCGAGCCAGTCGGGCTTCGAGCGCGACTCAGGCCTTCGTATTCCCTCGATGCGGCGACGGCAGTTCCGCTCCGTCTCGATGGCGACTTCGGCGCGCTACGATCCAGAAAACGAGGTCGACCACTCCTTCGCCGAGCGTCTTCTGCTGGCGAACAATCAAGCCGTCTTCAGCCTGAGCGACGTCTTCCTCGCCAAAGCGGCTGCCGACGACCAATTCACGGCTATCGAATACGAAGGTTCGGTCTTTGAGCGTGACGACGACGAGGAGTCGCGGATTGAGGGGATCGAGGCGGACGCGAACTCGGAGTATGGCGACGTCGGGTTCGGCACGGCCCCTCCGTCGATGGAGGACCTTCGCGGCGAAGCTGCTCGGCAGGCTGTTCAGCACGACAAGGACGCGAGCGCAGCAGCAGCAGGCGTCCCTCGCCCAACCTCTCCCGTCTCTTCCGCCGCACCTCGCCGCGCCAACGCACTCGTCTCGCCCAATCGCGAGCGCGTCGTTTCGTACGCACCAAGCGCGCCCCGACTCCGCCGCTTCTCCAACGCTTCCTCCGTCCGCCCAATGTCCATCTACTCCAACACCGGTCTCGCGCCCGAGACGATCGCCTCTTCCGCCGCACAACTCGTCGCCGTTTCCGCCCAGCAGCCGAACGAGTCGGCGTTCGCGCCGATGGCGGGCATTCCCGAGTCTCGACCCGCCAGTATCGTCGAATATCCCAACGAGGCATCGGACGCAGGAACCGCTGTTCCCGAACCAGGACCCACAGCGCTGCTGTGGTCGCTCCCGCTTGCCATGATCTGCCAATACCTCTGTGTCGGTCTGCACGGGACGGCCTGCGACCAGCTGTTCACCTCGTTCCTCGTCACGCCTCTCGCAAGCGGTGGTCTCGGCTTGACGGCGGACCACTATGCCATGCTCGTCGCGATCATGTTCTTCTTCTCGATGGTCTGGTGCGTCCAGCGCCGTACTTCCCTCCGAACCACAGCTGACAAGACTTCGTCTTGCAGGCAGTTCAAGTTTTACCCGACCGTCGGTCCTCCCACCGGCCCCCTCAGCCACCTGTCAATGTGTGTTTGCTTTGTCAATGCCTTACGACTGTTGATTGACGGTTTCTCCGCAGGTTCCGCCTCGGCCTCATCCTCTACGTCCCGGTCTACCTCCTCTTCCCCGAGCTGCGCGGCCTCATCGCCGTTGAGGGCGAGAACGGCCTCGTCTTCCTCGGCATGGTCGTCCTTAGCGCCTTGCGGTATCTCGCCAACGCGTGCGCGTATACAGCCGTCATGGTGTTGATTAACGTCATGACACCTGCCGAACTCGTCCCTCTTGCGAACGGACTGGCGCAGTCGTGCATCTCGCTCGCCCGCTTCATCGGTACGTCGCCTCCTGGCGTTGTCGAATCGCTCTAGCTGACCCACCTCGGTGCGTAGGCCCGCTACTCGGTGGATCCGTCTTCGCCGCATCAATCGCCGACCCGCAGAACGCGCATCCAGCCGCGGGCTTCCGCCTCATCGCAGCATTCTGCTTCGCCGGCTTCGTTTTGTCGTGGCGGATCAAGTGATGAGCCGCAACGCAGGTCGGGCCCCTCCTTGATCGCCTCTCTCGGCATCTTCTTTCGTATCCTCGCATCAGCTCCCTTCGGCCCTCTTGATCGCATCTTGTTCTGTTGACCCTTTACTCGTAACCGCATCTTTCTCGCTCGCTGAATCATCGCGTGCTTGCCGCACCTTCGCAACCGAGAGTCCGCGAGCGTCTGTTTGCAACGAGAGAGGGGATATGAAAGGAATGAAACACCGTCTACCTCGATCCGTCTAGTAACGCCGCCAGCGTCCTGAAAAGCGATGGCGGCCGTCGTGCACTGGCTCCGCTTGTCGCCCCTCCGCTCTTGCTTCCTCCGCTCTGACCCGCCGAAGCATCCGTCCCATTCCCATTCAATGACGCACTCGCGTTCACTGCCTTGATCCAAGGCGCTGAAAGGGCCGAGGGCGAAGCGCCAACCGCAGAGGTCCCGATATAAGCGGGTCCGGCGGTACAGTTGAGCATGCCGAGCTTGAGGAAGTAGTTTGCGGCGCGAAGGATATAGGCGTCGCCTGCGGACGGAGGAGTCAGCTGGGGAAGTCGGAGAGAAGGAAGAGAGAGAGAATGAACCGTAGACGGCGCCGGTATTGTTCAGCGGTCTGCGAGGATGCTGGAAGTCAGTGAGAAACTCTCCGGCAGAGGCGCTCTGCACGCACGGATCGGCGCGGTTGTTGATTGTCGCGTTGCCGAGAATGGACGCCCCAGTCCATTGCGTCTGGATCAGGCTCGTGTTCGTCCCAGTGAACAAGGCGGAGTTCGCGAAGAGGTCCGTAGCTGGGTAGAACCACGTGCTACTGGCGTTCCCTCGTGATGCCTCAAGAGACAAGAGGAGAATGAGGGCCGTGTCAAAGATGGCGCTGGCGGACGTGTCGAGAGTCGTCGGCCTTGAGGCGGAAAAATCCCAGTAAAGCGGCGTGACTGGATTGCCGTATCCCCAGGGCACTCCATCGGTTGAGGCGTTCAGCGCAAACATCTGCATGCGGTGCAACGCGCGATCAGGCAGTGCAGACTGGGGACAACGAAAGACAAGAACGGACCGCCATTCTGACCGCCGTGTCGTAGTACGCGTTGATACCCGTCGCGTTGTACATGAGCGCAAACCCAAGCGTTCCCCACGCATGCCCCCTCGTCCAGGTCGATTCGTTCGAATAGCCTTGAGACGTCCCCTTCCACAGGACCTGCCCGTTCGTCGGGTCGTAGTTGACCACGTGATACGATGAGCCGTCTGGTCGAATATGATTCTGCATCGTCTTGTTCGCGTGCGAGGTGGCCATGTCGCGATACGTCGAGTTGCCCGAGAGATCCGCCGCGGTGAGCAGAAGTTGGAGGTTCATCATGCTGCGGAAAAGCGAGAGTCAGCATCAGCCGCGAGCAGTCAGCCGGTGTTCGACACATACTTGTCGATAATCTGCGTGTGGCGCTGGTCAGTGGCCTTGTCAGCAGATGCGTGAAGGGAGAAACCGACGCACCACCTCAAAATCTCCCTCTCCGCGATCCCAGCTCTTCGTGCAGCCGACCACGCTCGAGTAGCGGCTCGCCAGATACTGTGCGTTGGCGAGGAGGGCGTTTTTGGCGGTCTCGTTCCCAGGGTTGATCCGCAACTCGTGCATCATGGGCGCCGAGTTGAAGCCGACGTCGTGCGCCCAGGACGTCAGGACATCCTGCGACGGGTTGTACAGCTCATTCGACCACGTCCGTGCGAGCGAAAGCCAGTCTGTCGTGTTGTCGTCGTTCGGACAGAGCGTCGAGAACCGCTCGTGCAAGAGGTAGAGCTGGTCGGCGAAGAATGCAGATGTCCAGTCGCTCGCCGGCTTGTACACCCACGTACCCGGGTTCGCTGGGTCGGTGTACTCTGGCCATTGCGCAGGGCTGGACGAGGACTGCGCCGTCGTGAGGACCTTATTGTTCGCCTCGGGCGAGTACACCGGCGCGATAAGCTCCGTCCAGTAGGCGGTCCTGCCTCGCTCCGTCAAAGCTAGGCCTGCAGGTAGCACTGAGCAGGCCAATAGCCCAATCAGACCGCGTGTGGCCATGTCGAGTGAGGGGCTCTTGTCCAAGAGAGGGGGTCGAGGGTCTGCCGTCCGCTACTGCCTCGCTCTCGCTCAGAAGGCTGCTGTAGGCGCTTGAGACCGCTCATCGACTGCTTCCGATTCGCCCGACATTCAACAAACGACCCGCACGCCGCTCAACGACCCACGCACTTTCATCTCCTCGCATCCCGTCCCTCCGCAATGAGCGACCTCCAGGCCTACCTGGCCGCCAGATACATGTCTGGCCCGAAAGCCGACGCCATTCTCGACCGCTCGGAGGACGGCAAGCGCCGTAAGAAGAAGCGCAAAGTCGAGGCGTCTTCATCGGTTGCGAGTGGCAGCGGGGGAGGGTTGGTCATTGCAGACGAGGACGGGGCCTGGGGCGCGCAGGAGAACGAGGACGAAGAGTACAAGCCGGGTGCGTGCCGGCGCTTTACGCTTTCCCGACTCTACGCTGACTTCGGCTCTCGCTCGCAGTGGTTGAGGAACGGCGCGGCCAGTTCAAGGCAAAGGCAAAGACCGAGTCGTGGGCTACGATTCGAGAAGCCGACCCTTCCCTCCGACCACCCTCTCCCACGCCCGAACCCGAAGACGAAGCGCCGGCGATTGCAGAAGTGACAGTCGAGACGGCACCTCGAGGAGGATTGCAGACGGCTGCCGACTTGCGAGCCGAGCAGGAGCGTAAGGCTGCGGAGCAGGAGCGAAAACGACGGAAGGCGGAGAAAGAGGAGGCACGGCGGAAGGCTGAAGCCCGAGCGAGGGGCGAAGATGTCGACGAGGCGGATCCGAATGCAACTGTCTACCGCGACGCGACCGGACGGCGGATCGACATGAAGCTGCTCAAGGCGGAGGAGGCGCAAAAGAAGCGCGAGGAGCTCGAGAAGCAGATGGCAAAGATGGAGTGGGGCAAAGGACTGGTCCAGAAGAGCGAGAAGGAGCGGCGGGCGGAGGAGGCGGAGAAGCTCAAGAACATGTCGTTCGCCAGGTGCGTCGGCTTCATTCTCGGGTGTTCGTGAAGCTTGGTACTGACGCTTTGCTCCGCAGGCACGCCGACGACGCCGAGATGAACGAGGAGATGCGGGAAACGGAGCGGTGGAACGACCCGGCGGCTGCCTTCCTTACGGTGCGTGGCACGGCGTCCCCTCGAAGCAATCCCACCTGCTGACAAGCGCTCACCGCTTCGCGCTCGCAGAAGAAGAAGGAGAAGAAGACCAAGGGCCCCAAGTTCCCGACCTACCAAGGCCCTCCTCCGCCGCCGAATCGCTTCAACATCCGGCCGGGGTACCGATGGGACGGAGTCGACCGCAGCAATGGGTTCGAGAAACGGCTGATGGAGAGACAGAACGCGAGGGGCGTGTTCAAGGCTGCGAGTCAGGCGTGGTCCATGGAGGACATGTAGGTGGTGGCTGCAATAGCAACTGAGCACGTAGAGCAGCATGTCAAGCAGAGATGCCTGATTGAGCGTACGTGAAGGACGGCGATAAAGCAAGGTCTCCATTCATCGCGGTGAATTTGCCGATCTCCCCGTTACGCCCGCTTGCCCTGCCATTGTAGTGTAACGACCGTCTTCTTCCCCCCGCCGCGATTTGGAATCACATCCTCCTCGAAGCTCGACTTCCTGACGAATCCGCACCTTTCCTGCGTCTTGAGACTCGCCGGATTCGTCGCGAACGCCGCACCGTATATCCGTTCCGCTCGAAGGTAGGGGACGTAGTAGCCTTCGATGAGCGAACGTAGGACGTGCGCCATGATACCCTTGCCATGGTAAGTCGGGTCGAGGAAGAACCCGTACGACCAAGCGAGCATCGGGTCGCCCGCCTCCTTCGCCGCGTTCTCGTCGACGAGCTTTTTGCGCTCTTCTGCGTCGGGGACGTCCTCGAACGCCCATCGACACAAGCCAAAGTCGCCGACCCATTCACCATCCGCTCTGCGAACATTTCCGAGCGCCCAGTCTCCCACGACCCAATTGTCCACTTCCTCACCTCTCAGCGCCTGCTCCGCCTTTGGCCCAAGAACCTCGTTGAAGACCTTCTCCGTCTCTCTGCGCCGCAACTCGCTCCACCCGTGCGCATCGTTGTCGGTATAAGGGTACGGCGGTCCGACGAGTTGATACGCGACTTGTGGGTCGTTGAGCGTCCGCATGACGGAGGGGATGTCGGTCGGTCTATAAGGCGTCACAATAAGGGGCGGCGAGGTAGGATGAGGAGGGAGCGGGAAGTACGGCTCGAGAAAGGAGTCGGGTTGACCGGGCTCTGCGCCGGTGATGGGGACGGTGTGGAAGCGGAAGGGCGTATGAGACGAGATCGTTTCGCATTGGGCAGGCGTGAGCGTGAGGGAGAGGTATTGTGCACGAGGAGGAGGGGGAGGTGGGGAGTCGATGGACGGCATCGCGGCGGGCTGGGCGGATTGTGCAGTGTGCAGGAAGAAGAGAATGAGCGAACAGGCGCAGATCAAGCCAGTCCAGCCGAGCGCGGGAGGGAGTCAACCCGGTCAGCCAAACCATGCGGGTCGTCGCGAAGAGTCAAGACGCGAGGAGGGCGCGCGAGCAAGGGTAACGAAGTCAGTCGAGCATGGCGTATCAAGCGAGCAGAACTAGCGCGGGGAGAAGCGGAGTGGCATGAGGAGGAAGAGGCAAAGGAGCGAGTATGTCTCGCAGAGTTGCTATGTTGTCAAGGAAAAGCCTTCGTGCGTATTACAGTGAATTCTCGTCCATCCAGTCCATCATCTTCTGCCACCCACCTTCGTCCCGCTCGCCTCGTAGCCGCCGAACAAGCGCATCCTCCTCATCCTCCCCTTCCTGCGGCCCAAAGTCCTTCAAAAGCCAGTGCTCCTCGTCCGCCTGCTTGCTCCCACTTTCAACGACGGCGATAGGGAACCCGGGCTCGTAGTTGAAGCCGTCGAGCGGTTTGGAGAAAAAGTGAGGGAAGAATTTGTGTGCCGAGGAGGGGTTGACGGGGTCCACGAGGCAGAGTCCCGACAGCGGGTGCGACGAGACGTATTGCTCGGCAAGAAGGGAGCTTCCGGACGAAGCGAAGAGCAGGGGAGGGAAAGGGGACGAGGCGGACGGGTCGCGGAGGAGGCGGACGAGTTCTGCGAGGACAGGGTCAGCGCGTCCGTCTGGAGTGCGAGCTTCTGCGCACGACTCACCTGACTCGAGACCGTCAAGGGAAGTAGAAGGAGCGGCAGCAGGGTCAACTTGGAGGAGGAGCGACGAGTACCCTCGAGCGGCAAAGCGAGAGATCCAGTCCTCCCAGCCCCTGTGCGAGTCCAGCAAGCAAAGCAGTGTCAAGATGCGCTTCTCCAAGTAGTGTTCAAGCAGTGCGCACTGTGTCCCGTGCGAATCCCATCCTTTGACGGTGAGGAACGCGAGGGGAAGTGCGAGGTGTCGAGACGAGGAGGGAGCGACGGCGAGGATAGACGAGGCGGAGCGTGCTAGTGATCGAGTGAGCTGTGCTGGTCTGCCCAAGCAAGTGAACAGCATCTTTCCCTTGTCTGGCGGGACGAGGTTGAGGACAAGGCACTCCCTCACTCCTCCCCTTCACCCAACACCGTCCACACCGCCAAAGAGGTGCATGCGACCCCGTAGCAGCACACGACGACCACACAGAACTCACCCATGCCGTCCACCCGCAGCCCCATGTCCTCGCGCGTCTCTACGAGCTCCCCGTCTCGACCACCGCCCGTCCAGACTCAGCACCACCGTTCGCAGCAGCCGACCCGCATGAGGCACGCACACCACACCCCTGGCATCATCACCCTCCCGCAGGCCAAGCTCGGCGAGTCGGGGCCGTCCTCAGCCTCGTCCGCCTCGCCCTCTCGCCACTCGTCCCCGCGCTCGACCCCTCCCTCGTCAGTCGACAAGCCCGTTCCGACAGTCGAGCAGGGCGAAGGGAAGAGGCGTAGGAGGACCAAGGCGAACCGCGCAGAGACCCCGTTGAAGGCGGAGGCTGTCTTCGCCGAGACGCTGGCGGACGCTCCCGAACAGGCTGTCAGCGCGAGTGACAACTCGGACAATGCTGGAGCTGCCGCAGCTGCCACGCCGTCCAAGTCTGCACGCCGCCGCAGGGGTCGCGCGAACCGCCAGCCGAGTCCTCCCTTGCCGCCCGACGCCTCTGCTTCCTCGGGTCTCGACCAACCTGCTCCCGCCTTCGCCTCGACGACCCCTCCCCGTTCCGACTTTGCCGCCCTCGCAGGACACTCGCGGTCTGTCCCTCCCGACCCTCTTTCGGTCCGCCAGCACCAGTACTCGCTCGCGGATGCGTGGGACATGCCAGCCGTCCCTCAACAGTCGTCCGACAAGCCGAAGGAGAGCTTGTCATGGCAGCAGGAGCTCCTTCGCAGCGGTTCGCTCAACAGTCACTCGCGCAACGGCAGTAACAGCAAAGCCGGCGACTCGCCCGCCGCCCGCACGCGCTCGCGCACCGCCAAGTCCACCGCGAACCCTCAGCCCGCTTCGAACACCAACAAGTCTCGCCCGCCGCTCACCACGTCCGTCTCCGACTATGGTACCTCGACGAACCCCACGCTCAACTGGCAGCAAGAGATGCTCCTCCGCACCGACGACGCCCAGCTCGTCCAGCAGCAGTCCTCCTCCACGAACGCCTCGTCGACTCTCACGCCCGCCCGCCAGCGCCGCAACCAGATCAAGGACAGTATCACCTTCGGGGTCGCCGGTCTCGACTTGAGCGAGGACGACACGGACGTCTTTGGCTCGTCCGCCTCGACGCCGCGCCGCCAGCAGCATCAGCAGCAGCAGCGTCCGCGCGCCCAGCAGTCCACGCCTGTCCTCTCAACCGGCTCGACGGGCTATTCGACACCTGTCAAGGTCGCTCCCGAGGCTCGTTACGCCGGACCGACGTTCCACAACTCGCCTGCGCCGAGTTTGCTTCCTGTCCCGTCGTTCCTCTTGCGCCGCAAGGCCGAGGGCGTTGCGAACTAGGCGGATCTTGTTTCCTCCCAATACCTTCCTTCCTTTCTGTACGTCCTGCTTTGGCCAGATCCTTGCGCACCCGACCTGACCTTTTGAAACTTGATTTCGCAGCCGGCTTCGTTTCCTCCTCGCCTTGCTTCGATACCGACCTGTGTCCATACCCTCTTCCCCATCGTCGGATTCCTCTCATCGCCTCCATCTTGTCGTCACATCAGCATCGGCTCCCTTTGTTTCGCCGGCCCAACAGCATCCTTCGCACCGCACCGCATCGCACGGCCACAGCCACGCCACGCCTCGCCTTGACGCACCCATGCACGCCTTCCGACTGTTTCCCTCAGCACACTCGCCATGTTGTCCTTCGGTCACACCCCGCCCATCCGTGCATCCCACTACGCCCGGCGTTCCCGTCTGTCTTCGTCCTTCGGTACCTTTGGCTGTTCCCTGTTCGACGTCCCGGTTCCCATGTTGATACGCACGACTCGACTCGAGGCGACGGAGGACCACCCGACCATCTCGTCGCCCCTTCACTTGTACATCCCGCCGGCCCTCGATGTCGGCACTCCTCACACCGCCTTCCATGTTGTCCTCCCTTCCGTTCTGTCGCCCTCACCCGTTGTATGGAGTAAGGGGAACGGCCGCTTGCCCAGCTATATATCGACTGGTCGCAGGCTCCCCTCTCTGCTCGTTTTGTCCCCGTTCCTGCCATCCCTCCCCTCCCTCTCTCACCTCCCTTCCCCTTCTTCACGCTTGTTCTCTCTGCCGTTTCTTCCCTTTCACCGTCATCATCCCCCGTTGCCATGACAAGCCTGCTCAACCAGGCGCCTTTTCCCTCCTCTGCGTGTCCCGGCTTGGTTCCCACGCGAGCAGATGTTCAGTCAATCACCGCGTTGTCCACGCAGATCAATCCATCCGCTCGCAGGGTTCGTTCTCCGGACTCGGAAGCGGAACCATCCAGTGCGATCATCGTCCGCCTTGAACTCTTCGCCTCGCTTGTTCACGCTGGTGCTTGTTCAAACGACATGGAACGACCGGCTCTGCGCGTGGCTTGCGTGCAGTTCGACCCCGTGTTCAAGAAGAAGGCGCAGAACCAGAAGAAGGCCGAGGGGCTGATAGCAGGGTAAGGACGCGCCCTCGAGCTCGCCGTGAGCTGGACGGAGACGGCCGACCCTCCTACTCATACGCAGGATCCAACCTGGCGCGCTCGACCTCCTCATCTTGCCGGAGATGGCCTTCACCGGCGCGTTCGAACCTCCACCTCCTCGTCGTTCTCCTCGGCTAACGGATCTCGCTCCGCAGGGTATTGCTTCTCGTCGAGAGAAGACATTGCGCCGTACGTCGAGGAACTGAAGACGGGTCCGACGTTCCGCTGGGCGAGGAAGACGGGTGCGTACCGAGAGGACTCGCCTTCGTCGAGAACGGCGGGATTGACTTTTGTCCTGATCCCGTACAGCCCGCAAACTCGGCTGCTACGTCATCGTTGGACTGCCCACCGTTGAGCCACTCCCGCTCAAGTCGCCAGACTCGTTTACCGAAACAGCCTCAACTCCCCTCCCGCTCGACCTCTACTACAACTCGCTCCTGGTCGTCTCGCCTGCCGGCACGCTCGTCCATTCGTACAACAAGACACACTTGTACGGCGGCCTGTCAAACGACGCAGTCGACTACCTCTGGGCGACTCCAGGCGCCGGTTTCTCCTCCGTCGACCTACCCTTCCCTCCCTCCTCGCCCTTCGCGCAAGAAGGCAAGACCTTCCGACTCGCTCCAGCAATCTGTATGGACCTCAACCCTCCTCGCTTTGATGCGCCTTTCGACAAGTTCGAGTTTGGAGAGTTTGCGGCGAAGGAAAAGGTGGATTTGGTGGTGGTGTCGATGGCGTGGCTTGATTCGGAGCCGCCGCTCGAGCAGGCTGGGGGCGGAGAGGGAGAGACGAGCAAGGAGGAGAAGGACGACTGGGAGGAGACGAACCAGGTCATGAGTTATTGGGTTCTCAGGCTGAATCCGCTGCTGGGGAGCGGCGCTGCAGTCATCTGTGCGAACCGAATCGGGCGGGAAGGAGGTGCGCGCGCTCTCACTACGTCTCTTGTACTGGAAGTGACCCTCAACCCGCTCGCAGACACCGTCTTCACCGGCTCAAGCGCCGCCATCGAGCTGGGCGATCGGCCATCCGTCGTCGCCCACGCCAGCAAGCGGAAAGAAGAGGTCATCTTTGCTCAAGTCAGGCTCCCGCAACGAGCTTGAAGCACGGATTCTGTTTCTGTATACACGATTTCTGATGGCATTTTCCTCGTTGCTTCGTTGTTGTGCAACCCCTGTCCTGCTTTTTTCCTACGAGATGGTGAGGATGATCTTGCCGATGTTCTTGGCCTACATTGCGTTCTGTCAGCGGGGAGCAGAGGGAAAGCGCGAGGTGAAGCAAGACGCACTTGTTCCATCTCCTCGTGAGCGGCCGCAACGTCCTTCCAGTCGTAGACCTGTCAGGATGCTCGTCAGTACGAACTCGTGTCGCAATGGAGAGTGCGAGACGCACCTTGTGGATCACGAGGTCGAGTCCATCGTCGCCGTTGCAGCGCGCAAAGACTTTGTCGAGCGCCTTCTTGGAGAACTCCTGCAGGAGGTTCGTCTGGTATTCGAGCGAGCGGGAGCGAAGGGTCGTTCCTGCAGACATAACGTCAGCTTAGGCCGAACGGAAGGAGTGAGAGCAAACACACCCTCGATCCGAACGCGCTTGTACAGGATCTGGCTCAAATCCGTCGGACCCTCCGTCTTCGCTCCACCCATCAAGCCAAGCATGACCATCCTCCCGTCCCTCGCAAGCGACTTGAGGTTCTTCTCCCAGTAGCTCGCGCCGATAAAGTCGACGAGGACGTCGACGCCCGAGTCTTGCGTGAGCTTGAGAACTTCGGTTGGGAAGTCTTGGGTCTTGTAGTTGACGCCTTTCGCACCGTGCTGCTCGACGAAGGAGACTTTCTCGTCGGTGCCGGCGGTGGCGATGACCAGGCCGCTGTGGACAGACAGCGTCAGCTATGTGAAAGGGAAACGGAACGAGGGAAATGAAGACGCACGCTCCGAACGACTTGGCCAGCTGGATAGCCGCCAATCCAACGCCCGAAGCTCCCGCATGAATCAACACCTTTGCTCCCTCTTTCATCTCAGAGATGACGAACAGGGCCTGCCACGCCGTCAGCCAGTTCTCGGGAACGGCAGCGGCTTGCTCCCACGAGACGTGGTCTGGCTTGCGAGTGCACATGCCGGCTGGGACGGAGATGTACTCGGCGTAGGCGCCGCCGGTTGCGAGGCCGAAGCTGCCAGGCGAGGATCAGCAGGAGGAGGAGGTGAGCGGTAAATGAAACGCACACTGCCTCGTCCTTCTTGAAGTCGCTCGAGCCGGGCTCTTCGACCGTCCCACTGAACTCGACACCGAGGATCGTCGAAGCGCCGGGAGGGAGAGGGTACATGCCGCGTCCTGCGAAGAGGACGCGAGGTCAGATCCGTTGAGCGAGGGAGCGAGGGAGAGCATCGCGGGCGCACGCTGCATGATGTCCATGCGGTTCGCGCCAAAGGCTTTGATCTGCGAGGGCGAACGCTCCCATCAGCGAGTGCTGGTGAACGCAAAGGCGGGGACACACCTTGACAATGATCCGGTCGTCGCCCTGCTTGAGGGTCGGGCGCTCCGCCTCGCCGATGTACAAGTCCTGCGCCGAGTCGCTCTTGCCGTTCTTGATCAACACTGCGCGCATTTGTGCCATCGTGAGGGGGAGAGAAGGTGACGAAGCCGGCAGGCGAGCAGCGAGTCCGAACGGTGGGGTCCGGACTTGCGAACGGGACCGGGCAGCGCTGAGGAGGACTGCCAGAGTGCATTGCAGGCGTTTCTACAGCCCAGTGAGCGCTGTGAGAGCTTTTCGAGATGTCAAACGAGGGCGCGATGTCAACGAGACGAGCGCAAACTGGCTCGACCCGGTTCACGCTCGTCTCGCTCGCTTCCGACCGCTCGAGGGCCTCCCTTGACTGCTGCTAAGCGTTGCAGGCGTCTCCAGTATCGCACCAGCCAAAGCGCAGCCCGCCAGACGCCGTTGACGCCGCCTCACCGCCTCGCTCATCAACCCGCACCTCCTGTCGCCCAGACTCGCCCTCGCAGGTCACGGACGCGTGTGGACGGCCCGGACAGAGACAGGTGCGCACCAAGTAGTGACCTCGCCCGCCGCACGCCCGTCACGAGACCGTAGCTGACCCGCTGTACCGCGCCATCGCCTGCTCGACCAACTCGACCGTCCGCTCGACTTGACCCGACCGCGCCAAACAGCCACGCAGGACGCGCATGCGGCTCACCCTTGTCCCTCCGAGCGCGTACCCCGTGCCACCACTCCTCCAATCTCACGTCCTCGACCCGCCAACCCTCCCACCGCCGCGCTCGCTGCGCACCCCGCCCGCCTGGGTCAAGGCGAAGAAGGCGCTGAACGAGGTCGGGTTGCAACTGCCGAGTTACTTAGCGGCGGACAGGGCGTTGTGGTGGCAGGTCGCGGTGACCGAGGTCGAGTGGAACCTCGAGGAGGAGGAAATTGTCGTCAAGTTTGTCGATGGCGCGGAGGAGCGATGGGCTCTTGACGGCGGGAGAACCTTGTCGAACGAGCTCGTGATTGACAGCGAGGTCGCCGACGGCGTGACGGCGACTCCACCTGCGCCGACCCAGCCGCAACCCAAGTCTCGCTGGTCACCTCGGAACGTCCTCGCCCGCCTCCGCGACCTGTCGCACGAGCTGCGCTCCGCCTACGAAGACCTCGGCACTTCCTCTGCTCACGACCCGCTCGCGCCCGACATCTCCAGCGAGTCCGACTACCTCCTCCTCATGCAACTGTCGGCGAAACCGGCCCAGCAAGTCCCGTTCGAGTGGGCGGACGCGCAGACGTTGTACGAGTACGCGATGGAGGGCTTGATTGACGAGGACGAGCTGGATGCGGACGAGGGAGTCGCGAAGAAGAGGCCGTCGTCGGACGGACCTTCTCAACCTGGATCCGACGGCGTCGACAGTCCTTCGCGCGACTCGCACGGCAAGTTCCACTCGAGGCGTCGTCCGACACGCACGAAGGCGTCAGCGAGTGGTGAGGCGAGCGCAGGTCGTCCACCGCATGACCACCTCTCGACCATCCACCTCCTCTCGACCATCCGCACTTTCCTCCTCGACCTCTTCGCACACATCATCATCCCCCACCTCCAGCAGACGATGCCTCCGACGTATACGCTCTGGACTGCCGACGCTGCCATCGTCTGGTGCCGCCGCGAAGCCGTCAAAGAGGGCGCCCAAGTCGCGGACCTCATCCTCGAGTTGCTCGACGACGACGGCGACGCCTTCGATGCGGCGCACGACGACGACAAGGACGAGAAGATGGACGACATTTTCGTCGAGGACGACGCAGTTTTCCTGTACGGCGAGGCGGGAGTCGCGCGAGAGCAGGCGGAGGAAGAAGCGAAGCAGGAGCGGCTCGCGACGAACCCGCTTCGCTCGATGAGGGACGACTTTGCGCTTAGGAGCTGGTGTGAGTCGGCGCTTGACCGGCACCGCGCGATGGACGACTTGGAGTGGGACGAGGTGACGGGGAAACCGTTGTGGATCAAGCCAGTCGCGTCGTGGGACGTCTCGAAGCCGGCTGATGGGGAGGGGAGCGACCTCGAGGACAGTGCTGGCGGACTATCGTTCGGTTTCGGCGGCGCATCAGCTTCGTCGCGTCGGTTCGCCGGCAGCTATCCCTCGCCGCCGACTTCGCCCCCTCTCGTCGACGACATCCCCGTCCTACCTCGCCCGCACTTCCGCTCCTTCTCGACTTCTCCCGACTCAGACGCGACCGACGAAGAAGACGCAGCGAGCGAGCCCGACTTCTTCGCCTCCTCGACTTCGGCAGACCAGTACCGTCCCGAGTTCTTCCGCCCGGAAGACCTCGTCGGCGAGCAGTTCTTGCCGCCCAAGCTGCCGAAGGAATTGCTTGTCGCGACGGGAGACAGGGGACCAGAGATGGAGGTGCAGAGGAGGAGCGTCGTCGAGCTGCTGAACGAGATCGCTGGGGTGAGTGCCGTCATGCCGCTTCAGAAAGCCGGCAAACTGACACTTCACATTGCTCGCAGCTGCAGAAGAAGATCTACGAGCTTCAGCAATTCGTCAGCAAGGAGGCGGGCGTGTGGGAGGAGGCGAGGGCGGAAGAGCGGAGTGCGTACCTCGCTTCCGTCTGTTTGCGTCCAAGCTGACAGACCTCGCCGTAGAGGGCAAACCCGCCGACTCTGATGCGCATGCGGTGTCGGGCCTGCGCTCGCCTCGACCGTCCGCGACTTCCCCTCCTCCGCCCATGAACAGCAACAAGACGATCCCGCTCCGTGCCCAGCCGCTTCGCCACCAGACCGCCGACCGCCGCCTCTCGTCCGCCCTGCATACCGCACTCAACAGCATCGCACCGAGCGAGCAAGACCGCAGCTCGATGCTCAAGAAGGTCAAGTTGCCGAAGTCGCAGTCTGCAACGCCCAAGCCGAGGAAGCGGCAGAAATTTAACCTCGAGAACTACAAGCGGGTCCAGGCATTGTCGACGATGGTGCGCGCAGATCCGCCGGAGCAGCAAGATGGATCGACGAGGAAGAAGAAGCGCAAGAGGGAGCGGCACGACGAGGCGGGACGGGGAGGGGCCTTCTCCCCGACACAGAACGCCCTTCGCCTGCGTGCAGCGATCGAAGGGTCGACGCCGCCGACAGCGAAGAAACCGCGTAAGGTCAGATCAATCAAGCGCGAGGCGGCGAGCGAGAACGTCCTCGCTTCCCCTTCGCCCATCCTTCGCCCTCCGGTCCCGCCTGCACCTCGACGCTCAGTCTCGGCAGGTGTAGCCTCATCAGCTGCGCCGAGCGACCGGCACCGCACCGTCATCGAGCTCAGCGAACGAAGGCGCCGCTCGCTGTCCGATGCGAGCCGCTTGGCTCCGGTGATGCTGCCCTCGCTGCCCGTCTCGGCCGTCCGCACTGGCGTCGAAGAAGGTGCCGGAGGAGCCGGTGAGGTCGAGGAGGAAGAGGCTGACGACGAGTTCGAGGAAGTCGAGGTCGGCGCGAAGTTCGCGGAGGAAGACGAGCTGGCTGACTGGGATGCGCCGGTGACTGCGCCGTCCCTCGCCTGGGCAAGCTCGCGAGCTTTGCACGGGGGAGATGAAGGTGTCGAGGAAGAGAAAGAGGAGGAGGACGAGCCCTTCGGTGTCGAATTCGAGGCGCCGACCCGCCCTTCCTCACCTGTGCCCCGACAACCCGGTCCGCCACCGTCTACGACTTCATTCGGCATCCATACTCCACTTTCGCCGACCTCTCTTGCCTCGACGTCTGCCCAACCGGCCAATTGCCTTCTGCCTACCCCGGTCACTCCGTTGCGACCTCGTATCGAGCGGTCCATCCCCTTCACGCCCGTCTCGCCTCAGCTCTTCATATCGCCGGACTTGCTCCAGCCTGTCGCTCGCCGTCCGACTCAAGCGATTGACGTCTCGCCCACTCCCACGGCCAGAACGACTCCGCCTGCGCACTCGTCGTCTGCGGCGGCGTCGAGTCCGTCGGGTCTCGCGCAGCGTCTTCGCAACACACTCGCCGCCGCAGCCGCCGACCCGTGCCCAGCGAGCAACCGGCACGCAGATGACCGCGTCGAGGTTGGCGAGGAGGCCGAATTGGGCGAGCAGGGAAGCGAGGAGGAGCTGTGCGGGTAGCTGAAGTGGGAGGGACAGGTGCGCTTAAGTCTTCCCTTGCGTTCCGCGCCTCCTTGCCGCGCAGCATACCCTGAAGACGTCCAGCCTTGCGTGCGGGAACGACTGACCCTCGCTCGTTCCGTAGCCGACAGCATCGCGCGGTAACACCGCCTGTAGCGCTAGCTCGACTGTCAAAGCATTAGCTCCTCGACGAAGAAGGCGCCGACAGCCGTGTGTGTGCCCGTGCAGAAGACGGACGTCGCTGGCTCGTCCACGACGCTCCTGCTGGCGGCTCGGCGGGATGCTTGCCTCATTCTGAGCCCGATTTGGATGGCTCTGTCGCTTTTCATGGCTCAGAACGCTCTCGTGTTGGACCCCCGAATCACTCCAAGCGGACTTGGAGTCCGCTTGGAAGCATGGGCGGCTTTGCGATGAGACACGTCTGACGGTGCGTTCTCTTTTCGCTCTGTCCTCCGAGCTGACCATTGAGCGCACGCAGAGCACGAAGACTGCCTTCGAAGGCGCCCAGAGGAGACGACGACTGTCGAGGACGTGAGCAGCGGAGGACGAGCTCAGGCGCGGGAGAGGACGACGAGCGACGTCATCTGGTCGCCGAACGGTCGTCGAAAGAACCGGGGCAACGCTTCTTGAGTGCGGAGGACTTCGCGCGCGAGGAAACGGTGCGCACCCTCGTTTGCGTTCGTCTCGGCCATCTGCACGAACCCGCTCACGCTCTTCCTCCTCCTTCATCCTCCTCATCCAACCCGACGCATCAGGTACGCTGCCCTTCCCCTTGCCTGCCTCCCTGGGCAGATCATTCTTCTCGGGACGCAGCCGCTGACCGAGTTGATCCCATCTCGCGCGCTTGCTCTTCGGCCACCGTCGTCGTCACTCTTGCTCCCCAACGACAGACAGACAGGTTCTTCTGTGCTCGACTCTCAGTCAACTATCCTATCCACATCTATCGCAACACTCCGTCACTCTACCCGCTCGCCTTCAGCCATGTCCGGATTCCGCTCCGCCGCCTCGTCCTTCTCGAGCCTTCACCGCCCGCAGGGCATCAGCTCGCCTTGGGACACCCCCGTCGCCACCCCTCACGAGTCGCCCGCAACCACGCCCGGCGGCTCGCCTATCCTCAGGGACAGCGACGGCAAGCGTTTGCCCAAGCCTGACGACATCAAGATGATTCTCTCGGATGGTACGCTTCTTTCGATTTTTCTGCAAGCGAAACTGCAAGCTGACGGCAATATCGCATGCACAGTCGACGGAACCCTCTTCACCGACGCGCATGAGCTTCACCCGACTACTCGCGACGCCATCCGCTACATCCGCCAGACCCGCCCCGACGTGCCTTTCATCCCCGTCACGGGCAAGCAGTTGACGTCGTGCGGCGACCTCGTCAAGGAGCTCGGTATCGAGGACATGCCCGCGGCGTGCATGCACGGCGCGATCATCTACGACAAGGACCGCAAGATTGAGCAGTCCATGTCGCTCGACCCGCACTTTGTCCGCGACGTCGCACGATTGATGCGCAAGCAAAACAAGTCGACGTTCCTTTATGTCGAGGAGTGGAACGCCATGGTCACCAAGGAGGAGAACGGCTCGAAGGACTGGGAGCAGGTCGCTCGCGGCTTCGACCCGGCCGTCCGCGACGAGCGCGAGACCGACTTCATGCAGCGCGTGCTCAAGGGCAAGGAGAAGATCAGTAAGGTGCGTTAATGTCGACTTCTCACTCATTTCCGGATGGATCGCTGACTTGCTGCCCCCTCGCAGATCTTCCTTCCCATGGACGAGTCTGTCGTCCCCGACATGATCGACTTGATCGAGAAGACGTTCCACAAGGTCCCCTTCAAGATCACCCGCGCCCTCCCCTACATCATCGAGATTGTCGCCGAGGGTGTCGACAAGTCGGCCGCGCTTGCCTTCTTCTGCGCCAAGTTCAACATCGACCCCAAGAACGTTATCTCTTTCGGTGACGGCGAGAACGAGTGAGTCTCGCCGAATCTGCGTCATTCCGCCGGCCGCAGGGCTGACCACTTTTCCTCGCAGTGTCGGCATGTTCGGCGCGTCTGGCTACTCGGTCGCTATGGCGAACGGCATGCCCAAGCCCAAGGCTGTCGCGACGTACCAAACCGGCTCGAACAACGAGGGCGGTGTCGGCCAGTTCCTCAACGCCATCTTCCGCCCTGACCACACTGAGGGTCCCGACGCACGGCTCAACCCCGACCACCTCTCGATGCTCGACGAGAGGCTCGGCGCAGTCGAGTCGCCCCTCGCCGCTGGCGCCTACCCTTAAAAGTTATTGCATACCCCTCTTGCCATGGCATCCCTTGTACATATCGCGGGCATTTCGCATAGAAGCATATTCCTGACTCGTCGAATTGAACTGGTTTCAACCTCGTCCAACACGAACGAAGCACGCGAGAGAGTACTCTACGAGACTGCTGCCCGCATCTTTCGGTTGAACCTCGCGAGGTCCTGGACGAGCGCGCCGAAAGTTGGTGGACTTTGCACGCCGCTGTCGAGCCAAGCTGGGAGCTGCGCCTTCTTCGACGGCTGCGTATATCGCTCGTCGAGGAGGACGATGGACGCCCAGTCGCGGGCGTTGCGGATGGCTCGACCTGCGAAGGCCGAAAGGAGAGTTAGGTCAGCTTTACCGCGGTAGCGTATGGCGTAACTCACCGATCGACTGGTTGACGACCCGGAAAGCAAGATTCTGGTCTGTGAGACGAGAGGGACAACGATCAGCGGCATGAGCTAAGCGAAGAAGGGCCTGGTAGCGCACAGAGGACTTGACCGGGATCGGGCGAGCCAGATGGACGTCCTGGCGGCGCCGACGTCTTGAGGTAGTGCATGCGTTCTTTCAGCTCGGCGGACTGCGAGTTAGGGTAAGGAATGCCTGCGAGAAGGTCAGGGTCAGCCTTTGTAGAGCGGCACCTCAGGGAGCAGCAAGCCATACCGCAGACGACGACGCCTGCGTGCAGAAGCTGTCAGCGTACAGCCACGGGCGAATGAAGGGAAGCGACGCACATCGAGCCATATCGTCCGCGAAGTTGATGCCCTCTGACAGCTTGGCGCCGACGACCGCAAACAAAATGCTGCCCTGTCGCCGTCGCCTCTCAACAATTAGCTCATTGCGTTTCAAAAGACTGTATCGAGACGCACCTTGCCTGAGCCCGCGTTTCCAACTGCATACTCTCGCAAGACGGCGTCGACGTCTGCGCTCGCTTTCGGCTCCCAGAAAGGCTGCGATACGTGGGTCAGTGCTGGAAGGTAGAAACGCCGGCGCGAGACAAGCGCACCTCCTTCTTCGCGGCGAGGCGCTTGATCATCCCCGATTTCTGCCAGCGAGTTTGCGCCTGGTTGAGGAAATCGTAAGACGGCACGAAGACGACCATCCCCTTGGGCACAATCGCTGCGATGTTGACGATAGCTTGGCCGAGTTCATCGAGCTGTTCGACGACCGTCAGCATGCTGCGACCGCGAGACACAGCGGCGGACTCGCCAGCTTCTCGTCGCCTCGCCGTTCGTAGGTAAAGCTGAACGTGACGCCTGTCGGACCCTTGCTGACGGCGTACGTCGAGACGTGGTCGGCGGGGACGACATGCCCGCAGGAGAAAGTGGAGAACCGCTCCTTCGGCAAGTAAGGGAAGAGCTGCTCGCGGAAGTCGCTCATCTGTCGTGCACGAGTTTAACAGTATGGCTCGACACGGAAGCACGCACAACATACCGGAGCCATCGTTCCGCCAGCGAGGATGACCGAACTGGCTTCTTCTGCTACGTCCCGGAACGATTCCGACGGCGCAAGAAGCAGGTACTTCATGACGACCTCGACCTTGTCCGACGTCGAGTCTGCGCCACGCTTTGTCTCCTTCGTAAGGAGGACACGTCCGTCGCGGTCGGCATGAGCGAGCGAGAGGATGAACTGCTGTATCTGGTGAAGCGCGCGAGTTGCGTCCGCTCGAACCGCTTGTCGACCTGCAGACGAGCTGTCAGTGCGCAAGTCCAGCCGTAGCAGCAAGGTCGCGCACCTTGCGCCGTCTTCTGTTCGGCGAGACTGTCGGAGTAACCGCCAATCTGCAGGGGAAGGGGAAGTCAGCGGCAGTGAGCGAAAGCAGCTCTTTCGACACACCTTGCGAGCGATCTTCGACTTGGTGAGGTACTCGTCGAGCTTGCGCATGTTGATCTGGTCGAGAGCACCCGCACCTCCCGCCTCAAACAGCCTGGAGACCTGGACCATTTCCTCCTTCTTCGCGCCCTTGGCCCACTGCTCCGCAAACTCCGTCAAGCCCTTGAGGAGGAGGGCGAGCCGCTTGAGGTACGAGGCGTTTAAGCCCGTGAAGCGGGAGCGGAACTTCTGGATGTAGGTAAGGAGAGCTTGGCGGATGGCGAGGAGCTGGCGGGTAGAGATGCTGACGCTGTGAAGGGAGAGAATCGAGTCGATGAGGTTGTGCGCTTCGTCGATGATGACGATGTGGCTGCAAATAACGAGGTCAGCCCGCGTCGAGGCGAGGCAAGGCCGCTAACCTCACTCTTTCAGCGAGATGCCGAGCGCCTCGCGCGCCGTCTTTTGCATGAGCATGTTGTACGGCAGCGTAACGACCTCCGCAGTCCGTACGGCCTTGCGCGAGCCGTAGTACGGGCAGGTGTGTGTATTGCGACCGAGATCTTCGATGTCTTCGATATCGTGAACCGAGGCCTGCGGACGCGGAGTGTCAATGTCGCCCTACGCTCAGGCTCGACGAATGTACGAGAGCCTTGTCGCGAAAGTCGTTAAGTTTGGAGGGCTCGTCGAGCGGCGGCAAGTACGGGCAGCGCTCCTTGCCGCTCTTCTGCAACTCAACGCACAGGTCGCCCATCGCCTCGTTGCTCCCGCCGCTCTTCTTACGCACGTCGTCGTTGATGCAGAGGTTCTGGCGAGAGCCGAGGGGGATAAGGCGTATCGGTCGGGAGGGTGATTCGGCTTCGGGTGAAGAGGAGGGAGGTGTGGGTAGACCTGGCGGCTTCGCGCTCGTCTCGCCCGCGAAGGGCGTCTTCCGTAGCTCGGCGACAAACTGCGAGAGCTGCGAGTGTGTGCGGGATGCGAAGTAGATCTGCAGAAGGTGGAGGGTGAACATCGAGACAGGCTTTCGCCAGCAGCAGAACACACTTTGCGGACGTCGGGCTCCTCCTCTTGCTCGCTGCGCGATTTACTTTTGCCCGATATCCTGCGCAACGTGTCGTCAGCACGAGTAAGCGCCACGGAAGCGACGGACAGACGGACGAAGCCATGAGTGCGCGAACGGCTGGCGAAAGGTTGTCCTCCGCATCGTCGACGTAGGCAACGACTTCCTTCGCGCCTGCCTCGTCGTCCTCGTAGTAAGGAGCAGGGGCAAACTGCTCGTCTGCCTGTTCTTGTCGTTCGTCGTCCGTCATTTTCTGCGAGAAACGCAAGATCAGCCGCCTGAAGTCGACACCGTTCGGGTCTGCCGCACCTGTCTCTTCCTCGCCATGGTCCGAGCATTCTCCGCAGCCGCCTTCGCCCTCTCCACCCTCTCCTTCTGCCGAATCCCCTCCAACCTCTCCTCCAGCTCCTTCTCCTGCCTATCCAGCTCCGCCAACTTGGTCTTGATCTCGTGCTCAATGACCCACTCCGGCTCGTCCTTGAAAGACTCGTTGTCCGCCACGGCAGCCCGGATCGACGCGACGAGGTTGTGTCGCTCGTGAGCCTTTGCGTCGCGGAGGAAGGAGAGCGAGGACGAGATGAGCGACAGTGACTTGCCCTGCGCGAGTCGATCTGGGTTAGTTGCGTCTTTTGCTAGCTGTGTAGGGCGAACGCACCGTCCCTGTGGGCGACTCGATGACCGTGACCTCGCCGGAAGCCATCGCGCGGTAGAGGTGGTCCATCAGCTGTTGCTGCTGCTTGTACGGCGTGAAGGGGAAGCCATAGGTCGGATCAGACGGTTCGAGCATCCCAGCAGTCTCACGAAGCGAGCGGCGGTCAACGGTGGACGCGAAGAGGGCGAGTTGCGACGCGAAGACGAAGTAAAAGCGACGCCGTACGGCGATGAAGGTATTCTGTGCGATGCATTGGCAGTGCAGTGTCTGTTCGATGTGGAGATGTACAGAGGAAAGCGCAAAAAGCGGGATGAGTGTCTGTTCGGGAGGGAAGAGGAGCAGGGGCAGTGTCTATCGCGGAGGGTATGGACAACAACGAAGGACCGCAAGTAAAACGGCGGGTAGTCGTGACAAAGAGACCAGTGGAGACAGGGTATGGTAGAGACACGGCGGGACAATCGGTGGAGGTAGGAGTGCGTAGGGTTCACATGAAGCGGTCCGACCATTGGTACGCCTGAGCGTAGCGCGTGGGCGTCGTAGCCGTGTTGATCCACGGCGAGTGAATAGGCGTAGGCAGTTTCGCAGCCTGGGCGGGCGGCGCGACGGTAGTGTACACGGAGAGGGCGGGGCGAGATGGGCGGACGGCTTGCGGGACTTGCGGGACGGCAAAGTGCGGTTGAGGATTGGGCTGTTGCGATTGAGGATTGGGCTGTTGCGGTGGAGGTGGCATCGAAGTCGGCGAGTAGGTGAAGAGCGAGGGCGGAGGAGGTGCCGAGAACGTCGGCTGCTGGTACAGTTGCGGGAAAGGCTGAGAGTAGTCGTTGGGGAAGAACTGCAGGCGAGAGTCGTCAGCAGCGCCCTCGAGCCGCACTGAAGAGGGTGTGGCGCACAGCAGTACAATCCGAATGGGTGCCAGCAGTCGACGGCGTCGTAATCTTGGACGACGCCAAACTCCAGTTCGAAGCCGAGTCCGACCAACCCTGCTGAGTCGTCGACTCCTCCTGCGCGTGCTTGTCGAGGACGTGATCGAGGATGACTACTGCGCGGGCGGCCATGCGGGCGAGGATCGGGTCGTAGAAGGGTGAGCGGAGGCTGTCGACGAAGGAGGCGAGTTGGGGTGGAAGAGAGCGGGGGAAGGTCGCTGTGGCTGCGAGCGACTCGATGCATCAGTCTCGTGACTATGTGCGAGAGGAGGAGCGGCACGCACCGTGCAAGTCGGCTGCGGCGTCGATAGCAGCCGAAACAATGCGCAGGAAGACGAGCGGGTTCCCTCGGACGGGCGACTGCCTCATCGACTCGACACTGAGCAGGAGATCTCCTACAATACGAGCGGTCGATCAGCTCGCATACAGACAGCGAGAGGAGACGGCAAGACGCACGAAAATGCGTTGCGGCGGCGACATCTTGTCCCGGAATCGTCAAGCCCAGCCTCACCGCGAAGCGATACAGACGGTTATACGAGTACCTCGACATAGCAGTCGCAAGCGGACGGTCCTCGTAGCGACCGATGAACGTGTCGAGCTCGTCCAGAGCGTGGAGAACATCGTTGCGCGAGACTGCTTGTCTCCGAACCATGAGTCTCGAGACTCGGGCGTTGAGCGCCGCGGCGGTGAAGATGATGTTCGGTGAGGATCCGACGATGGCCGTCTCGCCTTCGACAGTTTCGTCGGGGTATCGAGCCGTGATGGCGTCCTCGTCGAAAGGCTGATAGGTCTTGCCCAGCACGGGTCGGGCCATGGACTCGAAGACGTAGAGCGTCCAGAAGATCCGCCTGCGGGTGTTCTTCTCGGCGGGAGAGAGGCTCGAGGCCACTTCGTCTGGGTCGCGGTGCAGGTTGAGTTCGTGGGCTGAGGCGACGACGCTGGCGCTGACAGTGAGGGCTTCTTCGAAGTATCGACAGCCTTCAGCGGACCACCAGGGAAGCAGGAGGGCGAACGCTCGGATGCCTTCAACAGTCGGCTTGACGAGGAACTCTGCGAGCGAGGCGAGGTCAGCAGTCCCTCGCAAGCTGGAGACGAGGCGCGAGACTCACTGTTCGCGCTCAACACCCTCCGTCCCGCATCCGCCCACGTCCTCGCAAGCAACTCCTGTGGCGCACCCGTCGGCAACGCCTCTTGACTCGCCTCGCCCAAGCGGTCAAGTCCAAACAACCCCGACGCGCAAGCAATAAGGTACGTCGCCAGCCAATTCGGTTCTGGAACTCGGCCCGTCGTCCAGTACGCCTCGCACTGTTGCAGAAACGTCTGAGGGTTGAGGAGGCGGAGGACGCTGTTACCGCTCGCGAGGTACGCTTCGAGCGCGACTTCCGCCTGTGCGCGGGTCGGCAGGACAGCTTCGACTGTCTGGCGGTAATCGTCTGCTGAGAGGGTATCGTGCAGAGATGCGGGATTTGGGACGCGGTGAGCGGGGAAAGCGGTGAGGTGGCATGTCCCCACTGCTCGAAGTTGAGCAGAGAGCGCAGAGGGGTCGATGCCGAGGACTGGCTCGTCGAGGACGTGTTCGTCCGAGAGGAAGGCGCGGATGAGGGCTTTGCAGGCCTCGCTCCGAGCGCGCTCGTCCATCGTCGGCGAGGGCGGCACGACCGTCTCGACGCTACCGGGAGCGGACGAGGGGCGCTGAGGGACGGCGAGCGGGGGCGAGTCGGGGACGGGGAGTGAGCATGTTGTCGGAGGCGTGAGTTTGGCGGGTTCTGGAGGAGGCGGGAGACCGGCGAGCCCGCGCAAGAGCGCTTCGAGGCGGTCGACTTTGCGCTTCAGCTGGCGCGAAGGGAGGTCGTCGAGGTTCTCGCTGTAGATGGGCGTGTCAGAGATCGTCCAAAGGTGCTGGGGAAGTGCGCGACTCACATCCAGATGAGCGCCTGGAAGGAGCAGGATTCCGCCTCGCCCTTCGTGAGCGAGCGAGACGAGGTCAGCGAGCGCTCGTTGCCGTGAGCTGCGAGTGTACGCACCCGCTTCTGACATCCTTCGCAGCTGTTCAGAACGAAGCAAGAGTCAGCACGACGACATAGCAGGAACGGGGAGCGACACTCACGCTGGCCCGCTCAGCGAACACACACTCTTCCGCGCGCGGCATTGCCTGTCGAGACCCGAGATCAGCGATGTGGCCTCACAGCGACGCTGGAGAGTGTCCGCACAGGCAAGCGACTGCTCCTCTGCCCGCCTTGCGCGAGTCAGGTTCGCTCGTCCGCTGGCGAGTGCGGCTTGGGTGGTAGTCGTCGTCGTCGCCTCGCTGCGCCCGCTTGGCCATCAGAGCGCGGTGTCGTCAACCCAGCAGCACGAGCAGCACGGCGGTAGCAAGCAGCAACAAAGAGCGGAACAGGAGCCAGTGCAGCGGGACGAGGTGTTCCAGCGGGACTTTTACACTTTCCTGGCAAGTCTCACGAGCGCCTGAGCCGCCAGCAAGGGCTGCTTCCGGTTAACGTCCGACCACACGGCGGCGAAGCAAGCGAGCACTCGCCCGATCAAGGAGGCGTCCTCCTCCTCCTCTTGTCTTCCTCCTCCTCCTCCTCTCGCCTCCTCAACCTGCTCGCAACGCAGTCCATCGCACGTTCCACAAGCACTCGGAAAAGCTCCGCCAGTCTATTTTTCGTCACTCGATCAAGGCACACGAAAGCAGCGCGCTCTATTTTAGCCCCAGCTTTCCACGCCTCCCGTCTCGCCCGAGTCAAGGCCGCTGAGCCGCCATGATTGCTGCACAGCCACGGCCACAGCACTGGACTTACACGGGCAGCCCTCCGCGAGAAAAACAGCGCAGATGGCGCGAGAGTGGACACCGGTGCGGGACTCTTCGCCTCGCTCGCTCGAGCGAGAGGAACCCCTGTGTGGGATTGCGGGTTTCGTAGGGCGACGCGACTCACGTACAAGGGGTCTGCGACGGCGAAGAGAGCCCTAGGCAGCTGTTGGCGCGGTCTCGGAGGACGCTGACGCCGACGCCGAAGCGGCTGCCTTGCTCGACTCGACGGCGGCGGCGAGGAGGTCGTGGTAGTGCTGCCACACCTGGACGACCTGCGTGAACGGCCAACACGTCAGTAGCAGTCAGGTAAGTCGCTGGAGGGAGCGGGCGCACCTCGCGCTGGCGCGCAGCCATTGTATCCGCAAAGTCCTCGAGCGCCTTCTTGAAATCGTCCACCTTTTCCTTCTCGAACCGCGCCATCTCGGCCTTGGTGAGCTTCGAGACGTCGTCAAAGTCGTGTCGAGCGTCGAGCATCTTGCGCTCAGCCTGGTTCCCAAAGACGAGTCGTAAGCCTCCGTCCTGCTCGGGGGTTTGATCGCATCGAGCGGGGCGTGAGCGCGACGACTCCCCTCCGCCCCGCTCGACGCAGGTGAGAGCGAACTCACGTCGGAGATCTCGGCGACAGAGAGGTTGAGCAGCTCCGAGTGCGTCCGGCCTGTCCGCTTGGCCTTCTCGTGCGCCGACTGGATCTTGCGCAGGTTGGCCTCGGCAGCTTGCCACGTGTTGTACGCCTTGATGCGAGCACCGAAGACGCCCTGCTCGCGAGACCTGTCAGCGGAGCTGGCCTAGTCGAGCGAACGGAGGACGCACCCTCGCGCTGGTGCACAGCCGAGCATAGCTCTCCGCGACGCTAATCAACCCTCCAATCTGCTCATCGTGCACGCTCTGCGCCTCGGCCAGATCAAACACCTTCTTCTGCACGGCGGCAGCCTCGTCGAAAAGCTTGCGCAGCGAGGACGACAAGTCGCATTGCGCGAGCGCAAGGAAGGCCGACTGGAGCTCCGCGACGGACGCTTGGAGCGTCGAGCGGGCTTTAGCGGCGGCGGCGAGGGCGGTGATGAGTGATCGGAGCTGCGTCTCGAACGCTTCGAGCTGCTGGCGCTTCAGGTCGAAGTACTGCGGAGTGAGGTGTTAGTACAGCGTCGGCGAGATGCTTGTCCGACTGACATCGTCGAACTCGATGAACTTCGGGCCCGAGATGCTGCTGCTCAAGCTCGCCAGTAGACCCTTGTTGTCGGCGCTCGTATCGATTTTGCGCTGCTTGATCTGCAAGCGTTCCCCTCGTCAGTACCGCTTCCCCTTTGATAGAGCGAGCGAGTACTCACGTCGATGTCGAACGAGTCGCTCTCGAGGAAGAGGCGCAAGTCGGGGTCGCCAACGAGCATCGGGTGCGAGACGATCTTGTTCAGGGCGTTCTGCAGGCCGAGGCGGCGGTTCTCGACAAACTCGGAGCCGAAGCGACCTGCACAAGCCAGACGGTGAGGTTGAGCGAGTCGAGGACGGCTGAGAGGGGGCGCACCGATCGCGTGCTTCTCCGGCATGCCTGGGACGATGACGCCCGGGTTGTTCTGCGTGAGCGCCTCGTAGAGCCAGACAAAATGACTGTAGCGACGCAGGACGGAGAAGTCGTTTTTGCGATAGGCGGGCGACGTGGTCTGCTCAAGTAGCGCGGTGAGCTAGACGTTTCTAAGGGTAGACGCCGCAACTCACCCTCGTTCGGACGGTGTAGACGGTGTGCTGCGTCGCTGGGTTGTAGCCGACTTTCTGCGGGTCGCCGACGGTGATGATGAACGTCGGCCCGAGCGAGCCGCCGAGTTGCGTGCTTCGAGGCGAGCCTTGCACGGACGGAGTCTGCGTTGGTAGCGGAGGCAGTGGTGCCGAGTCCTGCGGGCGAGGAAGCGTCAGGAAAGAAGACAATGTAAGAGTGGCAGGCACGCACCTCCCGCACGCTTCGCACGCTCTCGCCGGCGCCGACAGTCCGCTCCGTTCCAGGCGTACTCGCGCCGGTCGTCTCAGTCTCCGCATCCTCCGCATCTCCAACCTCAACGCTGCGGCTATACGTCCCTCGGACACTGTCCGCATCGTCGCCAGCACCGAACCCGCCGTCGTCGCTCGAGCCGTTGAAAGCGCGGAAGCCTCGCGAGCCAGAGTCGATGTACGAGGGTCGTCGGCTCAGGTCGGACGGTTCGGGAGAGGCGGATGTCGAAGTCTCCTCGCTGAAGATGTACTGTGAGTAGGCGGAAACGGAGGGTGCCGATGCTGGAGGTTCTGAGGTCGTTGGCGCTGCTGCCGATGAGGCAGGCTTCTCCGTCGCTGACTGGTCAATCTTGAGCCCGGCGAGCTGCTCATCGATGCCTTCGACAGGCTTGTTGGCAGGCCAAGCTGCGTTCCGCCGCTCGCCATCCTCGCGAGGCGTGTCGCCCGTCTCGAGCGGGCTGACCATCGATTCGTACGGGACGCTGACGCCGGTAGAGTCTGCAGAGCTTGTTGAAGGGGCTTCGGAAGCGGCGCGGGCGAGTTTAGGAGGTTTGGCGGGAGAAGCGGGAGCGGCGGGCGCAGGGGAAGGTGCGGGCGAAGGCGGTAAAGGCGTTTCGAGAGCGGAGGGCTTCACGGCTGTGACGGGCGCAGGTTGCGACGATGCCGGAGCAGTCGTCTCCTTCTCCGCAGGTGGCACGCCAGACGCAGACTTGTCATCCTCGACCTCCAGCCCTAGCAACGCTGCCAGCGGCTTTGCGACCGGCTTCCTCCCAACCGAACTCGTCGGAAGGCCTCCCTTGCCGCTCAATGCTCCTCCATCGTGCCGCTCAGCCTTACGGAAGCTCGAACTGGCCGGCTTCTCGTCTCCGAGCAAGGCGGACAAATCGGGCTTCTGTCGCGAGGGCGATTGAAGGAGAGTCGGGGAAGTTGGCGTGGGTGGAGAGGATGGAGCGAGACGAGATGGGAAGGAAGAATCGGCGTAGGGGTTGTAGGAGAAGCCGGCGGGATCTCCGGGTTGCAGAGCGGGAGGAGGAGGAGGTGCTGGCGTCTCGGGTTCAGGTGCCGCCTCCCGTAGGAACGTCCGCTCGTGTGGCGCAGCTGGTGTCGCAGGCGGAGGTGGCTCGTAAGCTGCCGGAGAGACGGGTGGTGACAGCTCCTTCGTTTGTGCAGGCGGCGAGTAAGGCGCATGAGGCGAGAAAGGCGTTTGTTCCGGCTCGACATACTGCGGCGCCTCGATGGTTGGCGACACGAGCGCTTGCCGCTCTTGCCGAGGAGAGTGGAACGGAGATTGCGGCGATGCTGGCTGAACAGGCGGCAGAAGGGAGGAGGACGAGGCGAGGTCGGCGAAGGGGTTGGCGGCGAGGTCATCTTCTCCAGCATCGCCAAAGGCCGAGTAGGTTGAGCCGACACCGTACATCGAGCTGCTCGTGCTCATCAGGTCACCAAAGCCGGAGCTTTCCCGCCGAAAGCCCTCCATGTTGCGCGACTGATGAGGCGGGCGAGAGAGGAGAAGGGTCCTGCAAGTCAGGCCGGGTCAGCGACGATGTACACTCTCGGTGGCCAGTCTCGTACGCACTGTCACGCTCTGCCTAGGCTTGAACCGCGTCGAGAGCTGCGACAGCGACGACGAGGTGGGGGCGGCAAAGGGTCGAGTGAGGGTGAACGGCGGGTTGAGTCGGTGTACGCAGTGGATTCCAAGCTGTAAGATCAGACAGCGAGCGAGTCTAGCGAGCACAGCCAGCGGAAGTGAGCGGACGGAGCGCAAGCGGTCCCTGTTGTCGAGGGTTCTGCCAATGACCCTCGCGCTGGATCTCGAGAAGCGCACGAATCGCACGCCAGAGTGTTCTTCGAGAGTGCTGGAGACGGGCCAGACGTACTGCGCCTTGCTGGCGACGATTGCTACCGCTCTTGCACCCTTTCTCCGTCCTTTTCTTCGACGTACGAGCGGCACACTCTGCTTTGCGGAATACGGATCTACTTCTTCGATTACTCGTACTGTTCGTGCTTCACTTCCAGGCTACTGGCTACATGAAGGCGATCCCGCTCTCTTACGAAGCGGACCCTCCGTTCTCGTATCCTCTATCGGACCTTCTGCCCTAACATCGAGCGGGATTGCGATTCGACTCATCCGCCCACTTGGCCTAGCACTCGAACCGCGCGATGTCGACCTTGACGCCGGAAGAGAGGTACGGCGTGGCTGCCTTGGCGACCTCGTTTGCGAGGGGTTCGGGTCCGCAAGCTGCCATCTCGCGTCAGCTCAGCTCACGTTCAAAGGGCTTGAGTCGGCAGACGCACCTATGATGAGCGTCCTGCCAGACGAGTCAGAGACAGCCCTGGCGACCTCGTCGTTCACGTCTGGCCGGCCGGAGTGCTTGCGACATTTGCCGCCAACATTGACTTCCTCGCCATGATCCTCCTTCTTCTCGTCGTCGATGCTCGCGCTGGAGGAGGGGCTCGATGTGCCGGAGGTGTCGGCTGAAGCTGTACGAGTCACGTAGAGCGAGACGGACAAGTCGAGGTTGGCCTTCTCAGCCCAGCTTCGCGTCTCCTCAAGCGTCTTCTGGACCCAAGCGGCTTGCTCTGTTGTGGCAATTGGTCAGCTTGAAATACACGTTCTAGCAAGAGTTTGGTGCGCACCGAGCCGATGCAGAGCCCAGACGAGCTTGATCTTGCTCGTCACGACTGCTTGTCCGGCGGCAGCTCGACGACAGACATCAGCAGCGATGCTGAGAGGGTGCGTGATGCCTAGAGAGACGCAGCAGCGTGAGTGCGCGGACAAATGGGAAGATTGAAGGCGGAAGGACCGACCTGATCCGCCGGCAACGAGGAGAAGCGTGTCGAATTCTGCGGCCGCTGGAGCCGAGCCTGAAGGAAGAAGACTTATGGGCAGCCCTCTCTTTCTGAGCGCACAGGGGCGGACCCACCGTGAGGGCCCTCCACCGAAACCCAGCAGTCGACGGCCTGTCCGTCTGTGGCTTCGCTACGCCGCGCGATGTGCCTCGCGAGCTCGCGAGTCAGACCGCCGTGTACGCGGAGGACGAAGCGCATCTCGCGAGTTGCGGTTGTACCGTTGGACGGGACGTTGGAGATCGAGAACGGGTGACTTTGCGACCAGCCGAAAAGCCACGGACGGTGGAGGAGGTCAAGGCCCCTGCGGCAGGCGTGGCGTCAGCTTTCAATCCAATTGCAATTGGAAGTCGGATGAGGCGTGCTTCCGACGCACCAGAACGAGAGGTAGACATGCTGGCCGGCCGTCCAAGTCTGGCCGTCGGCGGGCACGCTGAGCGTGATAGCGCCGTCCCGTACTTCCGCTCGCGCTTTGACGAGAGGTGAGCGCAGGAAGAAGCGGGCGCCGACAACCGAACCGACGTGGTGGATGCAACGGAAGACTCGCTCGGCGATCCAGATGGCGACTGCGGCATAGACCCAATCTTGCATGATAGGGCGGTGGTACCATGAGCCGGCAAGGATAAGCGCAGCGCCAACGACGTGGAGGAGGAGGAAAATCTCGTAAGACCTGGAGGAGGAGGAGAAGAGGGTCAATATGAGCGGCGGTGAAAGACGCGAGCATCGCCCTCACCTGCGTCGCAGCCACTTCAGACCGAAGAGGCAGTTGGTCAACATGAAGACGACGGCGACGATGCCCCACTTGAAGTACGTCTCACTGCGCACGAAGAAGGTCAGCTCTGTGCTGATCTGCGCGACACTCGCTGGTCCACTCACGTCGCCTCCTGCGCTAGCTTGTCTTTGCCTTGCCAGATCGAGTACTGCAGAGCAAGCGATCGAGTCAGAGTCGAAATTCAGACGGCGACACTCCTCAGTCTCCGTGCACCGAAAACAGCGGAGGATGTAAGGGGATTCGAGAGCGGCTCACTTACGTGCGCAATGTAGGCGATGGTGTGCACGAAGGACTCGACGAACGCGATGAAGCCGAGGAGAATGTGGTAGAAGCGAAGGGACTGTGAGCAGGCGAAAGCGAGAAGTGAGCGAGCCTGATCGAGCTCGTGGAAAGCGGCGACTCACCTGGTATGACAAGCCTGGTATCGAAAGAGGTGCGCGGCGAGATCTTTCAGCGGGTCTCTCCCAGAAGAGGTGTCAGGAAGCGAGAGAACCTCGAGAACGTACCTGTCAACTTGACGATGACGCTATTCCTGCCCGCGAACATGAAGAGGATGGGATAGTTGGCAGTAGCAATGCGGCCGCAGCGGCGGGAGAAAGCTCGAGCGATCGAGGATCCGGCACTCTGGGCTGAGTGAAGTTGCGTCGAGCCGACCTGCGAGAGCGCTTGACACCGTCAGCAGCGCGCCTGCGGTGAGCTCAGGCAGGACGTACGAGGCAGAAGACGGTGTTGACGATGACGATGGCAGTGACAAGGATAAGGCGAAGGTAGGTCCAGTCCGTCGGCAGACCTCGCACCGGCTTGAGGGCGAGCGAGTCGACCTTGTCCGACCAACGCAAGACTGCAGGCTTGTCGTTGTAGGCGTCGAAGCCGTTCCGCCGGCCCTTCTCAGATGAGGCAGCTTGTCTGCGGCGTCGACAGTCGAAGAACCTTGCGGCGGTGAGGCTGAGGTTGCGGAGGATGAGGCAGCCGAGGAGCGCCGCCATGATCCAGACATAGATGTTCGTGTATCCTGCAACGACAAGCAAGGTCAGCAGGAGTGACGGAGTAGCGTTCGATGGAAGGAAGGAAAGCAGGGGGGAGACGCACTTGCGCTGAGCAGCTTCTGTCGCGCCTTCTCGGCTTTTGCGCCGGCATCCTGCCCGGCTTTTCCTCCGTGACTAGCGGCACCCGCTGCTGCAGCTGCGAGCGAGACGAGCGAAGGAGTGTCGAAGGCCGCCATGGCGATCAAGACGAGTTGTCGAGTCGAGGACGGGCGGCAGCGGGAGGTCAAGGAAGAAGGGGTGAGAGGGAGAAGGGTGAGGAGCGCGGGTGTGCTCGGGCAGACTCGCGAGCGGGCTCGTCTGTGCGCCATCAGATTAGCGACCCTCGATCGCGGAAAAATGTTGGGGGTGTCTCACCTGGCGATGCAAACCTGTTGCCCTTCGCTCGTCGTTCCATGCGGGTGCAGGACCGTCAGCGCGCGGCAGAGCAGATGACTCGGCGTGACTGTGAAGCGACAAGAGCGGAACGCCCGCGAAGCTCGCCCTCCCTCCTGCTGCGCGTTACTGATTGATACGCGCGCCCTGCCTGCTTGATCGGCCATCGCCCGAGATCAGCTAGTTCTCCTCTCCCCGTTCCCTCCTGGGCTTGGCGCAGTCATCGCCGTCCGCGCCGCCGCGCTTCCTGCCCAGTCTTAAGGCGATCCACCGGGCTTCCACATCTTCTGCTGCGTATATAAACGTCGAGCTCTCGGGTGTCTGAGCGCCGCCGTGTTGGCGTGCCGGAGCAGAGCAGACGCGGTTGCCGAGCAAACCAGGCGGGACGAGCGGGACGTCTTCATCCCGGCGAAGAGAGCCTCGGCAGAGAACAGGAAGGCGCAGAAGCCAGTCGGTGCGCATGTGAACGCTCCGGAAGACGACTGGTGGAGACGATTGTCGAATAGTCGAGGCGCTCTGCAGCGGGTTGCGGCCGAGCAGCGGAGATGTCGTCTCGCGGGAACGAGGTGAACAGGGAGTGTGCGATTGCAAGTCGAATGCGGATATGCGAGGCTGCCGAGAGAGCGGTCAGTCGACGTTCTTCGTGTAAGCCAAGCAGACCTCGTACGAATCGTCGGCCATAATCTAGCGTTACAGAGGAGAAGTCGAGGCGTGAGGAGGCGGGAAGAGTGGAAAGAATCTGCCTTCATCAAGCGGTGTCAATCAGCAGGGCGGGGCGACTGATACCACTACGACAAACTCACCAGCACCCAGCAGGGACGGGTCAAGAGACGAGGAAGCGCACTGCTCCCGCCTCATCGCTCGCACGTCTTGCAGCCAAAGTCGAGCCCGTCCGCACTCTTCGGTACTTCCCCCTTGACATCTGGCGGTGGTACTGACGCCTGCGAGACGCTCTGTACTTGCTCGAGGTACGCCCGCTTCCTCGCCTGGTCCTCGAACTCGAGTTGACGCTCCTTCTGCGCTCGCTTCGCCGCCAGTCGTTCTTCATCCCGAATGACGCCGGCAAACATCGTCTATGGAAGCATCGTCAGCCTGTCGCAAAGCGCAGGGAGAAGCAGTCCGGCACTCACTTCTCGTTCACGAACCTGGATCATGTGTACTCCCCAGATCGATGCCCCGCAAAAGAGGACTGAGCCCGCAAAGAGCGCCTTTGCCGTTCGACTCATCGTGCCAGGACTAGCGCAGAGTGGCTCGGCGGAACGAAAGTCGAAGTGGTCTGGCTGGAGAGAAGGGCGGCGATGAAAGGGTTCTCGTCCACAGGCGTGGGTCGGACGGTTCTGGCCGGTGTTCTAGCAGTCGTAGACGCTCAGTGGCGAGTCACACAGCCAGCCCGAGCGAGTCGAGGTGATGAGGCGCTGACCAAGACTTGCTCTTCCTCCTGCGCTTCACTCGTGCGATGTCAACAGGCCCTACGGTGTCAGAACGGCCTTTGCACGGCCAACAGACGCCGCTGCCAGAGGCTGATGCTGTTCCAGACGAACCACCCGTGCGCACGACCTCTCCCTCCCATTTCTCGGCTTCCCCGCTGACCCCTCCTACCGCCCGCTACAGCCTCCGTACGAAGCGAGTCCAGCGACCAATGCCGAGCAGACGCTCGAGTATGGACCAACGCGGCCGTTTCAGCCTCCGCCAGGTCCTCCGCCCCGCAGGACTTCGCAAGGAACATCCCTTCCCCCTCGACCGCCGTCCATGAGCCCGCCTACGCTTCCTCCGCCTTCTTTTCCCTTCTGGAACGGCTCGACTCTCACTCCGGCACAAACGGGTTTCAGCGAAGGGCCTTACGCAGGCGGACCCACGCCTGGCCCTGCTCCCGGACCCAGCTCCTTCTCCCCTCCGCCCCATCCTCCGCCCATGCTGTATCCGCAAACGACCGGTCCATACAATCCGCCACCTGCTTCACCGCCTGAACCACCGCGAGGCTATCAGCCGACAGAGGCGCCCATTCCAGGCCAACCGCTCCTGCACGAGGGGAAGCTGCTCGTCTATCCGGTTCGTCCTCTCGCTCCTTCGTTCGGTAGCACACCGCTGATCGACTTTTGAGCACAGCCGGGCAAGGACGTCTGCTGGAAGTGCCGGAATACAGGCTACAAGCCTTTCGAGCCGTACTCAGGGTGCGTAGCCGTCCTTTCTGCGCGAGTAAGGCATCTCTTCGCTCTGTCATGTTGACGATCGTCCTTGTTCGTCTGACAGATACCAAGGCGACGACCCTAGCCATCCGTGTCGCAAGGTGCGCAGCCTTTCGCTCATCCTCCTGTTCCTCGCCCGCTAACCTCGCCATGCCCGCCAACAGTGCTGGGCGAAGTACGGCAAACCCTACAGCACTGCTCTCCGCATCTCCCTCGAGAACCCTACAGCCCCCATCCCTCCCAACTACCAGCGCCCGCTCCGCCTCATCTCGACACCTCAAACTCGACCAGTCGCGCCCAACGTGATCGGCACGACGAGCAGGCCGCACATGCAGCTGAATCCAAATACGATCGTTGTCAGGCCTGGCGATCCGAGGATTGGTGAGTCTGCGGAATCGCTTCCACGGATTGAGCGGTTCGTTGACGACTCGCCGTGCGCAGGCGGTGTGCTGTGTCGGAGATGCGGAGGGGACGGGACGATGATGGGTCCGTTCATCTTTGACGAGGTGACGTGCGACATGTGCAACGGGGCGGGACGGGTGTTCGTGTGAGAAAGGCTAGTCGAGGGCGTACATAGGTTTCGTGGGATGGACTGTTGTTGTAACACGAAGCCTCCTCTCCTCTCTCTCAGCGCCAGGAGCAGCAGCACCGGAGTTCGCACGGCGTGGATCGTCGCAGAGGACTGTCCGCCCCGCTTCTGCTGTTTAAAGAGCCCTTAGAGCGAGTCACACGAGGGTCCGGGGACCTCGAAGGATGCGAATGAACCAATGCTGATTATGCAGAACGCCAAGCGTACACACCGCTCGCTCGCGAGCGTCGGTCTCCATCCCTCCTCCGCGACGTCCCGCACAAGTCGACTACCACGCGTCCATCTGCGCGACCGAAAGCGGCTCGGTCTCCTGTTCGTACTCGACCTCGACGCGGGGGCCCTCTGCGACGCACGTCCAGCTGTCAACACGCTGCATCGCCGAAGCGAGGAGACAGAGAAAGGACGCACTTCGTCTCGGCTTCTTCGGTGCCGGGGCAGCCTTCTTGCCCTTCCCTTCCTGCGCTCCGTCGCCGGCTTTCCGTTTGCCGTTCGCAGGACGGGCGGACGCGTCTTGCTCCTCGTCGTCGGAGGCCTCTTCGTCCTCGTCCGATGCGTCGTCGTCGAAGCCTTCGAAGTCGGAGCCGAACTGTGCGGACGGACTTCGTGTGAGTGGGAGAACGAAAGAGTGCGAAAGAGAGTAAGACGAGACGCACCTCTGCTCCGTCGTACTCCTCCATATCCTCGACGTCGCTCTCGTCAAAGTCGCTCACAAACTCAGCCATCTCGTCCTCGTCCTGCTCCTCGTACTCTCCCTCCTCCTCCTCCTCATCAGTCTCCTCATCACTCTCCATCCCCAACTCCTCCAACTCCTTCTGCGCATCCACCTCCCTCTCGCGATTCAACACCGCCTGCCACACATCCTCATTCACGTTCAGGGGCTGGTCTCCGTACGCGCGAGACTTGAGTCGCGCGATCAGTTCCCGCTCGAGGGACTTTTCGAGGCGTGCGGCGGAGAGGGCTTTCGCTTCGCGGATGGATTCGCGGCGTTCGGTCTTCTTCTTGATCGGGACGAGTTGCGGACTGCGCACGCTCGTTTCGTCAGCAACGGGAAGAACGGCGAAGGAGGGAAAGGAACGGGACGCACGCCTCCTTCATCTTGAGCTTCTGCATCCGGACGAGGTACTGCGTGATCTTGGTCAAGCGCTGCTTGCACTTGTGAACCAAGTAGTCGGGCCAGTAAATCAGGTGCTTGTCGATCTGTACGCCAACAACGCCATCAGTACTGCGGGAGCGAAGGAAGGTAAAGGAGGCGACGGACCTGCTCCAACGCCTTCGAGTAGTTGCCCGACAGCTTGACGCGCTCCCACATCTTGCTCGGGAGGTGAGCGCGCTCGATTGTCTTCATATACAGGTAGACCTTGCCTGCGACACGACGGAACGAAACGAGTCAGCTCTTCATCCCGTATCTTCAGCATGTCCAGATAGCTTCCGGCCGCCGCCTCGACCAGCCTCCAGGAGCACCACATACGGCTGAACAAGCCGAAGCGACACGCACCTCCATGTTCCCTGACCGTCGCATACCGACTATTCGCCAACGGACAACTCTGCCTCGAACACAGTCCCGTCAAGTTGTACTCGTTCCGGCAGAAGTTCTGCGTCACAGTCCTGTCGTCCCATCATCGTCAGCTTGGGCGTGATTGGGAGGGGAAGGGGGGTGGACGGACTTGATCTTGAAGGAACAGTGTTGGTGGTTGATGATGTCCCTGCGAGGCGTGCGAGCTGCGTGAGCGGGGTCCGAGTACGTAAAGAGCGTGTAGACGAACCAGATCACGTCGTCGGACTGCATGGCGAGCTAGCAGGGGTGGCGAGCGGTGCTCGGAGTGGTCGAGTGGGAGAGAGGGAAGGAGGTGAAGTTGCGAGACGCTTCGAAAGCGGGCGGGCGGGTGTGGCAGGCTCAGGCGAGTCTAGCGAAGAGTGCGAGCTCGTCGAGGCAGCAGCTGAGCGTGCGAGAGTGCGTGAGAGCGAGTTGTGCGAGGCCAGCTTCACCAAGCTCGAGAGGCGGTGCCACCAGAACTCGCGATGAGAGACACACGCTCTGGCTGGATGGGAAGGCTGACAAGTGTATGTTGATTGCAATGGACGATTTACTGGATTGAACCGGCAAAGGTGCGAGAGGGTGAACGGGAGCGAGTCTCTTCCCCTGTCCTTCGACCTGTTCCTCCGCCTCCGCAGTACCGTTCGACTTGACGCCTGGATGAGAGCGACGATCCGACAAGGACCAAGCGGAGCTTAGTGAAAGCGAGCGGAGAGCAGGCGAGGTTGTCGAGGAGAAACAGCTTCATAGTCAAGGGTGGCCTCAGGGAAACGCTGCGTTGTTTCCAGCGTGAGCAGCGAACGGCGCAGACTGCCCGCTTGGAGCTGTACTCGTCGCACACGAGCGACAGCCTCGCCTGAACGGACGTGCATGCGACGACTGAGAGCAGGCCGACCCATGCAGCCATGACGGACGAGGCTAGCAACCCGGGCAGTCGGGGCACGCGGCGAGCTAGAGACTGCGGTTGCAATTGAAGCAAGGAACAGCAGCAAGTCTCGCTTGATTCGTCCCGTTCGTAGGAGACCGGGGCGGGGACGGACAGCTGCTGCCAGCAACGAAGCGAGGAAGCGAGGGAAGCGGCGGGTGTCGTTCAAGCGGGTAGAGCTGGGTGTGGTCGTCCATGGGCGAGGCTGTAGCACTCGAGTAAAGCCAGTTCGAGCGCAGATGGCACGTTGGGCGAGGATGGCGAGAGGGAGAGCGTCGGCGGGTGTCGGTCACCTCGACCCACTCACGCTCACGACTCGGCTGGCTGTCTGTTGTGCTTGGCCTGGCTAGCGTACGACACTGCTACACGACTCGCACTCGACTCGCATTACCCGGTGCGTCCAAATCCCGCGCCGTGAGCCCATCTCCGTCGCCCAGAGGGCCAGCTGAGGCAATCACGCACACTCGCCACCGTAGAGAGCGTGCAGGGTCGACTGACGCACTCGCACAATCCCACACAGCACCCGAGCACACCCACCCAGCCGTCCGACCCGCTCACTCACCCGACTCGGCCCCCTCCATCTCGCTCCTCGACCCGGTCCAGCCCACATCGATCCCACTCTCTCTCCCCTCGCGCGCCAGCGGGTCGTGCGGGCATGGCTGCGGTCCTCAGCTCTCCAACACCCAGCTTCCCATCGAGCTCGAAGCCGCTCGTCACGCCGCCGCTCCTGGGCAGCCCCGAACTCTCACCTGACCACCAGCAGGACCGAGACGGCCACCCTCACCCGACCCATCCCCCGACTGCCTCGGCCGACGCCAGCAGCAATGGCAGACGGTCCAACTCGGTGCCGCTCTCGTCCTCGCCGTCGTCGAGCTCGTCCGCGAGCGGCGGGCCTTCGGAGCCTTCCACTCCGACGAGCAGCATCTCGTCCGGCAGCGGCGCCTCGCACTCGTCGTCCCTCGTCCCTGCCTATCCTTACAACGTCGCGATGGCACCCGCGGCGTTCAGCGGCGGACCCTTGCCCGACGACATGGACGTGACGACTCGCCTCCCGTCCATCTGCGTCGACTACCTCTCGCACGACTGGGCAGAGGACGACGTATGGACCTCCTGGAAGGCCATGACGCGCCACAAGACCGAGATTGCGAACGGCGTCAGGCTCGAGAACGCTTCGTGGAGGACTTGGGCGAAACAGCGAGGCAAGTTGAAGACGGTCAGCCCAGAGACGCTCAATTGGTGCGTCGTGCTCTCTCGGCTCTTTCAGCGCTCTCCCGAGCTCACACTCGTTCGCGCCGAACAGGCTGAAGGACTCGGACGTGACGTGGTTGTACGGCCCGTTGCACACCGCTGTCGACGCCGTCCCGCCTCCCAAGGTCGCAA